CACAAATTTAATTCCAAGTGTTGGACAACAGGGCAGGAGATCTGAAGAGGTGAATTAGTTGGCAAACTCTAGGCCAAGAACAAAAACTGCTCCATATATGTCTCCTATATATAGCTGATGTAAATTGAATATAAACAACTTACACCTTCTGTCTCCAAGCTTTCTCTTTATTGTGTCCAGTAGACTGTTTCTAACTGTCACCTGGTTCTGCTGCTGGAGAATGTGGGGGCTTATCTCAGGGTCTGCTCCTTGGGGGGGCTGGCATCTGTAACTGCATAGTGAGTTCTTATATTTCTGAGACCCTGTGACTCAAGAGTGAGCTTGAACAAGAGAACATAAGCTTGTGGTGGTGCTGGTCTAGGAGGGTTGACCTAGGAAGACTCTGGGAAAAGCAAGCCATGAGAACAACTGGGAGAAGCTGGCTTTGGGGCACAGGGACAATGAGTGAAAATTTTCCTGGTTTTTGTTGTTGTTTGTTTGTTGTTTTTGTTTTCAGTGCTGGAGACCGAACTCAGGGCCTCATACACGCTAGCCAAATGCTCTATTTTTTTTAAAGACTTGTTTATTATGTATACAGTGGTATGCCTGCACACCAGAAGAGGGCACCACATCTCATTACAGATGGTTGTGAGCCGCCATGTGGTTCCTGGGAATTGAACTCAGGACCCCTGGAAGAGCAGCCAGTGCTCTTAACCTCTGAGCCATCTCTCCAGCCCCACCAAATGCTCTATTAATAAGCTTATTCCCTTTAAAATAAAAGTCAGTCTAGCTTCAGTAGCCAGACAGCACGGCCAGAGGCCCCAGCCCCAGTGGGCCTGGTCTTCCCAGCAGATGATGCCTTTGAAGCCCTTCTCCAGCCCTCCAGAGCTTCCAGATGTGATGAAGTCACAGGATTTTGGAGACAGTGCCAATGAACAAGCTGTACAGTGAGGGCCCCAGGCCCACCCCTCTAGGTACCCATTTCCTCAATAAAGAATTGGATGTTGAAAAAAAAAAGTCAGCCTAGGCTAGCCTTGAACTTGTGATCCTCCTGCCTCAGCTTCTAAGTATCTCGGGTTACAGGTATGCACCACATTGCCCAGTGCAAAATTTCTCCTTATGACACCTGCCTCCCCTTAGCAATGAATTTCATGCAATATGCAAGTGGAAAAATGTACAAAAAAAGTACTTATAGTGTGATAAGGAATTCTTAGCCCATCCTACATGCTACAGGAAGGAGCGCTGCTTGTACAAACTGGGTTCTTTTTGTATATTCTGCTCTGAAACCCACCCTTCACCTCTGTTGATGGCTTTTCAGTGCTAAAGACTGAACTCAACTCGAGCATGCCAGGCTCAATCTGTCACTGAGCTTTCCCCGTGCCCAAAGCTTATTCTTAGTACACATTTTAGAAAATATTTTAGGGAGAATTCTGCCTCCCCAGCAGCCGCGGCGCTCCTCAACAGCAGAAGAGCCTTCACGATCTGCCTGGCAAGGCTCTGCACCCATCCCTCCTCACTGCTCACACTCTGGTCCAGAGTTGCTGGTGTCCGGCTGGACGTCAACCAATTTCAGTCTGCTCAGATTCTGGGAGTGACAACAAGGCTATCAGCATTATGGTTTTGATTCCTCCTGTGACGTTTTCACAGAACAACCAGCTTCAACTGTCACCTTTAAGAGGACTTGGCGCCTGCCAGTGCCAACAAACTCAGACACCTAGGTCCCTGGTGACAAGGTCAAGGCCCTGGGGGAGAGAGGCCTCCTCTCCACTTGGGGCACACCAGATGAATCCAGAGCTCCTCCCTAGAGGGCTTTCAGGATCAGGTCACTCCATAGGAGGAGCATGACCAAGCTGGACGGGCCAGGAGAGAACCAACGACTCAGGCAAAAAAGAACCAGGAGCCAGGGTTGTGTTTATGGAAAGTGTAAAGGTGGCATCATAGGCACTGGTATGGTAGGTGGAGGGGACAGGTGACGAGGGTGCTGGAAGCCTGTGCATGAGATCATGTTGCTTACTACGCTCATAGCATTCTCCCATCTACTTAATTCTCTCCAAGACTCTTCCCCTTCCATTCTTTTATCAACAGTGCTCAGCAAGTGAGGCTGCAGAGAAGGCTGAGAAGTTAAGAGTACTTGTTGCAGGTGCGAACAGTATGGGGGTGGGTTAAGGGAGAGAATGGGAGGAGAGGGAGGGGAAACTGTGGCTGGGATGTAAAATAATAAATAAATAGAGTGCTTGTTGCTCTAGCAGAACATTCTGGTTCAATTTCCAGCACTCATGGTGGCTCATAAGCAACCATAACCCCATTTCCGAGAGATTCACCAGGCACCTACGTGGTGCATATACATGAATGCAGGCTACATATTCAAACATGTAAAGTAAATCTAAAAATCAAAACAAAATTTAAATACTCAGCAAGTGGCTGGAAACATAGCTCAGGTTGTAGAGTGCTTGCCTAGCATGTGTCAAAATCCTGGGTTCCATCCCCAATATTATATAAAACCAGGTGTGATAGTGCATTTCTATAATCTCAGCACTCAGTAGGTGGAGGTAGGAGGGTCAAAGACCAACCTCAGATAAATGAGATCTTCCCTTAAAAAAACCAAAAAACAAAAACCAGGGCATGGTGATGCATGTCCTTACTCCCAGAACTCAGGAGGGAGGTATAGGCAGATGCTTGTGAGTTCAAGGCCAGCCTGGTCTACATCCACCTTAACCCCAGCACTCAGGAGGCAGATATAGATAGATCTCTGTGAGTTCCAGGCTAGCCAGGGCTACATAGTGAGTCCCTGCCTCACAAACAAAAAGAAAGATAGAAGGAGAAATAATATACCTCCATTATAGGGAAAGTGTGAGAGCTTGAGAGCACAGGGGTAGGATCACTAAGCTGGTCTGGAAGAGGAGAATGGCTGAAAAGACTTAGTGGGTAGACAGGAAGGTGGCCTGCAAACTGGGGAGAATATATATATTCTTCTTAGAGACTGGATGAAGAATTTGAACTTCACCTTGGATATTCATTGAGGGCTGGATAGAATAACACAGACTCATTCATATGTAGTGGGATTTTCCATAGACCAGCTCCTAAATAAGGACAGAGAGTTTTTTTTTTTTTGATTTTATGAGACAGGGTTTCTCTGTATTGTTTCGGAGGCTATCGGTCCAGCCCGGCCTCGAACTCACAGAGATCTGCCTGCCTCTGCCTCCCGAGTGCTGGGATTAAAGGCGTGCGCCACCACCACCCAGCAGGACAGAGAATTTTTATTAGTTATGAAAGCTTGGCCTTAGCTTAGGTTTGTTCTCAACTAGCTCTTAAAACTTAAATTAACCTGTTTATAGGGATCTACATTCTGCCATGTGGCTCGTTATGTCTCCTAAGTACTTTATGTCTGGCTGGCGAGTTCTCCCACCTCAGATTCTTTCCCAGAGTTCCTATCTCTGCTTAGAAGTCCCACCTATCCTCTCCTGCCCCGCTATTGGCCATGCAGCTCTTTATTAAGCAGGCCAGGAAGGACAGACACATCTTCACACAGTGTCATCAAATATCCCACAAATCTCAGATGCTTGTCAGTTGGTGCTAGGTGTTGGATGTGCTGTCTCTCTCAGGTGGACTGGGTAGGATTTCTTCCTGTAATGGCAATGGTTCAAAAAGATGAGAGGAGAAACTAAGTATTTTTGAACTTCTATATTCAAATGGACAAAAATAATTTATAAGGTGTTAGCCTTATAATGGAAGAACCAACGATGAATTTATGGTTATTTTTAACCTATCCCACCCTGGATTATGTTGGCCTGAACCCAAAAGGTGGCTAGAGGGAAATGAAGAATTTAGAAAGCAGAATTGGAAAAATCTTGGGGGAGTATTGTTGTTGGGGAGAAGTTACAAATGACTCACTCGTAGGTCTGGGTGATTGATTGGCTTGGGTGGTTGATGGGTAGTATTGTCCAGCATTTACAGAAATAGGAACAGGTTTAGGTAGAAGATGATGTCTCTGAGTCCTGGGAATGGGGAGGTGTCTTTTGGATAGCCGGGTGGAGATGAGCAGGAAGTAGGTGAATTCCAAGTGAGGCTTAGGGACAGGTCTGACTACAGACACCAGTTTGGAAGTATCAGCAGCCAGATGCCTAAGGCATTTCTCAAAGAGGCTGTATCCCAGAGCAGAGTGTTTTGGGGGTAGTACTCTAATAATAACTTAGTTTGTAGCTGTACTTAAATCTACTGGAGTCTCCAACACAAATCAGAATGTCTATCTTCTGTCAAGAGTATTGTCACAGCAATATGACGAGCAATTATTACTTGGACTAACTCCAAAATTTATTTCACTTTGCTATTTATTGAAGTTACTTATTTTGCCACTTGGTTAGGTGGCAGTATTGCTTTGGTGCAAAATGAGATGATGGAAAAAAAGGAATTAAATATACACTAAGCGTCCTCAGTTGTTTTATTTGTTTGTTTGTTTGTTTGTTTTTGGTTTTTCAAGACGGGTTTTCTTTGTGTAACACTTCTGGCTGTCCTGAAACTCGCTTTGTAGACCAGGCTGGTCCTGAACTCAGAGATCCGCCTGCCTCTGCCTCCAGAATGCTGGGATTAAAGGCGTGCACCACCACCGCCCAGCAAATGTTCCATGCTTTATATATTTGAAAAATTAATCAAAATAAATACAGGCATGCCGAATGAAAGGAATGGAGTTGGGGGAAATGTCCGAGGGGGTAAAATCTCTGTCTGTATTCAGGGAAACTTCAAATAAATTATCTGGGCGAATAATAATTACAAAAATGACTCTTATTAATTGCCTTGGTGGTTCTGACAGAGATATCACCGTCTTTCTTGGATGATACAGATTCTTCACAAGCCTCCTCTGCGCAGAATACCCACACACCGTTAAATTAGGAAAGAGAAATAGGCTCTCTCGGTTAGGCTCCTGAGAGACTTCCGGCAGGTGGAACCTCAGTTCCGAGACTGCGGTGGGCGCCGGAAATGTTTAAGTGGGACTCCCGCCTTAGCGACGCGCGCCTGGTTGCTAGGGGCCGAGGCGCGGGAGCTGGTGGAAGCTGCAGATGCCCGCTCCTCGTGCCTGCGGGCCTGGGCGCCATCCGGCCGGTGGGTACGGAGCCTGAGTGGGAGAGGGGGAGTGTCGGGGAGGCGGGAGCCCTGCGCGGTCCGCAGCGGCAGCCACCTACCCGCCTGAAGAGAGAAGAGGGCTGAGGAGGGTCTCCCTGCTTCCATCTTGGCGGAGTCCTCCCAGGGCACGCGCACGTCGGCACTGATCTTGAGTTGTTCGGGTATTGAACAGTGGTAGCATTTATAATTTGAGGGGCCAGAAAGAAAACAAAACCCAAAGAACTGCACACTGGTTTGTCCTTAGCGCTGAGTGTTTGTAAACCCTCACTGTGTGAGCCTTCTCCTTTTCATTATCATTAGACAGTCAAACCAGACCATCTCCTACCAACTTCTTTCTGCCGGCAGTTTTGTTACTACTTGAACAGTGGTCTCAGAGAGTCTAGGTTAGACACACAAGTGAAGGAGATTTAGGAAGTGAGCAGAGGATAAAAGAATCATTTACACGAATAGTGCCATGCTGGGAACAATGGTAACAAGCTGGTCTCGGTGATAGATCAGCATAAACACAGAGATGATTTATTGAAAATAACAGTTATAGGGAACTTGCTTGGATAAAGAGGTAGGAGAACATCTTATTACCTTGTTAAGTAGTAAATTTTACAGCACCATGAGTCTTGGCTATCTGGTTTGTAACTAGGAGACTAAATGTATAAGACATCTCAAGTCACCTCCAAGTACTCAGGGTCTGATGCTAACATATGAGAGTTTGTTTTTTTTTAATCTTTTTTGTGTTTTTTGTCTCTACAGAATCAGGAAAATCCAAGGAAATAGTATTCAGTTCACTCAGCTCTGCCCCTGGGGCAGTAAGTCAATCCTATGGAGCTCAGTTGTATTACAGACTGCAACAGAATTTCACACTATATAACTGAAAGAGGATACTCTGTACTCTATTTAATATGCCTCCTCCAACTTTTGAAAGCAGATTTGGGCAGAGATTAGCCCCAGGGTTCAGATGTAGGCCTACATCTTGGTTTCCACCAGAAACCAAGAGGGACATCCAGAGCCATAATTTCCTTTAACAATCTTCCCAAGTCCTTCCAGCCTTTGAGTGTTGAGGCAGGTCGATGTGCCTTCAAAATCTGTTGAACATTCTTGTTAGTCAGTTTTAAAAGACTGCTATTTTGAGGTCTGGTCACATGTGCCTGTGAGGCAGGAGGATTTTGGGTTGGAAACTAACTTGGACAATACAGCAAGATCATGTCTCAAAAAAAAGCCAACAAAAACAAACTGGAAGCAGTCAAAAACCAGAGGGTGTTATGCTGTGCCCTTAAAAAAAGTTCCCAGCTAATTTGAATCTTCATTGTAGTATAGCAACCCCTCATTCAGCAGATAAATGCCTTAGATTCATTCTCCCATAGGCAGGAAGCACAGATACAGAAACGAACAAGACATTACCCTTCCTCTCAAGTCTGCCACATGTTTATAATGTAAACAATAGGTTAGTCTTTATATGGTGAATGTTGTCCACTAAGTACATATATTTTTTGTTCTCAAAGATTACCTAAATGTATAACATAATTTTTAGCCTGATTGTGATCTGTCACTCTGATTAAGTGACATAAATGACTTGACTCAACACCCTCCAGACTCATAAATCCATCAATATATGCTGTCAGGGTGTGCCTGGATATGACTAATATGTGCATACTATGAGCAGTGTTAACAAGTGTGAAATTGGCGGTTATGGTAATATTACTGTTAATACTGCAGTCGGACTGGCAACCATCACTCACTGTTAACAGCCTGCCAAGTTGAGTTGGAGGTTCTTCAGGAACTACATTTTGCAGAGGTGCAGCACAGTATTCCATTCTGGTCAAGAACAGGGCCTCTGAAGTACCATCTGGATTCAGGTGTCAACCCTGTCACTTGTTTACAGTATAACTATGAGTAAATTGTTTGCACCTCTGTGCCTCTCTCTTGTCAATGGCAAATGGCTGTAAGCTCTTTGGGAGGCTTGTGTAGTACAGCATGTGAATTAAATGCAGAGCACTCTGAGACCTTCCTGACACACATAAGCCCCTCTCCTTTTTTCCACATCACAGAAATAATAATAGAATTATTGTCTCATTTTGCATGTAGGAAGTGAAAAATCCACAGAAGTTCAGCAACTTGTCTAAGGAGAATGGTACTCCAAGCCTAGTCCAATGTAGTTCACTTAATCAAATACTGGTGCACTTGACTATTTCTGTGATGCATATAGTGTAAACTCTCAGAAATTATTCGAACGCTTTAAGTAGAGTGGTTAAAATTGCTGCTTCTGTGTAGATGTTTGTGAAGGAAATTCTAGACTCAAACTCAAGAGGGCTGCCAAGTTACAATTTTAAACAAATAATCCTCCTGCAATCTCCAGATCTTTATATAAGGAGTAATTTTTAAAAGCTCTTTGTTCATAAGTCCTATTATTCATATTTAATTCAAAACTGAAAAGTTACCTTTTTCACAAAAACAGTGAACTCTGAATTAAGCAATCTACTCTGAAGCTTTACTGCAAGCAAAACCAAAATGCTTACTATTAAAATTCAGTGTTTCTATTTTGCAGATTCAGAAGTAGATACATTGCATCTGGGCTGTACCTTGGTTGGTAAAGAACTTGCCTGGCACACATGGGTTTCGTCCCCATCCCCAGCATTGATACACCATGCACAGGGGCAAGTGCCTGTCATTTTAGCGCCCAGGAGGTAAAGGCAAGAGAGCCACAAGTCCAAAGTCATTCTTGGCTACATTGTGAGTCTGAGGCCAGGCTGGGCTACATGAGACCCTATTTCAAAGCAAATAAACAAAATCAAATAACTGTGGGTTAACATCATGCTATGCTCTACCTCATTGATGGAAATTTGAGGCTTATATACTCTTAGAAATGTGTGTGCTGTTTATTAATAAGGAAAAAGTACACTAATAATTTTTTCAATTAACAAGGTCCCTATTTACACTTGTGTTGTAAGTCTCTTCAGTGCAAACATATGCTTAGACAGAGGGGAGATTAACTTGAGTGTCCTTTCATTAATTACAGAGATTAGGAAGTGGTTGTCTGGCTAGTTTCCAGAGTCTGAATGAACTACAGATCATCAAATATAGCAGCTCTCCAAGAAGACCTGTTGCTTTGGGGTGAGTAATGCCAAGTTACCCGTTGTTAGACTGTCTCCTAGGTGGAGATACCCAATAAGAATCCAGTTAGTTTTAAATACTTGTATAGCCTCCATGGTTTCCAGTGACCTAGATTTACAGGCAGCACCTGTCAGCACTTTGATGACAGTGTTGAGTAAGACAGGCAGAGCGCTAGTGGCACTCACTGTGCCTGGGAGCTGTTTGTCTCTTCTTTCCAGCGTGCCAGCCAACTTATGCAGCTCCTCGGACAGCAGGATGGAGTTCTCCTGGGCCAGTCCCTCTTTAGGGGCGGTGGTGTGAGTAAGAGCATGTATCTGGCAGCAATCAGTTGTTTTTCTCTCTGTGCACAGTTCTTCCTGGAGCTGGGCTGTTTGTGTCTGTGGCACATGGATTCTTCAGAACTTCTTTAAGTAGGACCTGGAAGAAATGAGACTGGCCCCTCTCGTTTCCCCCTTACTTCCCTTGGCTCTCCAGCATCTCAGGGAACAGCTAGTTTGAAGGACACAGGACCTGGGTGGCTGACACTGGTCCAGTTCCTACAAATGTTGGTGCTGGGCGCCTCTTCAGATTTCGCTCTGGTTCTTTGTGGCACCAGCAACTCAAGCAGGAACATCACGTGCTCAGGTCCTGTTCCCTGAGTGAGTGAAGACATGAGGTGGACATCCTTGTTTCTTTTCCTTTTATTTCTTTTTGTGCAGTCCTGGGGATCAAACCCATGCTGGATCATGCTAGGCAAGCCTTGTTCACAGCAGGCAAGCGCTCTGCCACCTATAAATTACTCATGCTCCTACACCTGCAGCCCACGACATAAGCATCTCTGAATTCATAATTCACCCTTTGTTTTTAGTTCCAGCCTTATGAGCTGATGAAGACAAATATAAGTAAGTCTGAAAAAGATACTCTTCTATTCTTCTTACCCTAATATAACATTCAATACTAATGTAATGATGTAATTTCTGGGACTGTTCTCAAACATTTCAGCCTCAGGACCTCAGGATTCTTTTTCATGTTTAAAATTTACTGAGGATCCCAGTGTAGATTCCTGATTACTATTTTGTATATGACAAACTGAGAAGTTTAAAAAATACTTCCTATTTAAAACCAAACATAATAAAGCTCTTGCAAATGCAGTGTGATAACGCCTGCCTGAACTGTCAGCACTTGGGAAGCAGAGGCAGGAGGATTGCAGATTCAAGGCCAGCCTGGGCTACAGAGTAAGCCCTGGGCTAGTCTATAAGACTCTGTCCCAAAAAAACAAACAAAAGCATGTTGTGGACCAGGTATGGTGGTTCATGGCTTTAATCCCAATGTCAGGAGACAGAAGGGCACACTACATGAGTTCTAGGCCATCCATGGCTACATAAATGGCATGATTTATTAAAAATAAACTTTCCAAAAAATTTTAGTTGGAAAAAGTAGTATTGAGTTTTTAAAAAAGTCTCTATAGTGTGTGATTTAAAGAGAAGACAATTCTGTCTCTCATGGTATATTGCAATAAAATATATAGAAAGAAAAGCAGGCCTTGCACTGAGATGAAGGTGAAGCGAGACCTTGGGCTCTGAGAGAGACTCAGAAGTGCCCCCAGCGTCCTTGCTTTGAGAACTGTTGGTCTGGATAGTTAGTGATCTCATTAGTGTCTTCTCTCTGGAATCTCACATCTGTTGCACAGTAGCCTCATGATGTTTGTGTGCAGCGTTACAGAAGCGATGCAAAGAAATGACTAAAGATGACAAGTAAGAAAGGTGATAGCTCTCAGAGTAGCTGGGCTCTTCTTTCTAAGAAGCTTTTCCAGGGCTAGTGTGACAGCTCAGCAGGTAGAGACACTGCTACGTAAGCCTGGTGATCTGAGTTCAATCCGGCACCCCTGTGAGGGTGGAGGACGTGGTCCCACAGAATTGTCCTCTGCCCTCTCTACTTGCACCATGATGCATGTGTGCGGGCACACACACTTATAGAGAGAGAAATGACTTTTTAATTTTCAAAGAAGAAGTTTTGCTAATACAGATTATATTTTATTTTCAATTTCATGTTCATAGTACTTAATTTATTGTGGTAGAGTACTATCTAGTTGCATAATATTTTTATCCCTCCCAAAGGAAGCTTTGTCTTTAGTAAGCAGTCATATACACTTGGATTCTAATCACACTACTAATGTTGTACCTAATGAAATTCTCTCCATTCCACAGGGAACACGCCTCCCAGCGACTGCAAGGGATGCTGTTACTCTACCGCCAATTGAAACCAGCTCTTCCTCAGAAGGTTTTCTGTAGGCTCTGGGCTGTGATGGGGAAACTGCAGAGCAAACTCAGACACAGCACTTACAAATACAGGTAGATCGCATCCTGGCCCACTTTTATACGTCCCTTTTTCTCTACTAAGGAAAGAAGGCGAGTAGCTGTGCTCTTCCCTTCCACTTGGTTTGGAGTACTGTCTTAGGTAAGAAATGGCCATCTCACCAGCTAGTACCTGCACTGTACACTCCGGGTCCTGCATCTTTGGGAGTCATCTCTAATGAGAGCAAAGACTCCTTGCCTCAGGATTCCCCTTCATCAGATTTCAATAATCCAAATAAACAGCACCATTTTATATCTGGGTAGTTCCCAATCAAAACAGTGGGTCTCTTTTCTGTCTCAGCCTGGCCTGAATTGCTATCATTGCCACATTGCTCCGCCCCTGCTCCTCTGTCCATTCCCAGGCAGTGGGCCTCATTTTCCATTCCCTCTGTAACAGGCCTGATGGACTTACAGAAGAGAGAGTCCAGACTAAAGCGTTCCAAGAGTACAGCCCCGCTCACGTGGATGCAGTCTCTGTGGTTGCTACTCTGAACTCAGACCTTTGTGTCTCTGGAGGAAGAGACAAGGTGAGGTTTCCATTTCTTCCCAAGAAGGCAGCTCACTGCAGGAAAGGGAAGGTGTCCCGAGAGAGTCTAATACTGCATTTCTACACTGCAACAGGGCTCAAAGTTTGAAGGCTGGAGTTTAAGCCCGGGCTCTGCCACTTCCTATCACTGTAGGCAAGTCTTTACATTTTCTGAGCTTTGGTTTCTTAGTCTGTTACATGGTAAACAGTAGCAACTGTGTTCTAAGACAGTCACAAGGTTCCAATGAGAACAGAACCCAGTGCCAGGCCACCTGCATGCTTTATAAATAGGGGCATTACTATTCCACCCACTTCATTCTTTACAGTAAAACCAGCAAAAAGAATTTTCTGGCTGGACGGTGGTGGCTCAGACCTTTAATCCCAGCACTTGGGAGGCAGAGGCAGGCGAATCTCTGTGAGTTCGAGGCCAGCCTGGTCTACAAGAGCTAGTTCCAGGACAGCCTCCAAAGCCACAGAGAAACCCTGTCTTGAAAAACCAAAAAAAAAAAAAAATCTGGTTGCTTTATGCTTTGTTTTTCAAAATTCACAATGCACTGGCCTTTTATATTTTGGTCTTTCCTTTTTCTGTTATCATGGACTTAACTGCTTTCTATCCTTACATTAAGAGCTATCTTGTCAGTCACTGCTGGCAGCTGCAGCAACAATACACTACTGCTTCTTCCTGCAGGGAATAATACTAGCAGTGTTTCTTATTTCCAATAGATTTTCAGAATGGTTACATTTGTAAACTGTATTTCACCATTTGTAAGATGCATTTGCTTTGGATGTCATTGCTTCAAATCAGGACACAATTAATTAGTATCAATACTTAATTAGTAATGTGGTCTCTCTCTCTATTTTTTTTTTTTTTTTGAGACACAGTTTCTCTTTGTATATTCCTGGCCTGGAACTCTCTGTAGATGAGGCTGGCCTTGGACTCACAGAAATCCACCTGCCTCTGCCTCCCAAATGCTGGGATTAAAGGTGTGCACCACCACTCCCCAGCAACATTGCCTTGTCTTAATGTCTATATTATTTTGGACCTAAGAAATTTTATTTACTCGTGTGACCCTTTCTCACTGGACTGTCCGTTCTGTTGTGAAGCCTGGGGAACTGACAGGTCAGGTGCTCCAGCGACTGGGGTCATGCTCCTTTGTAGCAGTGACCTGTAGACACTCAGCAAGGAAATGCTTTAAGGTGCTGCTCAGAAGCCAGCATGGTAGTGACACATGTAATCCCATCTCTCTGCAGACCGCTGTGGCGTATAATTGGAAAACTGGACACATGGTGAAAAGGTTCAGAGGACATGAGCGGGAAATCACTAAGGTAACCATCATTCTGAGGGGAACTGAGGAGTGCATCAAGAAATATCAATAGCTAATAGAGAGCTTGTATATTTAGTCTGAAGGAAAAATGCAAAGCTTTCCTTTGATCCCAGGAAGAGCAGAGCAAATAATTTCAAACGTGGAATTAACCAAATACCAGGCGGAGGTGTGGGTAAGAACATGCCACAATACACATACAGTAGAATATTATTCAGTCCTTTTTTTTTTTCAAGACAGGGTTTCTCTGTGTAACTCTGGCTTTCCTGGAATTTGATCTGTAGACCATGCTGGACTCAAACTCACAGAGATCCCCCTGCCTCTGCCTGCTAAGTGCTGGCATTAAAGGCGTGCGCCACCACCCAGCTTATTCAGCCTTGAAAAGGAGCAAAAGGATCTGGAGAGATGGCTGAACAGTTGAGAGCACTGGCTGCTGTTCTAGAAGAACTAGGTTCGATTCCTAGAACCCACATGGTGCTTACAACCATCTGTAACTCCAGTTCCAGGGGATACAACATCCTCTTCGGCTTCCAAGGGCACTAGACACAAAAGTGGTACACAGACATGCACGAAGCAAAGACACCTATACATATAAATAGTAATAATATTATCATTTAAACTTTTTAGAGGAATGAAATTCTGGGATTGGGTGTATAGCTCAGTAAATCCTAGCACAGTGAAGCCTGGATTGGATCCGCAGTACTGAAAAGAAAAGGTGATACTCTGATAAGGGTTACTTACAACAGTGGCGGATGTTGGAAGCATGTTTAGTGAAAGAAGCTAGACAAAAAAACAGTGAGGCTTAACTGACCTGACAGACAGTGGTGAGCAGGGGTCAGAGAGGAGAGAATGGTGGAATTGCACTTCAGGGTGACGTAAGTTCTACTGTTGGGGAGTGTTGAGATTGTACTACAATGCAAATGTCCCTGCTGCCACTGAGCTGTATACGTAAAATGGTTAAAGTGGTCGGCCGTTTCTGAGAGAGAGAGAGAGAGAGAGAGAGAGAGAGAGAGAGAGAGAGAGAGAGAGAGAGAGAGAGAGAGAATTAAAAAAATACCTTTTTAAAAGCAAAACAAATTAGCCTTGTCTCTATAGATGTCTCCAGGACAGCTACACAGAGAAACCCTATTTTGGAAAAAAGAAAGGGAAGGAGGGAGGGAGGGAAATTAAAAGTGTGTAAGTGGGGAGTAGAATACAAAGCCGTCTGCTATTTTGAAGTCCTGTCTAGCATGTACACCTGAACTATTTCTGTTTTAATTTGTTCTGTGAGCAGATAGCCTGTATTCCCAAATCAAACCAGTTTTTCAGCGCCTCTCGAGACAAGACAGTCATGATGTGGGACCTGCAGGGCTCCTCCCAGCCCAGACAGCAGCTGTCTGGACATGCCATGGTGGTCACTGGCTTGGCTGTGAGTCCAGGTAAGTGCAGCAGATCTGCCAGCACCTGCATTCCCAGAACGCTTGCGCATATCTCAGCTCATGGCCATTGTCTCTTCTTACCGTTGTTTTTGCAGACTCGTCACAGCTGTGCACCGGCTCTCGGGACAACAGCTTGCTTCTGTGGGATCTGGGTACTGGACAGTGTGTGGAGAGAGCGTCCGTCTCCAGGAACCTGGTACATACTCAGACTTGGTGTAGAACAGGATGGTAGAAAGGAGCGTGGAGTAAGGGAAGCATGCTGGGGGCATAGCTCATAGTAGGTAGTGTGTTTAGCATGGGGCATGGGCTTGGGTTCAGTTGAGAGGTGGCAGCTGGGAGTAAAGAGAGGGGAGGAAGGAAAAGAGACCGGTGTTTTCATTCTTTTCCTCAGAATATGCTGTTAGCATGATTTGATCGTGCTAGGCACTACTAGGAATAGAAATATAACAAAGGACATGGTGTCCTGTCTTGCAGGAGCTCACAATTTATGAGTGTAGAATGTGATACAAGATGGCTGCTTTCCCCTTTGAGTATGTAGCATTATGAAGAGAAAAGTGTGCCCTTTTCTTGATAGAATTCACTGTGTGACAGCTGACAGCTGTAAACTTTGCACAGCCTTTGGGCCCAGTTACACCTGGTTTCCACACTTGTGTTTGTGTGGGGATTTTTCTTTTGCCTTTTCCCATCTTGGGGGTTGAGCCTTGTACATGCTAAGCAAACTCTAGCCTCCACTCCCAGCCCTGCTTTCAAACCACAGATCTATCAATTCATAGCTCTGTTGTGCTAGTTAAGCTTAGATCCTAAGGCAGGACTCTGCAGATAACTGACTGAGATAAAAGGTAACATGAAACACATGTGGTTGTGCTCGACACGTGGCAGACGGTCCTCAGAACCTGCTGTTGTAGTTTGAAGTCAGCTGCGTGTGGTGGCTGTACTTGCCTGATGTCTCCACATTGTGAGGACAGTGCTAAGGAAAGGACAACTCTCCAGGCCAGGGTTACTGTTACTCTTTGGAGCCCCTGAGGTGTTACAGCAGGGTTCAGCGGGACCCACTTAGCACAGGGGCTGCTCTTCTAGCTGCCACCTGCTCATGTCTGCCGGCTGGGGTTCAGGTCTCCAAGGCTAACCACAGGCCTGCCTGCTGGTACCTTTGCCCCTATGTAGGGGTGAGCCCATATTATAATCCACGCCCCCTTTAGAGGTGTGGACAAAGGTGCGGGCACAGGTGACGATAAAGGGAAGCGAAAGAAAACGTACCCTCTCTTTTGTTGGAAGCCGGCCACGCTTCTGACTCCCCAGCTTGTGTGTAAGTTCTTTCTCTGGTAAATAATAGATTATATTCCATATTGCATGACCTCCCTTGTCACCCCTGCACACTGAGGAGATGCAGGCAGAAGAGGACTGATGGTGAGCTGTGGGACAATGGCTCTGCTGTCAGAACCCTTGAGAAGGATGAGGGATGAGTTAGCCAGTGAAACTGTAGCAGCGCAGTGTCCTGATGTGGAGACTCTCTGGCTGCTTTCTCCAGGTCACTCACCTGTGCTGGGTCCCCAGAGAGCCGTATGTACTCCAGTCCTCCGAGGATAAGACCATCAGGTGGGCTGCTGAGCTGCAGTGGAGGTGTTTCTGGTGAAGGTCTGCTTCCATGACTCCATTCTGCTTCTCCATGCTGCTGTGCCCTTCCTAGGGCTCCCTTCCCCTTCACTCCTAGCTGCCAAGGGGACTCTCTGACCTGGAGCTTGTGGGAACAAGCTCAGGGCTGGCTGAGGTCCTGCTCTGAATGGTGTGAAGCCGCTGACCTTGCTGCTTCTAGTGTGACTGTCTAGATCAGCCTCGGCCTCACCTGCTCCCCACCCCAGGCAGCCTGGCCCTGCTGTCATGCCCTCCACGATTCCTGGGGTTTCCAGGTACCTAGCCCTCAGCCAGAGCCTCCCTGAGAAAGAAGGGTCAGAATCTACATCAAGGGGTCAGATAAAGTTAGGAGTTCACCAACTGGGGTGCATGCCTCAAAATTCTGGCTCTCCAAAGACTTTTAGTATGAAAAGGGAGGTGTCAGACAGGGAGGACACAGTGAGATAAGACTTTTAGTATGAAATGGGAGGTGTCGGACAGGGAGGACACAGTGAGATAAGAGGCCACACAGAGCTCCCAACTGGACTCCAAGGCCAAGGCTGGCATGGCAGCCGCAGCCTGGGTCTGGTTCTGGGGTGGTGGTGACACTAGTGAGGGTGCTTTCTCTGTAGCAGTAGGTCTGGACTGTAGTCTGAGCACCCAGGAGCACCCAGGAGGCTGAGGAGTACGGCAGCCTGGGCTATAGAGCAAGACCTGTTTCAAAACAACACAATATCTTTTCTAAAAATGATGCAAAATTAGCCTCTTGTCCATTGAAAGCAGTGTCTTGAAGGACCAAGTTCACTTGAACAATTAAGATGTGTGTTCTAGCGGGCAGTGGGGACGCACACCTTTGATGACAGCACTCAGGAGGCAGAAGCAGGCAGATCTCTGTGAGCTCGAGGTCGGTCTGGTTTACAGAGTGAGCTCCAGGGCAGCCAGGATGGTTACGAAGAAAAACCCTGTTTCGAAAAACCAAAAACCAGCCAACCAATCAAGGAAAGAAAGATGTGTGTCCTAGCCAGGTGCTGTTGGCACACACCTTTAATCTCAGCACTTGGGAGGCAGAGGCAGGAGGATCTGAGTTTCAGACTACCCAGTCTAGTCTACAAATTGAATCCAGGACAGCCAGGGTTACACAGGGAAACCCTGTCTCTAAAAACAAACAAACAAGATGTGTGTTCTAAAGTCTCCATGAGAAGGCGATGATGGCTCAGCAGACAAAGGCACTTACTGCCCAGCCTGCAGCTTAATTCAGTCCCTGGGACCCACACACATGCTGTGGTGTGTGCAACCCCTAACCCCAAATAAATAGTGTTTTTTTTTTTAAAGTCCATATGACTTGATTTCAAAACAGAAAAAATCAAGATGGCATTGACTTGGTAACTTCCTGTCAGCTTCAGAGTTTGTCAGAGTCTGACATTCTGTTCTGACTGGCAGCAGAGTCAAGCTCTTCCTGTCAGTGACATTACAGGTGTTTTGTGTTTTGTCCCATTTACTACAAAGCCAATTTCTGCTTCTGATTCCTTCCAGGTTATGGGATAGTCGGGGGCTTCAGATGGCTCACGTGTTTCCCACAAAGCAGCAGATCCAGACCCACTGTGACGTCAGCGTGGACGGACACACGTGTGTCTCCTGCAGCAGCGGCTTTGGGGGTGAAGGCTGTGAAGCCACAGTAAGAGCCATTGTGATGAGTAGGCTGCTGTGGTCTCTCTGTCCTCATATGCAGACAGGCTCTGCCACAGCACTGGCCTGCTTCACCCCGTGTGTCCCAGAGGCTTCCTTTAAGAAACATCTATTAAGCCGGGCGTATTGGCACACGCCTTTAATCCCAGCACTTGGGAGGCAGAGGCAGGTGGATCTCTGTGAGTTCGAGGCCGGCCTGGTCTACAAAGTGAGTTCCAGGACAGCCTCCAAAGCCACAGAGAAACCCTGTCTCGAAAAGCCAAAAAAAAAAGAAAAAAAAAAAAGAAAAAAGAAACATCTATTAACGTGGGTCTGCCTGAATTGGTAACAGATAAGAGGAGCAGGATGGGAATCAAGAAGAGAAGGGCCAAACAGCGTAGCCGCTGATGCCCTTGCTCCTAGTGGAGCCTAGGCAGGGAGGAGCTGCTTGAAGAGCCAGACATATGCTCTTTGTGTGTGTGAGCGTGCTAAAGGAAGCTCAGCTCATTAGAGGAGCTGTGGAGCCCCACAGCTGGTCGAGGGCCCTCCACACCTTACCCAGATATACACCTTCCTTGCAGTAATTTCAGGGTGCACTCCGTAGGCCCCACCAAAGTTCCTAGATTCATAATTGCAGGTAATAGGTACAAAGAATTATCTAGTTCCAAATGAAAGAGTTGTATTTCTGAGTTATCAGATATGTATGCCATGGTAAGTATTGAACTAAACATGTGGTTTCATTTTATTTACTCCCTAAGACAAGCTTGTGAGTTAGGTGTTGTTTCAATGCCTGTTTTACAGTTGAGGGATGGAGGCATGGCAAGTTGGAATCTCTTACTGGGTACATACTCCTAGGAGGGGTAGATTAGCATGTTGCAAGCATCTCTTGTCCTAGCTGATGGATAACAGGGTCTCCTGTGAACCCCTGTTTTTGGCACCATTCAGTTTTCTCTCATCTCTGGATGGTACCTTCTAGGTCTGGTCTGATCTGTGTCGGTATAAGGGGGACTGACAGGGCTGTCACATCGTTTGCCAGAGGCACTAGGCATCAACTCAGAATATCTGCACCTGTGTGACACACAAGGTGTTCCTTAGTGTATGGCCCCCATGGGACCTACGGATGCCAGGAGGCATGAGAACAAGGTACTTCCCTAGTCATGGAGGAGGCAGCACCCTTCCTGCACAGCCATAGCTAGTGTTGTTTGAGGCATAGTTGATGCTACAGTTGTCACTTGGTAGATGGGTGGTTGGGTATAATGGATGAGATAAGGGCTTCAAATGGCTTTCTGAAGCATGAGTGGAAGGGATCAGTGGGTCGTGGGGAGTGGGAGGATGGATATTAGTGACGCATGAACATCTGTATGTATGAGCTGGCTGGTGTCATTACTTTGCAGTTGTGGGACCTGAGGCAGACAAGAGACAGAATGTGTGAGTATAAGGGGCATTTCCAGACAGTTGCATCCTGTGTCTTTCTACCAAAACCCACGGCCTTGATGCCTATGATTGCTACCTCAGCACATGACTCTACGGTGAAGATCTGGAACCAAGACACTGGAGGTAAGCAGTCTGCTCTCAGTGCTTCTCAAAAGCTGATGCAGTCTGGAGACTTTTCCCATTGCTTGCTGTATTCAAACACTGCCCCCCCACACACACCATGTCCTGCCGCTGTCTAGTCCCCTTGTAGTTAAGAGGTGAGACACCAAAGTACCCGCATCGTTCTGTTCAGCCTCCCACTCTAAGCCAGCACCGTGCTTCCCACATGCTGTAATGTAAAGGCTCTTACATTCTTTCTGTCTGAAGTTTCTCTCAGATTTTAACTTGTGATGCTAGAAATGTCTGGGGGGGGTGCTACTTTTGAGTTCTTATTTCAAGGGTCCAGTTAGAACCTCAGCTGTTTCTTGTTGGGACTGTGATGAATTGAGACAAAACTCAGAAAGGCTCCACCTGTGTGGACTCTGGAGTTGTGTTTGAGGTCACTGGAAAGTCAAAGCTCCTCAGCACCTCAGAAAATCCCTGTCTTGTGGCTTCCCAGAGTCTTCTATGTGCACAGCCACACAAGTCAGTTGGTGGATACCTGGGAATTTTGTGAGTCGTGGTCTAATGCTTAATGCTCTGATATGAATTCAGTTATGGTGGGGCATGTATCCATGGAGATTTCCAGGTGCTGTGAGAAAGTGTTGGATTCTTTTCTGGAATCTGGTTTCCCAGCGCTGCCTCCATGCTGTTTCACTCTGGACATAGGATTGGGCTGGAGACAGGAACAGTGCTAATTTAGAGAACTTCAAAATCTTCCCATAGTCACTTGCCAGAAACTCAGTTCCCCTAAGGGAGAAAGAACCACTTTCCAGAGAAAAGAGGTGGGTGTATCTAGTGTCACTCTGTAAACAGCTGTGACCATGACCCAACCTTTCACAGTGAAGACTGGGCTGCCATCCCCTCACCTGGAGCTGGATTCCCTGCCTGCCCAGGAGTAACATTCGTGGGTGAGGGGATGTGGATGTATTGACCACAGGTGTCAAGGTGGGAGCATCGGCCTGAACAGACAGCACCGCTGCCCTGCATGTGCTCTGGCAATCCTAGAAAAGTTGCCTCAGAGATTCAGATGAAGGGAAGACCCAGTTAAAAGCAAAGCCCAGTCTTTAATCCCAGCACTCAGGAGGCAAAGGCAGGCGGATCTCTGTGAGGTCATGGCCAGCCTGATCTACAGGGTGAGTTCCAGGACAGCCAAGGCTACACAGAAAGACCCTGTCTCAAAAAGAGCAAAGCCCAACCCTCTCCTTATCTTGAAGAGAGCTGGCAGCCCAGTGTCCTGTCTGTTTCCCCTGACTTAGCCTGTCTTGTTCTCTACCCCTTTTAAATATGGCCACAGTTGTCTGAAATACTGCTCGGTAGCCTATATCCTGTTGGACCTGGGTACCATTCTCTTCAGTTGAAGTCATGGAGATGACCCAGAGTCTCCCACTCAGGTGCACCATTCCTTGTTAAGAGGCAGAGCCCTCTCATGGCTCAGATGGTACAGGGCATTCTCTGTTTCTTATTCTCATGATCTAGTCCCACTGTGTAGTCTCTGTGAATGACAGACTGCACCTGGTAGTTTAGATGTGTAGTAGTGCATGAGCTTACTCCATGATGTTAGAGCATGACAGCACTGCCTAACGACACATTTCTCAAAGATGTTTTCATCATTATGCATGCAACTGGTTCTCCTTCTCCAGCCTGCCTATTCACCTTGTCTCTGGATGGATCAGGCCCCTTGACCTCCCTGGCTGTTGGTGATATCGCCTCCTTGTTATGTGCCAGTTTCTACAGAGGAGTTCACTTACTCAGAGTGGACCACAGCCGAGGGCTGGAACTTCAGGAAGTGGCAGCCTTCTGAAGCCAAGACATTGACTGGACAATATCAAACCATGGCCTCTCCTCTCTGTGTGCCTTTGTGTTTTTCCATATGATGTTGAGGGGCAGGGTGCAGGATTGGTGTTCTTTTCTTAGGATCATTTAGAAGGCATGTTAAGGTTAGATGTTGGTTAAAGTCCAATGATTCAGAAATCAGGATGTTTATCTTTGTGTTTGCACCAGGCTCACTCTGTAGCCCAGGCTGGCCTTGAGCTCATAGCAACCCTCCTGCCTCAGTCTCCTGACTGCTGGAAATAAAGGTGTGATCCAGCATGCCCAAGAAAATTCAGGTTAGAAACATGGACTCAATATAAAGTTCTTGATCTCAGGTAAATCTGAACGGAGTCTTTAGTGTTGCCCAGGAGTCGTGCAAACACTCAAGGACACTGCCCCATATTACAGGAGTTGTTAAGCCTGCCCCATGTACCAAAAAGCAGAGGGGATGGGAGATGACGGCCAGGAGATAATGCATTTGTAATTTGAATGTTTTTATCCATATAAAAACATTACACATCTGCATCCTCCCTGCCTTCCATTCTTGGGGATGGCCAGAGGCAAGAAGCCATCTCTGGAACATAGACCAAGGAGCACAGAGGGATGGAATCAGCTGAGCGCAGCCACTGAGCTCCCTTCAGTGAGGAGGGTCAAGGTGCTTGCGTCAGTCCTCAGCCTGGAGCTCAGAAGCCCATTTTCCTTGAGAGAAAGTGGAGCCCTTTTTGGCTTTAGGTGAGTCCTAAAATAAGGCAACTGAGGCCTGGCTAGAGAATGGCTGCCCTTATAGCTGCTGGCTCCTGTCTGTCCATTTCCTCTCTCCTTCCAGCTGTCAGGGTCAGAGGGAGAGTGTGTTCATGAAGGCACATAGTGTGACCTGAGTGAAGTTCCATGGGATTCACCTTGAGAAAGTTATGAAATCTCGGGTTCCTCACGTGTAATATGGTACTCAGGGCCATACCTCCCTCACAGGGCTGATCCTGAGGGCAAGCTACAAGGGAGTCAGTCACTCAGTAGCTTGTCTGGGACTGAATAAACATAATAAACATTTACCATTCCTTCATCTGTTGTCCAGTCTTATTTTCTAAACTTTTAGCCTTTCAGCTCCCTTTCTGGATCTTTGATCTCTGGAATGACAAGGGAGTAGTGTGATAGGAAGTTGCTATAGTAGGCTAATTAGATTCTCACTAAAACTCCCAAAGATGTTTCCATTTCACAGATGGGAAAGCCAAGGCCCAGAGACATGAAGCACTTTGCCCACAGTTACAAGCAAGGGCAGATGTGCATCTGGGTCTGCCCCACTTGAAGCTGGGGAATCACCTGCCGTGTTTGCCTTTGCCTTTTATATATTCATAGACCATGACATTGCTTTTTTATTTTTGAGACTAGATATTAATCTAGTTCTGGAGATTAAATTTAGGATATCATTCCTGCAGGCCACAAACTCTGCCACTGAGATATCCCCTAGCCATGAGTTAACTTTGGCTCTAGGAAAGTCCTGCTGGTGGGACCTGGGGGCTGTAGACAGGTCTCCTCTTAGGACAGAAAAATCTCTATTGTGTCCTGGATGCCTAATGCTGCAGCTGACAGTTTCTAGAAGAAGACAGTAAGTTAAATAAAGGAACAGGTAGGGAGGGTCCCTCTGGTGAGTTAGGGTTCTACATCGATGCCCACCCCTTCCTCAGCTCCACCTGTGTTCAGTGCCAGATTTCCTTATCTGTGCCTGAGAAGCAGAAAGACCTGCAAATGCTCACAGTGCAGACCCTTTGAAAACGTGGGTTAGAGCCAGGCAGTGGTGGTGCATGGCTCTGATCCCAGCACTCAGAAGGCAGAGGCTGGTGGATCTCTGAGTTTGAGGCCAGCCTGGGCTACACAGAAAATCCCTATCTCAAGAGAGAGAGAGAGAAAAAAGTTACTTTAGGCCCTAATTAGGATATTCTTGGTGCCCAAGGCTCTGGGTGCTAAAGTCAGGAAGTCTCCATTTTAGAGGCCGCTCTCTACATCATAGAAAGAAACGTTCCGGCAGTTAACTTATTTCCTTCCAGGAAAGTGTGTAAGCCACTGGAACCCTGTCAGTTACATATCTAAAGTTTAACCCTATATTGACATTTATCATAGTATAACTATACACTGAGGAGAATGGGTGACTATTAGTGGTCTTCACTTAGACTAGGGTTAGCAGTAAGAGCAGAACTCAGGTTGCTTGGAGAGTGTGACCTTTCAGCTCCCAGCAGCAGGACCTTGGCTATTTGTGAGTGGACTTTCGAAGGCCATTGTCAAAGAGCACTTTCATCATTAGGTACTAGAGTGGGCTGTGGTGGTTCATGGTTGTGCCCCAGCACATGGGAGGTAGAGCAGCAAGTCAGGAGTTCAAGGTCATCCTCACCTACCTCTCCTATGCAGTGAGCTCTGGCCAAACAAGGGTTCCATGCTTACCACCTCCCCCACCCCAAATTATGAAGATTGTTGTTTCCCCAAAGTTGGCACAGGTTGGCCAGCCATTCCAGCCAGGTATGCCATGGGGATCCATGGAAATGATGTCCATTACACTCACCCAACTAGCTTGAAAGGAATGTGAGCGCGTGTGCCCAGAGCGACCCCTCGGCCTCCACTGGAGGACTTCCGGCACCTGCTGAAGGCCTCAGTGGCCCAAGTGAAGTGCAGAGTGATGGGCTTGCAAGACAGAAAGAAGCCAGGGCCCTGAGTCACTTTGAGTTGAGCTACTGTCAGCCTGCCTGGCCACGCTGTTGCTGGAAGAGAAGCGAGCCTCTTTAATCTACTACATAATCATTTTACTAGGTTTAGTAAACATGAGGGAATTTTCAAATGTTCAAGCTTAAAGTTCTGACTTTTCAAAAATTGAAAAAACTCTAGAAACCAAGACCTGGCTGCAGATGTGTGCAGTCTTAGAACCAGCAGGCTGCTGCTGTGTTGCAGATCAATCAGACAGGCCCAGAGTGAAAGCTTAGCCCTTCCCCTTCCTATGTTTGTAAAAACAGTGGGCAAAGCACTGTATGACTCTGGGCCTCAGTTTTCCCATCTGTGAAATGGAACATCCTGGGGCATTTTTATCGGGAATATGGATCCAGCTGTGCAGCACCGATTTCATCCTCACAGACCTCTGCATCGACAGATAAAGAGGGTGGTCTAGGCTTCAAGGAATGAGGTCTTGTAAATGATGTCACCATGGGCCTACAAGCCCAGCTGGCCTCAGTCAATACAGCCTGGTACATGAAATCAGCAGTCTGCCCATGATTCATGAGAAATGGTAAATCACTCTTGCTTTAAGACTATATTGTCGGTGGTTTGTGATACTTCGGGAGACTTTTAGACAAGCATGGACTGGTAGATTGCTTTTGCTCGGCATGTCAGTGACATGGGCACAGGGCTTACGTGTACCTGGACACCGTCCTCGCTGTGGGTAGGAGTTCATTGTATGCAGACAATGATCTGTGGGTGGTTCCCAGTTCAGGACTCACGTGCATCGCCCCAGAACAGATGCATGTATCTGTGCCCACTCTAGAGCAAGCCCAGAACTTGCTGGGCTGTCATAATTCATGCGGCCAGCCTTAGTCGAAACGGCCAGACATTTCCACAAAAAACCTGTGCCGCTTGGCTCTGGAGCAGGCAGCAGGAGAGTCAAAGTCCTGGCTCTCACCTGTGCCCACCCTTGGTACCCTTGAACTTTGCCACCTGCTAGTATAAAAAGAGAGTGCTGGTGCTGGGGGACGCACCGCAGGAGTGAGTTCCCGGGAAATTAGCGTCCTCTCAGTTCATGGGAGAGTGGCGTGCCCAAGGTCCAACAGCTTGTGGTAGGCACAGACACCAGCTCAGGTCTAGGACACAGGCTGCTTCTCCCAACAAGGCCCTCTGCTTTTAGTGGTCTTATGGTGGTAGTCAGCCTGAAGGCTGAAGGGGCTGGGAATGAGTGACAGTGTATCTAGACATTACACACAGAACACCCAATTCATTCCCAGTGTTATCTCCTCCCCATGGGGAACACAGCACCTGTCCATCCTAAGTCCTGCACAGACAATTGAAAAGCAGAGCCCTACCAGGCTGTGGTGGCTCACACCTGTAATCCCAGCACTCAGAAGGCAAAAGCAGGCAGATCTCTGTGAGTTCAAGGCCATCCTGGTCTACATGGTGAGTTCCCGGACAGCTGGGACTATGTTGGGAGACCCCGTCTCAAAAAAAAAAAAGCTAAAATAAAATCTTTAATATATCTTGACCCTGGTTTATCTGGGTATTGACTGTAAGCTGAGCCACATACTCTCTCCTGCCTTGACTAGAATTTTTGATTGGAGTATATCAGATTTCTTTTGTAAACATACTTTTGAGATAGGTAACACATTCAGGTATTTATAAGAAAGAGTGCAGAGAGTTGTGCCATGAAATCTCTCCCTCTCCTTGATGTCTGTCATTTATCTGGCTCCCTATGGAGGTAACCAGTTTCCTGCATCCTATTTTATGTACAGGTACAGAAAATACAGAAAATAGCTTTTACAGTGGAAAGGCTGCCTGAATGGGAGGATAATAAAACAGAAAGTGTATGAACATTTTGTTAGCTTATATTTAAGGGCACTGCATTCATGCAGTACCCACAGAGGCCAGAAGGGGGAGTGAGATCCCTTTGATGTTACCCTTAGTTGTGAGCTGCTGTGTGGGTGCTGGGAACCGCCCGTCTTCTGGAAGAGCAGCCAGTGCTTTTAACTGCTGATCTATCTCTCCAACCCCTTCAGGACCTTTGTTTTTAAAGTAAAGACTTTTCAGCCTACATGATTTGATATAGAAAAATGGCAAAATGGAAAAAGGCTACCAAATGGCACAACAATTTTTGGAATATATTTCTATATTTAAAATACAAAGAGAAGAGCCAGAGGGGTACACGTGCACAGACGTGCCAATGACTAGCTCTGCATGTGGGATCTGGGGTGAGTTTATTTCCTTCTTCCAGGGTGTAGTGTGGCTCTGATAGCGGAGGGGTGGCTTAATCTGTGCATTAATGTCCTTGTCTAAAAAATGGAGAGAATGGTGACAGGGTGTCATCAGGGTCAAGTTCTGAAATCCATTGACCCTGGAGAATGTGCCTGTCATTGTTCCTAAGTGTCAACAGTTGTATTTAACCGAGTTTCATAATTTTTCTGTCCTGGAGTGACAGGGAACAAATGGGAGAGGGAGCGTGTGGCCATGGGAGTCGAACGTCCTGAAGGCCCTGAAGACCAGCAGTGAGCCTGCACCCCGGAGGCGCTGGGATGCTGACGTGAGAACTTGAACACTGTGGGAGCCTCATGGGAAAGACTCCCCACTGCTCATTCTTTCCGTAACGGCATGTCTGGGACCGGGAGAATTACAGGCGCAGGATTTCAAGAGAACATTGCAGGCTTCAGTGAGGGCCTTCTGTGACCTCGCTGCAGAGCAGGAAGAGGAAGGGCAGCTGGGATTTCTCTGTTACAGCCACAGTCCCCTCAAAGAATCTGCAATCCACAGGAAGCATTAATGATCTAAGGCCTCTTAATGTCACTACCTTCACAAGCAAGCAGCAAAGATTGGTTTGGGAGACGACAAACCTGCCCCCTCACAATGTAAAATACTCCATTCCCAAATCTTAATTTGTTCCAAAGTCCAGCCCAAAAGCCTTACGTTGTTCTGGCAGCAGCTGTAAAGTCCAAAGTCCCATTTATCAACCTGTGAAGTCAAAGTAAGTTCTCTACACCCAAAACACAATGTCAAGACCAGCGAAAAGTAGATGCACTCCTGTTCCAAAAGGGTGGCATAGGTCACCTGCCCCTTAGGTCCTGAGTGTCTAGAGCAGCAGCCACCGTTCCAGGGGATATTTCACCCTGTGTCACTCAGCTGGCTCACATGCTCTGCATACACCATGAGGCCCCAGAGAGCACAGGGTGTGCCCAACAGTTTAGATCCCCTGTCCTCAGGGAAGGGAGGGAAAGTTGAGGTGCTGGGTTCCAGCCTCAGCTCTGACAATTGGCGTCTGTGTTAGCTGGGCTCAGTCTGAGGTCAGAAAGGGCTAGAAGATAGAGCTGCTCCGCTGTTTCCAATTTTATTCAACTGACACAATCTACATGCAAAGTAAAACAAGGTCAGCAGTCTAAAATCCTATCCTTAATCCCCAAATTCCTTGCTCTGAAAAAAATCAAGATTTTTTCATTAAATTTGATGCCAAATTTCGTATACTGTTGTGTTGTTTATTCTTCTGTTGTCAATATTTATAATAAATTGCAGAATATCATTCCAGACTTGGGGGGGGGAGGGCAGTGTATAAACTGATGACTGATGTTATGGTTAAGGGGAAGGATTTTAGTGTAGATGTGAGGGAGAGGACAGCCAGAGGCACCTGGAAGAGTCTAGAACAGGGAGAGAAAGGAGTAGATTGAGCATGGCCAGCAGACTGGATTGGGAAAGGAGAACAGAGAGAAGGGCAGCGTGAGAGAAGATAAAGAGGAGATCCAAGAGAGAGGGGAGAAAGGGAGTATAGCCAAAATAGCAGGGTTATAGCACATTGAGAAGCTGGGGCAGGATGGAAGGGCCTGAACTGGAGAAGTTTACAGTAGAAATGAGAAGAGCTAGGTTCTTGTGATACTGAGGGAACCTGGAGGCCACCATGTACTTTGGTATGCGAAAAGGAACCTCAGATAACCATCTGTCCCTTCTGCCAACAATAAGGGAGCTGGCTCCTTTGGTAGAGGGAATCTGCTTCACTAGTTCCTGAGGAATGCTGGCTTTTGTCTAATGGCCAGAACTTGGACCAGGCAGAACAGGAAAAAGCCACACCTAGGTTAAAGTGCTGACAAGGATGGCTGACCAATCAGAACTTACTGATGAGAAGTTTAAATTTGCCGATCCGGGGTCAAATTATCTTGAGTTATCTTCAGTCTCCATATTAGCCATTCATTGTCCATTTGTGCATCTGATCTGGCAGTAAACATTTAAAATTTACCTTTAGGAGACCACTAGCTGCTACCAATTCAAAGCCCGAGAACGTCATTCGACAATATCGGAAACCTATAGCAGACTTTCCCCCCTGCTCTACTTAACCCACCCATCCACGCCCTCACCAATGTATTTAGTAAATGTGCTGGTTTGTGACTCTCTTCTGTTCTGTGACTAGTAAAACCTCATGTGGGGGTGGAGAGAGAGCGCAGAGCCTAAGAGGACCCGGGCTCTGTTCCCAGCACCCACATGATTGTTCATAACCTGCAACTCTGGCTCCAAGGGATCTGAAGACCTCTTCTGGCTCCCATGGGCTCCTGCGTGCACATACTAAGCTCACACAGGCAAACACATATCACTTCCATGGCAGAATATGTCATCAGGACAACCAGAGCTGGCTCAGAATAAAGTCTCTCTTACTCTTTCAAGGTGATGCTGTGCTTGATGTCAAGAGGTTTTAATGCCAAGGATGACCCCTTTCCCTAGAACAGTCGCCACGTGGCGATCAGTGTCAAGCTCCAGCATGGGACACTCATGCTGAGTGGTCCATGTCATATAGAGCTGGGCCTGCACCTTTTTGTTTGGTTCATTCTGAGCTGCCCGTTGGATGCTCCTGCATTTGTTTCAGAGCACTTGCCTTGTTTGCTTACAGAGTATTGGTCACAACATTTGATTGTTAGCATCCAGCCTTCTCCTCCGTCATTTCTTCATGTTGTATGGCCTTTCCTGGGGAGACATGCACAAACGTCTATTCACTCCAGCATCCAGCAGGCTTGATGTCAGCCTGCCTCAAGCTAGAATCACTAAAGAGGAGGGAACTGAGATCTAGAGAAAAGTGCCTCCAAGAGATCAGGCTCAGGCAGGCCTGTAGGGCATTTTCTTAATTAGTGATTGATGTGGGAAGACACAGCCCATTGTGGGTGTGGCCATCTCCGAACTGGTGGTCCTGGGTTCTATAATAAAGCAGGCTGAGCAAGCCAGAGGAAGCCAGCCAGTGAGCAGCTCCTCTCACCCTGCCATGGCCTCTGCCTCAGCTCCAGGTTCCTGCCCTCTATGAATTCCTGTCCTGGCTTCCTTCAGTGACGGACAGTGATGCGGAAGTGTGACTCGAGTGAGCCCTGTCCTCCCCAGGATGACAGCAATAGTAACTCTAATTAGGATACCCAGATAAGACACCAATGACTGACTAGAAAGGAACGGTTCTACCCAAGTCTGTCTTGGTGAGTGTACTGGGGCTATTTTCAGACTTCTGCTTGCCTTAGAGTAACTGACTCTACTGGCTCTTGTAGATTGAAGTTCTTTGGGCTAATTCTTTCATTTTGTTTGTTTGTTTGGTTTTTCAGGACAGGGTTTCTCTGTATTGCTTTGGAGGCTGTCCTGAAACTCGATCTGTAGACCAGGCTGGTCTCGAACTTAGAGATCTGCCTGCCTCTGCCTCCCAAGTGCCACCATTGCCTGGCTAGGTTGATTTTTTTCAATAAAATTATACAGAACAATTCATCTTCAGTTACAACATTCTTTATGATGTTTTTTCCTCTAGCCTGCTTCCTTCCGAGATAGCCAATCTCTCCTTAGCCCTGGTCCCCCACTTTGGCTGTGGTCCACCGAGTCTCATGACTCTTGGCTCACAGGTTCCAAGATACTGCTTAGGGCAAGTACTTTTCTAGCTGGCTGGCCTGCCCCCCTCCCCAAGCATGAACTAAATTAATTTAACTCCCAAATTCCTGAGATGCTTCACCCTCTCTTCTGGGTATCCCTCAGATTAAAAAAAAAATTCCATTGCTTACAAAAAACTTCTTAGTCTGGCCCCCCACAGACATCAAGATGATGAACTCCTCACACTACTTGCTTTGCCTTAAAGTCTTTAAAAAATGATTTAACTTTATGTTTATGGGTGTTTCACTTGCATGTAACCCTGTGCACTATGTGCATGCTTGAAGAGGCCACAAGTTGCTGAATGCACTGCACTGAGTTACCGACAGTTGTGAGTCACCATGTAGTTACCGGGTACTGGCTATGGAACCTAGGTCCTTTGGGAGGAGCAACCAGCACTCTTAACCACTGAGCCATCTCTCCAGCCCTGATGCCTAAAGTCCTGAGAGATAAAATACCCCAAAGTCCACAGTTTCATTCATTAAACTCTAGGCTAACCTAACATCTATGATCACTATTGCATCTATGTTTCCATGTAGTATTCACATATTTAAAGGGTTCCATCAGGCATGGTGGGTGGCATTGCCCTTAGTTCTAGCACTTAGGAGGTGGCGACAAGAGGTTGACTGGGTGGAGGCTAGCCTTGGCAACATAGTGAGTTTGAGACCAGCCTGGGTTGCCAGGACATCCTGTCTCAAAACAAAGCAACAGCAACGGAACTTAAATTAAATTAAGGATTAGATTATTGGACGATTAGCTAAGTAATCCATGGTACAGCCATCGGTGAAACAATACAGCCTTTACAAAAACAAGAACAGTCTGGTGAGAACCAGTGAGTCAGGACGTTTGCAGCAAGGGGCAGAGCAGCTTGGGGAATACACATGTGAGGAAAAGGATGAGAAGGAACAAAGAACCCAGCCATTTTGCTTGTGCACAGACAAGACATCTTTGATAAGAGACACGAAAAGCATATAGTGTGATACTTTAATTTTGAGTGCAGCTACATGGCTGAGAAAAGAGAGTTTCTGCTACAAAACTGAGCCTTTCACACACGAAACACATGAACAACCCTGTTCAAAAATAAGGTGGGCAGCCGGGCGTTGGTGGCCCACGCCTTTAATCCCAGCACTCGGAGGCAGAGGCAGGCGGATCTCTGTGAGTTCGAGGCCAGCCTGGTCTACAAAGTGAGTTCCAGGACAGCCTCCAAAGCTACAGAGAAACCCTGCCTCGAAAAACAAAAAAAAAAAAAAAAAAAAAAAAAAGAGAGAGAGAGAGAGAAAAATAAGGTGGGCAGGTGGTGGCCCACGCCTTTAATCCCAGCACTGACAAGGCAGAGGCAGGAGGATCTCTGAGTTTGAGGACATCGTGGTTTATAAAGTGAGTCCTAGGACAGCTATGACTGTTACACAGAGAAATGCTGTCTCAAACCGCCCCCCACCCAAGTGAGCAAAAATGGTCTGTATGGAATACCTTTTGTAGGATGATGAGGCCAGAGGACAGGTTACAGGGCCAGTCTTCCAGTCTCCACTTGAACTGTGTGTGCTCCATTTGTATTTCATTATTTACTTGATCATGTTTCAGGGACAATAATAATAGTTCTAGTTGAAGCTTACTATGTGCTTGTGTGCTGTTTACTGTATAGCAATATTTCTGTGTATTATCTCATTTAATCTGCAGGCCCAGTAAGTAGGTGTGTGTGTGTGTGTGTGTGTGTGTGTGTGTGTGTGTGTGTGTGTGTGTGTGTGTGTGTGTGCGCGCTTGTTGCATGTAGCCTTCAGGGGAGGATGTTGGGTATTTCTGCTCTATCCTTTTGAGGCAGAGTCTTCCATCAACCTAGAAGCTTGCTGTTTGGGTAGGATGGCCAGCTGGCGCCTAGGACCAGCCAATCTCCACCCTTCACCCTCTCCAATGCTGGGGTTATAGGCATGCCTAGGTTTTTACATAAGTGTTTGGGATTTGAATTCAGGTTCTTGCACTTACATACTAAGTACTCTTAGCCCTGCCCCAGTAGGTGGATTTCCCCCTCCCCTCCAGTTTCAGGTGAGGAACCCAAAGACAGGAGAGGTGAAGTCCTGTCCTGTCGTAGTGTGCATTCCGAAGCACTGGTTCTGGGTTCCTAGTGGCTTGCTGAAGAATTCAGGTACTTCTGCTCTGCTTACTGAACTGTCATTCGTTCTTTGGTTCCTGCTGGGTTATCTTGCATTTTGCAAGAGCTCTTGGTGTGCCTTCATTGCAGGGCCTCAGACAAGCCACCTATCTGGCTTTAGGGATCCCCTGGCTTCCCTGAAGTCAGGCTGAGGGTGAGTCGAGAAACAGGTCAGCCTGGAGCAAGAAAAAGGCTAGAGCCCCTTCAGTTCCAGAACAGAAGCCTGCAAGGATGAGTGAACTTCCTTCTACCCGCTCAGAGAAAGCAAGGGTGACTCACAGAAGTAAATGTCCAGGTCTCTTGTACATGCAGAGGTCCAAAGTCACCCAAGGTGGAAACCAGCCAGAGAGCTGATCAAGAGTTGGGAGAGCCATGCAAATGAGGCTGACCTGGGAGTCAGGACAGAAGTGAGAAACTGAAGCACCTGCCTGGAGACTGTGTCGAGAGAGAGGAGGCTTGCCAAAGCTGGTAAGGAGGGAAGGGTGGGAGGGGTGGAGCAGGTGGCATTTCTTGGTATGAACTGTGACCTGGAAGGCAGACTTCTGGGCCAGTTTTAAAGCTCTGCAACCCTGGCCCTGGAGCCCTGGCCAAGTCACTTTACATCCTGAGCCCTGGTCTCACCACCTATCAGATGGGCATTAAAATCATGCTAACCCTGTGCTGACCACCCACTGTGCCACGCTAACGGCGACTCTATCCTCACAGCAGCCTGTAAGGAGGGCTCACGAGCTTCTTTGATAGAGGGAAGTGAAGTTATCTGTTCAGTTCAGCAGGAGTCTTGTTTCCAATGGTGAAGACTCTTTACTCCTCGGTTTATCTTGTTTCTAGGCTGGGTGTATAGAATCAAATGGCTTCATAAAAGTGGAAACAGTTGTAAAAGGCAATTAGGTTTTCTAGATGTGTTACCATATTCAGCTTCCAGCAAGGACCAGCCCCCTTGGAAAACCATCAAGTGCCACCAGAATGCCAGTTCCCTGTGCCCGCTGGCAGGATGCTGTCCAGGCGGGAAGCTGGGACCCACAAGCCACTGAGTGTCTCCCAGAGACCCTGAACTCTGCTGTGGGTACTGAGAGAAGCATCTCTGACAAGGACCAAGGCAACAGTCGCATCTCTTCACAGACCATCCCTTCAGAGCTGTGGCCATCACACTTCAGAGAACGGAGGTCTGATCTAAGGTGACAGGGGAAGGTCTTCAGGGATAGAAGACAAGCTTACCAGAACAAAGTCGCCATTGTCTTTCTTTTTTTAATGGTTTATTTTTATTTTACATGCACTGGTATTTGCCTGCATGTACATCTGTGGGAGGGTGTTAAATCCCCTGCAGCTGGAGTTACAGACAGACATGAGCTGGGAACTGAACCTAGGTTTGGAAGAGTAGCCAGTGCTACTCTCCAGACCAAAAATTAACATTTTCAAGTAACAGAATTAAGAACAAAGCCGGGTGGTGGTGGCGCACACCTTTAATCCCAGCACTCGGGAGGCAGAGGCAGGCGGATCTCTGTGAGTTCGAGGCCAGCCTGGTCTACACAGCGAGTTCCAGGACAGCCTCCAAAGCCACAGAGAAACCCTGTCTCAAAAAAACCAAAAAGACGAAGAGAGGAGCAGGCTTTGGGGAATTTGATAGATCTTACTGGTTTGGCCAGCAAGTGAAGTGTGTGACAGGCAACTCCCTTGTGCAAGGAGGAGGTTCCAGCATTTTAGAAAAGAAATGAGGGCCTAAGAGAGGAAACCCAGAAGACTTGCCCTCATGGTGATCTCGAAAGAAGAAACTGTCACCTTTACCTTTCCAGTCCAGGGATTTCAGGTACGAAAAGAGCCACCCCCTGACCTGTATCTGCTCATCATTCAATTGGTTGCCATGCCCCCCTGTGTGTGTGTCTGTGTGTGCAGTTTGGGTCTCCCAGGCACCACTCTGGCAGCTCTGTGGCCTTGACTCCAGGCAGGTGTGTGTGCTGAGGCTGCAGCCGGGGCCACCTGGCAGCCAGGAGCCGTGAGCATGCTGTCATGGAAACGGCCCTGGGGTTGGCAGTGAGGCAAGGCGGCAGTTTACCAAGGCAAGGCGGATTCAGGAGAGGGAAAGACCGGAAACTCATACTCTTCAGAGTGGTCTCTCTGACCCCACAACTGCAGTCCACAGAAGCCCAGGTGGGTGCTGGAAGAAAGAGGGAGGAGCCAGGGAAGGTGAGAACTGGGACACCCCAGAGTAAGGGAGTCTACTTCAGAGTTGTTCACCAGGACCAGGACCGGAGCCAGTTAGTCAGCTGTGATGAGTTGGCCTTTGGCCCAAAGGAAGGAGCAGAAAGGGGGCTGGCATTTGTCCCCAGTGGAGGGACAGACCAGGGAATTCACACAGTCCCTCTCTGCTCTAGTCAGGGATGTGAGGTTGCAGGGAAGGAAACCTACTAAATGTGTGGTGCTCTCTCACTCCATACAGCCAAGGCAGCCTAGAGCGAATGCCCCAGTGCTGCCTCCCACTGCTGGTGCTTCCGGCAGGGTGACAGGCAACTGTGTAGCTTTAGACTTAAGTCTGTGACCAGGACTGGGTGTTCTTAGACAAAACACTTTCAGACATGCATGCTTCCACCTGTAAAATGTGGATGGACAGTTTTTAGCCTCTCAGAGCTGAGGGCTGCTGACCAAGCCCAGGGACAGAGCCCATGGGTGTGCTTTACTCTTTTCCTCTACCAGGACATCTCCTGTGAAGCTCCCTGCATGTGATCCGAGGATGGCTGAGCCACAGAGCCAGGAGCTTACAACTGAGTGCCCTGTCTGCTGGAACCCCTTCAACAACACATTCCACACCCCCAAAGTACTAGACTGCTGTCACTCCTTCTGTGTGGAATGCCTGGCCCACCTCAGCCTGGTAGCCCCAGCCAGGCGCCGTCTGCTCTGCCCGCTCTGTCGTCAGCCCACCGTGCTGGCTTCAGGGCAACCAGTCACTGACTTGCCTACAGACACTGCCATGTTGACCCTGCTCCGCCTAGAACCCCACCATGTCATGCTCGAGGGCCATCAGCTCTGTCTCAAGGACCAGCCCAAGAGCCGTTATTTACTTCGTCAGCCTCGGGTCTATACCCTGGACCTTGGCACAGAGCCTGGGAGTCAGACTGGTCTCCCTCAGGATACAGTCACTGACACGGTGCCCGTGCCCATCCCCAGCCACTACTCTCTCAGAGAGTGCATCCGCAACCCTCACTTCCGGATCTTTGCCTACCTGATGGCTGTTATCCTCAGTGTTACCCTACTGCTCATCTTCTCCATCTTTTGGACTAAGCAGTTCTTTTGGGGAATGGGGTGAGCACTCTCTCTGTTCCAGCACAAGGAACCGAGCCATTCTCTGTGGTTGCTGGAATGGGGACTACTGAGCCTCCTTCGATGTCTTCCTTGTAGTATTGCTCATCTGACAGCCTAGAGACATGCGTCTGCTTTGGAGAACACAGATGGCTCATTTGATGAAAAGCTTTGACCTGAAAATGAACTATGGAGTCATGGAGTCCAGGGAAGCAGCTCTGTGGTTCCTCGGCCACATAGCAAGTAGTGCCAAAGGGCTGGACAGCACTGTCCAGACATCTGACTACAGTTGAGATGAGAGCTTGTGGACAGCACTGTCCAGACATCTGACTATAGCTGATAGCTTGTGGACAGCACTGTCCAGACATCTGACTATAGTTGATAGCTTGTGGCATCTTTCACTGGAGCTGTGTCCTGCTGTTCATGTGTTACTGAGTTCTGGAGGGTTTCAATTTGTGGACCAATGTATTTGTCTCCCCCTTCAGCTTTCTCTCCAATTCTTGTCACCATTCCCAGTAAAACTAGCCTGCATTCTTTAATTCATTGGTTTCTTTCTTCCACAACCATCTATTGGGCAGAGACTGAAAGGGAAGAACAGACAGGCAGGCCCTGGGGTGGCAGCGGAAGGGAGGGCGTGCAGAGTGATTTCTTCAGCACACAGCAAGAAGAAATGGATCTAAAGGCAAAGGAAGCCCCTAGGGCAGACAGCTGAGGTCAGCACCCTAACTCTGGCCTGGGAGTTAAGGTCCGCTGGGCAGAGGTAATGCTTTAGCTGCATCTCAGGCTGGAGTAGCCTGGGGCACGGGGTGACCCTAGTTTTCTCTTCATATGGCAGAACTCAGGAACCAAGATTCTAAAATTCAGCCAGGCCAGCTGCTACTGGACAGACTGCCACCATGCCATGTACACACTGCTTCTCTGGTTTGAACATGTTCTGGTTCTAGACTTTGAAACAATCCCAGTGTCTAACACACACCAGGAAAAGGTTTTACTTTTTTCTTTTTGATTTACAGAAAAAGTTGTCAGAGGTCAGAATTTTAGTCAGTTTTATTTGCTCTAAATAGTATTTTCTCAGAAGTATCATTTATTTATTAAATTCCTTAGGGGACCAAAGGTACAAGATACTAAGAAATGGTCAAGATAGAAATCATATTTTGATTCAGTAATCCAGATAGTTTTAGGCTCCAACGTGGAGAATTCTCCATTACGAAATTGGAAAGGTACCTTTCTGTCCCTCCTGAGACTAGCACCTATGTCTGCATTGACCCCATCAAGTAACTGCACTGATGCTGAGACAGTCTCCACGGACACCAAGTATTGGAGTCCTTTCTGTAAGAAAGCAACTTCTTAGGATGGTGGATATACCACAACTAGTAAGTTTGTTACACTGGACAGAAGTACGTTTAGGATGTTACTTTCTGTTTTGCAATTGTTAGGTCTAACCTGGGGGCAGGGTTAGTCACTCCTAGGTCGCTGTGACAGGAACAACTTGAGGGGAGGCGATCTGGAGAGCCTGTGGAGGGAGCCTGTTGCAGATGCTCACCACCTCATGGCACACCAGAGGCAGAGAGCAGCTGGGAAGGAGCTGGGCTGATGACTCCTGCCTGGTGACCTTTGTGGACCAGCCAGGTCCTATGTCCCGACAAATGCTGGGGACGTTTCTGAATCAGATCCTAACAAGTAGTCTCACCCATTTACAGGACATCTAGAAACACATGCTGAGGTTGGGGACATAGACCTGAGGCTGCTTGTTCTACACACAGCCTCGCCTATCCAGGCAGGGGTGGGAAAACAAATGCCATTTTTCATGAAGTCAGGGTCTTTTCCATGGCACCTACAAGGCAGAAAGGTGAAAACACTGACAGCCCAGCAACCAGGCCACATGTGCTTTCCTGGCCTTGTCACAGGGCCGACATTCTTCACAAAGCTCTGGGAAACCACTTCACACGGTCTCAAATGGTTCCACTACTTACTAGCTGGGTAACTTAGCAGGTCACTGAAGTCTGTTTTGCCCATAAAAAGGGAGTACATCTCAGCAATCTTCTCTGTGTGGCTCTACTTGCCTCCCTGATGCTGGGGTTAAAGGAGTGCACCACTTCCAGCCTGCTTCACCTCCGCAGTTCTAAGACAATGAGCTGTCTGAGTGCGCCTGACAGATCACCTCCACAGGGCTAAGTGATAAGCAGTAGTTCTGTCATTCAGGATTCACCTTTTTTCTGTTTTTGATTTTGAAGACAGGGTTTCTCTGTGTTACAGCTCTGGCTGTCACAGAACTCATGTAGTAAGTCAGGCTGGTCTACCTCTGCCTCCCGAGAGTTGCGATTAAAGGCATGGGCCCCACCACTGGCTCAGGCTCCACTCTTACAGTGGTTGAAGAAATGGATATTCCTCCTCTAGACACTTGCTCTAAGGCTTACATAGTACATTTCCAACTCAAATGCTCTCTTGGAACAATGAAAAATTGTTAAATCCTAGTAAAGTTTAAAGCAGAGAAACTGAAGCTTGGGAGTGCTAGATTCTGATTGCAGGATAACACAGTAGTCTCATCATTTTACGAATGTGACAAAGATATCTTTCATGGCACATTATTATGAGAATAGAACAGGTTAAGGGTAGTAAGTTCCACATGAAGGATAGACCTGAGACGCTTACAGCTACAGAGGAAATATGCTCAGCTATATGTAACTGGAGTCAGATTAAAGTAAATTCAGCCGGGTGTGGTGGGCACGCCTCTTTAATCCCAGCACTTGGGAGCCAGGAGCAGGTGGTCACTGAATCTGAGCTTTGGTCTAATGCATTAAGTTCTAGTCCAGCCAGGGCTACACAGTAAGACTCTTTTTTTTTTTTTTTGGTTTTTCCAGACAGGGTTTCTCTGTATTGTTTTAGAGGCTGTCATGGAATTCGTTCTGTAGACCAGGCTGGCCTCAAACTCACCGACATCCGCCTGCCTCTGCCACCCGAGTGCTGGGATTAAAGGCGTGTGCCACCAACGCCCGGTGTAAGACTCTTATCTTAAAAAAAAAAAAAAAAACCCAAACCACGTTTTGCTCTATACCATATGCCCATAGCCCACAGAGGGGCAGGGCAGAACAGGAAGCTGATGGGAGTATAGTTTTGAATCCTGGAGGGGATGCCACCATAAGACCCTGCTAATTTTACTCTATACACGACCTTCTTACATTACTGTCTTGTGTGGATTTACTGTGCGATTATTGAGGATATATACCCACAGTGGAAAGGTGAAGAGAATCACAGGACTGATGCAGAATTAGTGAGACCAGACACAGCTCACTGTGATCTGTTCCCCTAGGCCAATGACTCTATTAAAAAGCTGTGAATACCACCCACCCCCTTCAGCTTGAGATGCAGAGGCAAGAGCATTAAGAGTGACGCCAATCTGAGCTACACAGCAAGAGCCTGTCTCAAAAAAACCTACCATCTCCCCTGAAAAACCAGTATTAACACCTGTGAATAGTGATAGAAACTGGACAATTCACCCCTGGAATTACATTAGATCTCAAAACTTAAAGAGGACCTTTTTGAAAGACATTTTTATGATAGGATTTTACTCTCAGCAAATGTATAATAAAGAAAAAATGCTCATGTTTGGAAACACCCAAACATAAATTAGGGATTTTTTCCTGTTTACTTTGACATGAAGTATTCTTTAATACATAAAATATACCCTTTAAATAATCAACAGGAAGGAGGTTGTACCGCAGACATCATGTTTGTTTTCTAAAAACTCCTTTGAATCTGGATACAATGGCCTTGTTTTATCTCAGATGCCAAACTTCAAAGCTAAAATGGAAGTGGTTTTCCCCAACAAGGCAGACATGTTCAGTTCTGAGTTCCCTGACACAGTTAACGTATCTGTGAACTCCACAGAACAGGCCAAATCTTCTTTGCTTCTGAATGGTCGTCATGTAGCTACAGTCACTGCTTGACGGACATCTCCTTTCTCTGGAGCAGGAGAGGAGTTTGCTCAGGCCCCACTCAACTAGCACACAGAGCCCCCCACCCTGCCTTTTGTTTTTTTGAGACAGGGGTTCTTTGTAGCTTTGTAGCGTGTCCTGGAACTCTCTCTGTAGGCTGCGTGGGTCTCAAACTCATAGAGATCCACCTGTCCCTGTCTTCCGGCATACCCTCTTAACTGGGGAAGTTTCAAGTGCAGTCTGCTATCTTCCTCCTGGATCACATGTAGCACGAAGCACATACCATGTTATAGAGAGCCACATTTCGAGCATTACAAATGCAGCTGTAAGGCCCAGCAGCACACTTCTGTAATGCCATCACTTGGAAGGCAGAAGCTGGAGAGTCACTTAAAACGTGAGGCCTCCTGATGTAGATAGGATAGCTCCAGGACAGTCAGGGCTAAACAGACAGACCCTGTCTCAAAATGCCAAAAAAGAAAGAAAGAAAGAAAGGAAGGAAGGAAGGAAGAATAGTCCCAATCTTGAGTACGACAGGGATGGGAAGGCATTCAAAAGAGATTAGTCTAAACAATGTCTACACAGTTTATGGCAGAGCCTGAGATGAGAACCGCATTCTAACCATAAAGGGTTTGCCATTACCTAGAGACGGGTTACTCAGAAGTGGGGCTGATGTGGAAATCCAATCCTACACATGGTATTTGGCAGAAAACATGATAGAACACAACACAGTTCTTTTCCTCTGAGGAAAATGGCTCCTTGGTGAGAGCACAAGGTCCAAGTCCTTCCATGGTCTTGCCTACTCTGCCATCCAGAGCTTGAAGGTCCTGTCATATGAGCAAGTGGCTATGAGCTGCCCATCAGAAGAAATGTCTAGGCCCATTACTTTGCCCTCATGACCAGCCAAAGTCTTCAATGGAGACCAGCCTGGGTGGGTCCAGATCTTGGCTGTGTTATCATAAGCACCTGTGAGTAAGAAGTCTCCATGGATAGCTGCAGGAAAAATAAAGCAAGCATGAAGAAGTCAAAAAGAGCTCAGACAGCAGGCACAAAGGTCTGCCAAACATGTTAACCTCAAAGGCTACTTTTGCATTCAGACAAATGTAACAGTCTACATTCCTAGGGGGCCTGCAAGATAAGGAACAATCAAGAGTAGACTGAGGACAACCAAGTTACAGGACGAAGGCTGTGTGTCCCTGGTGGGCAGTGACATCAAGCACCTAGCGCCTGGCCATCCACGGAAGACAAAATGGAACAGAGCCTTCATAGAAGTCTTAGTTCAAGAGGCATGCTTTGCCATAGCTTTATCTATAGGGATGTCGGAGGGAAGGAAATTAAGATTTGCTTCTTTAACAGAGGTTCCATGTCTAAGCCTGGCATGTAGTCCATGAAGCAAACAGAGTTTGATGTTAAGGCTGAGAACAAGAGTAAAACTTACGCTCAAACTTGACACCAGTCACTAAGTTCTGATGGGCAGGGATGGTGTAGACACAGCGTCGTTGTCGAAGGTCCCACACTTTGCAGGTGTTGTCACCACTGCCGGTTGCAATGTGGTAGCTATGGATCAGAAGTGTCATAGTTAGAAACAAAGAGTACTATCTGACCAGAACCCTTCCTAGTCACTGAATGTGCCTTACCCATTGGGGGAGAAATTAATCCCATAGATTTCCTTCAGGTGGCCTTCCAGGAACATAATGCAACGTCCTGTGCGTAGGTCCCAAACTCGACCAAATGCATCCAGTCCCCTGAAGAAACAACACATATGTGAATACTCCAAACCCAGTTCCACAGGGAAACAGGGAAGCCTAAGAGGTGAGACTACTGACCTGCCCACCCCTTGCTTTGTGGAGGAAGCTTACCCAGTGCCAGCCAAAGAGCCATCTTGATGGAAGGCAATGTCATACACACCCATGCTGTGGCCTTCCTGATGCAGGATCTCCTCTTGAGCCTCTAAATCCCATAAGCGCCATGAACGGTCATAACTTAAAAACAAATAAAATAAACTATGCCAACAATCAACAACAGACTGAGTCAGTGTCTACTATATACAAGGTACTATAATATCATTCAATCATGCTAACAAGAAATTCCTTTCTGACATAAACAATGCCTCACCATTCAAGCCTGTATGTCTTAATGACAACTGGGAGACCAAGAACATTCTGTACTTTGCTTTAGCGGCTATTTTAAAAAAGAATTCCCTGGTTTGGGGTTGGGGCTCAATAGTAGGGGGCAGGGCTTGCCTCATATGTGCAGGGCCTGGGTTCAGCCACCAGCACAAACAAAAACAAAATTCTTGAAGAACGTCCGGCAAAGACTGCATTTTTTTCCCTCTCTTCATTCCATTGCTATATTCCTTCATCATCAAGCAAGCATTTGTGTATTTACTAGAGTCTCAATGACGCTAGCATAAAAAAAAATCCAGATGGACAGATACAGAAACAGATCCAAATATATATGATCAGCTTTCATTAGGGTGCAAAAACAATTTTAATAGAAATCTTCAATGATGGCAGCAAATGGGCTATGGTGGTACAAATACAGAAAAAAATAAACTCAAGAAGGGCAAAGCAACCGGACCCCGCACCAAAGAAGATCTGCAGATCATTCATGAGCACCTGACAAACACTCAGCAGCAACAGCTGTAAGGACAGCAACACTAGCATAAGGTTACTCCTTGCCAGCCGCAATGGGTGAGACAAAAGACCAACAGCAGCAGATATGACAAAGACAGGAAACAGCAGCCGGGACTCAGTTGTTCCCATGTTTTTATTCTGGGGAGTGGGGTCCCACTATGAAGCCCAGGGTGGCCTCAAACTCAAGATCCCCTGCTGACAGTTGTGACTGTAAGGATGTGGCACTGAAGCCAGCTTGCCTGAATGCTTTTAGAAAGCTAAATACGTATCTCGGTATTTACCCAAGAGAAAGGGAAAAAAAAACAAAAAAACAAAAAACAAAAAAACCAACAGCCCCCAAACAATATAAAAAGCTCCAATAAGAACATTTATAGCCGGGGATGGAGAGATGGCTTAGTGGTTAAGAGCATGGGCTGCTTCTCCAGAGGACCCAGGTCTGAGTTCCAGCACCCACATGGCAGCTCACAACTTTGCATAACTCTAATTCTAGGTGATCTAATGCCCCTTTTTGGCTTCTGGGCATGAAGCACACAGACATACATAAAAAAAAAAAAATGTTTATAGTGGCTTTATCTTGACTAGCCACAACCTAGAAACATGCTCACATGTCCATCAAAAGGAGAACACATAAATTGGAACAGACACACAATAGACTACAGCTCAGATTAATAGCACAAATGGGCATAAACAGGTAGAAGGAAAAAAATCAAGTCGTCAGACGCTACTTTGGGAGGGGTGAGTGAGAAGGGGCGTGGGAGAACTCTGTTGGGTGATAGAAACTATTGGTAAGGGTGTGGGTTATAAGCAGTATGCACTTGTCAAGGTTGACTTTTACAATAAAACAATCCCATTCTACTGTATGTTACTCAAACCTCAAAGAAAAAGATTTTTAGTAGGCTGGGCAGTAACCAGAAAAAGAAGTCAACGTGTTGGCACAGAGAAATTTTATTTATTAGTGTTTCTATTTTATTTATTTTTTTCAAGACAGGGTCTCTGTGTAGCCCTGGCTGTCTTGAACTTGCCCTGTAGATTAGGCTGGCCTTGAACTTACAGAGATCCACCCGTCTCTGCCCTGAGTGCTGGGAAAAAAAGTGTCTGCTACCACTGCCCAGCTCTATTTTATTTTTTAAAAAGTCATGTTTTGTAGCCCTGGCTGCCCCTAAGTTTGTGATTTCCTTGCTTTAGCCTGCTAAGTGTAGCACACTCAGTAAGATTTAAAAGGAAATAAACTCTGCCCTGACAATTTTTTTGACTCCTTTTCTGATTCTATTACTGGAGTTTGAGAAAGTTCTAATTGAAGATCCTTGCTCTAAATATTTACCCGGCAGATAACTGAAAAATATTGCCAAAACCAACAGGTTTGTACAAACTAATGGATGGCTTACCAGGTTGTGCCCAGGAAACGCCCTGACGGATGCCACATTACCCGAGCCACACGCACTGTATGGCCTTCAATATCTGCCACTGGTTCATCACTGAAAGGAACCAAATACATTCAGGGGTTAAACACCTTAGCAGCCATGAACACCCCTCAGTTTATTTGCTGCTGGGCAGACACACCCACTCTGTGGTGTGTACACAGGTTTCACCATGTACTTTCTACACTGAGCAGCACAGGGGACTGACCGCACCCTGCACAAGGCTCTGTGCTAACTTTGTCACTAACCCGCAATGCATTACAATCTTAGGGATAACAATCATTTAAGCTACTTGCTAAGGTTCTGAAACATGGAGAATTATTTCTTTGACCACAGTGCAAAGTGATCATTATTTCAGTTCAGTGCATCAATAAATTCTCCACGATAAGCAAAATAGTTCCACTGCATCAAAGTAGTGCATGGATTCAAAAAAGAAAATATACTTTGGTAGAGGTGTGGATACTGAAATCAGTTTTGGTTCAATGGGTTCCAGATAATCTTACTTAACCCTTATCCTGTTCAAAGATACAAATTAAAAAAGAACTCCTAAGCTAGAGTAACAATGTCCTCTGGATGGCCACTAATTTCTTCTACCTAGCAACAACAGAAAGGCTGAAACTCCAGAGAGAGGAAATCACCACGAATCTAAAGAGGGCAATTAGAAGGGAGTGCTGTTAATGAGTACACACAGACCCAACCAGGGCCTTATGGGGATAAGCGTTGCTAAATATTACGAAAGCCAATTAAAACTTGCCATGCTAGTAGCTGAGACTCTATCTGGCAAAGATTGCAGATGCTAATTAGTGCTTTGGAAAATTTTGTAATAAAAACCTTGCCATGCTTTCTCTAGGAAAGAAAAATGGACATTATAAAGTCTTTCAGATCACAGTATGCTTCCAAAATTGAGTAGACAAGTAAAAACACCCACATGAAGAAAGAAAATGTGCTGTGGTTGCAGAATACATCTTAGATAGAGGATGACACCAGTGGCCTGTACTGCCAGATAGAACTTCACTTCCCCTCTCCTCTGTGGCTGTCTGCATAGATCCAAGAGGCTGCCAAGATGATTATCTTTAGCCCATCTACAAAACTGCTTTTCCAATGCTAACCTACCATGTAGGTTAAACTGGGGTGTTTTAGAATGGGAGCTGGGAATCAGTGACTATTATGCTAAAGGCAAAAACTGAGGCCCAAAGTCAGCAAGGAAAGAAAATTCTAGCGTAACTTCTGTGAACAGAAAAGGTCTAAGAAAGACACTTTCTATTTTCAGTGAGTTCCCTGGACTCTGGAAGCATGCCTGGGGTTAAATGTCTCATTTTTAAACCTAAAGGGCTAGCCAAGCACTTTCTTTAGGGATGGCACTGTGCACTGCAGAGGGTAATAATCACCTGTCCAGACTCCAAAGCTTCACAGAACCATCGGCAGCACAAGAGGCCAAGTTGACATCCTTTTGGTCCAATGAGACAGTGGATTTAGGATGGAACACAATTGCTCCGACATTTGTGTTATGGCCTAAAGAATTAAAGGAGAGCAGGGTTAGAGTGTTCTTACCGCTTCATAATCTATGAGCAAACAGAGACTTTTTAGGAAGAACATGGAAAAGTATACACTAGGGAATGTGAACAGACAGAATTAAGGTAACTAGTTAACTACTAAAAAAAGAACATTTATTTATTTTTGAGACAGGGTGTCTCTGTATAGTTCTGGCTAGCCTGAAACTTGCTAGGCAGACCAGGCTGACCTTGAATTTACAAAGATCTACCTACCTCTGCCTCCTGAGTGCTGAGATTAAAGGTGTGTTCACCATGCCCAGCTCTTATTTATTGATTTTAAATTATGTGCATGTGTGTGAGTGAGCACAAGAGCACAGGTGCTATGCAGATCACTGGAGCCAGAATTATAGGCAGCTGCAAACCACCCATGTGGGTTCTGGGCACTGAACTCAGGTTCTCTGTAAAGGCAATGCATGTTTTTTTAGCTGCTAAGCCATCTCTCCAGCTCCCCAAAGAATTGTTTTAAACAAATACTCAAACTGCATTTTTTTTTTTTTTTTGCAATTTAGAAAAAAAAAAAGGCAAAAAATAGCATAGTGGACTATATCTGTAATTCCAGCACTTGGAAGGCTGAGGCAAGAAGATACTGAATTGAAGTCAGCCTGGGAAACAGAGTAAGACTCCATTCTCAAAAGACTAAACCAAATCAAAAAGTAAAACACAAAACCTTTGTGTCTTTTAATTTAGATGCTGTAAAAGCCAGGGTGGCTGGACAGGAGGACAGACTGTATGCATGTGAAGTCACAATATTCTGGTGTTTGTAGGCAGAGAAAACCACACACATTCACTCAAATCAAAGTGCAATGCATGGGCTGGAAAGAGAGCTCACCAGTTAACGGGTCTCGTGCTCTTGCAGAGGACCTGAGTTTGGGCCCCAGAACCCAACATCAGGTGGCTCACAACTGCCTGTAAGCAGACACCTTCACCTGGTTTCTGCTGGCACTTACATATGTACACTAGAGTACACACACGTGCACATACACAGGAGCAATGCTGTGTGTTGCATGTGAGCATCTACTGGAGCTCTACTGTTTAACAGTTTGCTGAGAAAAGAACGAGACTGCACCTGTAACTCACCTCGAAGAGTGTGAAGGAGGCTGCAGTCAGGGACAGACCAGAGCTTGCAAAGCCCACTCCTATGAAACACAAAGGAAAGCATCTCAGCCAGGGTTGCTCTGGGAAGGAAAACACCCCTTTGTAACATCACTAAAGGACAATTTTGTCTTGCTCCTAAAGCCTCGACAGTGGCCAACAGAAAAAGCAAAGGCTTGTTGAAAAGAGAGCTGCAGCTGTAGTCAATGTTAAGTTTCTTTTTTCTTAGATAGCCACGATCCAGAAAAAAGTAAAAATAAAATGAATCAGGGTTCAGGAATTGGCTCACATACTCAATAAAGTGCTTGCTATGTAAACATGAGGACTTGAATCCAAGTTCCCAGCACTCATGTAAAAGTTCAGTATATAATGTCCATAATCCCATGCACAGGGACAGGCAGATCCCTGGGGCTCATGGGTCAGTCAGTCTAGGTGAAGTGATAATTCCAGGTTTAGGAAGAGACCCTGTTTCAAAATAATGTGAGAGCAATCGGGGAAAGAAGAAGACGGGAAAAGAAGAAGACATTCAATATTGGCCTCTGGCCTCCATGTGCACATACATATTGAAATGCACATGTGCATGTGCCCACATGAACATACAAGCACCACATACACTTACACACACCCCAGCACCCCAAAACCAAGAGTTTTCCGTATATGTGATAGTATGTACAAAACAAAGATAAGACTAATAACTAACATTACCAAGTACTTACCAAATGCATGGCAAATGTTAGCTACTGTCCCAACCTTACAGACAAAGGCACCAATGCTTCCAAGGGTTGCCTATCTCAGTGAGACCACAGAACTAAGAAAGCAAAGCTGGTCTAAGGCATGCAAATAGATACTGGGTTTATAAAATTCCCAGATGAAGTACTCTAAAACTCCAGTGGTAGAACATAATAGACATTATACATCATGGGTCTCTGTGAGTAGTGAGAACTGCCCAAAAGCTCCGTGGATGCCTACAAGTAGGTAGAGACATGACACCTGCCTCATGAGAAGCACAAGAGGACAGAGGAAAAAGATCTCTGACTCAAAGACAAGTTTTCTTCTTGAATCCATGCACAATTTAGGAAAATGTTACTGTAAGATGAAACTTACCAACAAGCTGTGGCTAGCATTTTAGAATTGGGACTAAAGTGACAGTAGGAGATTGGTCGATCATCTCCAATCTGACTGCAGAAATTATTCAAAGACTAAAAAACAAAAACAACAAAAAAGGTGATCATTTAAAAGGCTAATCTCAGAATTCTTTGGCTTTTCCTTTTGGGAAAAAATGGGGGCTGGGAGTGAAAAGGAGGGGCAGCATTTACACCTGTCAGTTTGGCTCACCTCAATGCTTCTTTATGCTCTGCTGATGTTAGTTGACACTCATGTTACTGAAGAATGGAATCAAGGCTTATCTGGAATGCTACTTGCTTATCATAGTTTCATTACCGCCCCCAATCCCCAGGGTTTGTAGCGCTGGCTGTCCTGGAACTCACTTTGTAAACCAGGCTGGACTCAGAATCACACAGATCCACCCTCCTCTGCCTTCGAGTGCTGGGATTAAAGGTGTGGCCACCACCGCCAGTGTACCTCATTAGCTTTTAGTGAGCTAAGCACAAACAAAACCACAGAGAAAAGCAAAGCATTGTCTGACCTATTGGAAGGGAGCACAAGAGCAGAAGCGTTTGTCTGTGAGCACAAAGCACAGCACCTCTCCTAAAGCAAGAGGCTGGACAGCAGAGGAGAGCCTCTTACCCGGAGAGACTTGTGCAGCTCTTGCACCTGCGAGGTTCTGGTTGTCTCGGGAATCTCCTTATGGAGTCTGGCCTCCTCCAAGCGTTTCATTGCCCTGTGACCCATAAACATCATCACTAAAGGAGCTACCAACAAGGGTCTGTACACTACTTCTCAATCACACCTGAACCTCTGCTCACCTGGGGAGTGAATAATTAGCAATCCACAGTCTGGCCACCTTAAGGCTATTTGGCCCTTCATGGTACCAGGTTTGCTGATACTGAAAAGGAAATTAACAGGAGAAACATTAGGTTTGAAGCACACCGGCTCTCCCCACAGCTGTTCTTAACTTGTAACTGCTCACAAAGAAAGCGAATTGGCTCAGTAACAGAATGAAGCGGGTACATGCCCCTTCTATTAATTACCTTTTGTTTTCTTTAAAAACATTTATTTAACTATGTGTTATGTGTCTATGTGGGGGGAGATATGCGTGTGTACAGATGCCATGGAGGCCAGAAAATGGCATCAGATTGCTTAGCAGTTGTGGGCTGCTGGACTTTTTTTTTTTTTGAATACTGAATGCACCAAGTTTATTCTTCAGCATTCTTAAACTCCAACCACAAAAGGAAAGACTTCTTTATCATGATACAAGAAACAGACTTTTTTCTTAACGTGCCAAATATTTACAAACCATGCCTTACACTAAATCTCTTATTATCTGGCCTTGAGGGTTAATAACAGCCATACCTTATACCAAGTCTCTTGTTATTTAGATAAGACATCCATACCTAAGATCAAACATCATACAGTGGGCTGCTGGACTCTTGAAGGGCAGTGCATACTCTTAAGGGCAGAGCAATCTCTCCACCCCCTACTTTTTTCTTTGATGTCTTACTGGTTTCTGGCTTCTTACTGAACCACATCGAGTGGCTTCTTTTTTTAAAGATTTATTTATTATGAATACAACATTCTGCCTCTATGTATGTTTGCATATCAGGAGAGGGCAACAGATCTCATTATGGATAGTTGTGAGCCACCATGTGGTTGCTGGGAATTGAACTCAGGACCTCTGGAAGAGCAGTCAGTGCCTTTAACCTCTGAGCCATCTCTCCAGCCCTCGAATGCCTTCTTGAATGGAGAATTTACAACACCATTCACAGTCGTACAGGAATTACCAATTCCTGCCATCAACCATTCCCAAATGGTAGAACCTCTAGACCCTTCTCCTCATGCTAGCAAAGCATGGTGCTGGAAAGACCTAGTCTCCAGTATCTTCACATCTTACCTCTTCTTTCGACTTCTTAGATTTCTCATCATCTTTTTTTGTCTTTTTTAAGGCATCAGTTCCAACCACTGAGAGAATATTTCTTAATCTGTAACAAGAAAGGTCAGAAAGCAATATGGCTAAGACTGTAAAAGGCCCAATAGGACCCCATCACCACAAGAATGCCTACAACCACAGGGAGTAACGAACCTTACCTATACTGTGTTTCTTTCGAGCTCACACATTCTTAGTTTAATTCATAAATTAGGCAAGGTAAAATGCTACTAACAAAAACCCAGATTTTTAAAATTATGTGAACAGGGTCTGTTTTCTTTCTCACTCTCAAATACCTTATTCTAGTGCACTCTACTGGGAAGACAGCACAGACAGCGAGGACGCAGAAGACAAAGGGACAGAGCTGGATGGCATGGGACTTCAGTACAACACTCAGAATGGTGTGCACTTTAAAATTTATCAGGGTATACTTACGGCACTTTCCCCATCAGTATTTTTGAGCCTCATGTGATTATGGATGAGAGAAAGCAAGAAAAAAATCAAGACCACAAGCAAAGGGGAAGGCTGTGCACCTTTATTCTTCCCTCTCTCAGCCCCTCACTCTTTATTTCAAGGCTTTCTAAATGCAGCTGTCAGCAGTTATTCTCTTCCATTTAGAGCCAACTGGCATCTATACACAGCTGTCACTTAGTTCTAAGGACAGCTGGAATCCACTTAGCCATGATGTGCAGGGCACTAATTCAGGGGCTAAGGATATTTAATGACTAAGAATAGTTACAAGCTGTGCATGGTGGCATATGCCTTTAATTCCAGCACTTGGGAGGCAGAGGCAGACAGATCTTTGAGTTTGAGACCAGTGTGGCCTGTAGAGTGAGTTCTAGGACAGCTAGGGTTAGAGAGAGCACTCTTGTCTTGAAGGGGTGGGGTGGCGGAATAGTTCTAAAGGAACTAGGCTTGATGGCACACACCTTTAACCCTGGCACTTGGAGGTAGAGGTAGGTGGCTTGCCCTGAGTTCTGGTCTACAAAATGAGTTCTAGGTCAGCCAGGGCCACACACTGAGATCCTGTTTCAATAAAATAAAAATTAAAAAACCAGGTGTGGTGGTGAACTCCAGGCCAGCTACGGCTATACAGTAAGACCCTGTCTCAAAACAATAATAAAACTAAAGAATAATTCTGAAGGGACTACAGAACACAGTCCATTACACCAACATTAGACAGCAGTGAGCAGAACATGAAAGGAATAAGTAAGTATGGAATCTAGGCTTGGGAGGAGTGTGGAGCAGAGGATCAGGGAAGGCTTCACAGAAAAGGTGTTGTCAAGCGCTCATTCAGGCCAAAGAGTCAAAACAGAAAAATGACAGCTGTGGCAGAGGGTTAAAGAAATGTCAAGTCAGGAAAACAGACTGAGCTTAGACCTGCAAATGGTTCGGTAGAGCTGAATTATGGGCTACAGGAGGAGGCTTGGTGACTGCCAAAGCTGGAAAGTCAAGTGGGGGCCCTGTCACCAGAGCTATTCACACTATAGGTAGGAGGATCTGCAATGAGACTGTCACGGCAAGGGGGGGGAGGGGAGGAAGCATAAGGCAGAAAACCAGACTTAGTGTCACAGCAAGCCCAAGCCACTGTGGTGGACCTGAATTATTAAAGTAGCGGCAGCTGGGATTCAAGGTATTCATCTAAGGGACACAATGATAAAGGACAACAGACATGGCAGGCGAAAGAGACAAACAGTAAATTAAATATCCCAAGTCAGGCCGGTGAGGCGGCTCAGCAGGTGACGTGCCTACTGTCAAGCCTGCTGACTTGAGACAGCACACCGTGACACATGGAGAAAGCCAACTCTCACAAGCTGGTCCATGACCTCCACACCTGTACATGTCCACACACACAAATAAATAGGATTTTCCAAAGTATCCTTTAAAGAGTGCTTCCTGCTCTTCCAGAGGACCCAAGTTCAGTTCCCAGAACCCACACCAGGCAGCTCACAAGTGCCTCTAACTCTAGCTCTCCAGGGGATGACACCACACCCTCTTCTGAACTCCCAGGGTACCAGAACTCACATGCAGACTTACATAATTAAAAATACATCTTAGAAAATAAAACAAACCCCCAGTATTTCAAACACACAACTTCACAGGAGAGTAGGAAAGAGTTTGATAGAACACATACCAGAACCTTATCATTAACAGAAAAAAAGTATAAGTATAAAGGACACCTTTCTCTTCGTTCAGCAGGGCCTTCTCCAAAAAGTGTGATTGGTTCTCCCAAGGCTCGAAGGCAAGCCTTGACCTCTGAATCATCCGTGGAAACATTGATTTGCCGGGCTCTCTTTCTTCTTTCAAACTCTGCCAAGACTTCTGCTTGCCGCTCACTGATGTGCTCCTCAATTTCAAATACTTCCCCTATGCAAAGAACAGGCAACATGGGGGAAAGAAACAGTCTGGGTGTCCATTATAGCTTCTTATAATGGAGGTGCTATAAGGTATATAACTGTGGGGCTGACGAAGAGCTCAGCAATACTGAATGGTTTCTGAAGATGCAGTGACCAACATTTAATCCAAAATCAAATTCGAAACAAATCACAATGGTTTTCGGCAGTGCCTGCGCACTTCATCATGAATCTTTGCTGCAGCCTTGGCTCTGAGCATGTGCAACTCTGCAGGGCACTTACAGTCTGTCATGCCACACAACACTAAGGAACACTACCTCAAAAGTCTGTTGTGAATTGTAAATCTTTTGTTTTTTTTTTTTTTTTTTTTTTTTTGCTTTTGCCAGACAGGGTTTCTCTGTGTAGCCTTGGCTGTCCTGGAACTCACTCTGTAGACCAGCCTGGCCTCACAGTCACAGAGATCCGCCTGCCTCTGCCTTCCCTTCTGAGTGTTGTTAAAGGCGTGAGCCTGGCCAAATTTCGATGTCTTTACAAAGTTTTTTGCTTTTATAGAGACATAATGATTCAGTTATGGGGAAAAAAAGATTTAATTTCCTCAGCATCAAGTATCAAATAATTTTATCTTTTGCTTATACTGTGTTAAAATGTTTAATTATTTAAAATTGTTGTTTGGTCAAAACAGAAAAGAAGAAGGATGGGGAGGAGCTCAGTATGACAGTGCATGTCTATAATATTAGCATATAGGAGGAGGCAATAAGACCAGGAGATCAATGTCATACTTGGCTATACAGTGACTTTCAGGACAACATGGGCCATACAGACCTTGTCAGAAAGGAAGGAAGGGTCAACAACAAAATTTACTATTTGAGTTGCTGTTTTAAATTTAAAAGAAAAAATTAAAAGTACTATGAAAAACATTTAAAATGCTCCCATGTCTTGCAATATTAAATATTCAGGCAAGATTTAATTCTTTATTAGTAAATAAGTATGTCTGAATCATAAATCTAATTAATCTTAATCAATAAAACCCAGGAGCCAGATATTGGGGTAAAGCCTGGAAGATCAGAGAACCAGGAGCAGCTCCCAGTTGCTTCCCACCTGTCTCCTTCCTCTGTCTAAAAGGGCTCAGACCCTGTTTCCCCCTTATTACACCCTGTAGACAGGACCAGAGCTCAAGCTATGCAGCCTAGGATGCCCCTGTCCTTGTGACCATCCTTCAGGACATGAGTGCTAGGATGAAAGGTGTGTGCTATCATGCCAGGCAAGCACTCATCACTAAACTTTACCTTTGTGTGCTAATCTAATTTCTTATGACAAATATGTATAACTTTGTTTTTAAAATATAAAACTCTTAAGATGGGCATGATGGCTCCCCATCTGTTATCCAGTACAAGGAGGGCACAGAAGGAAGACTGCCACAACTTCTAGGCCAGCTTGAGCTACAGAGGACATCCTGTCTCAAAAACCAAAATTAATCAACACATTTCTTGAAAGTAATATAAAGAGACAAACCTCAGCAGTATACAAGGGAAAAATTGCAGGCTATAGAACAATTTACACATCACAGTATCGTTTATAGAAGAAATACATCTAATTCACAACACAGGATTTTCTACTTCATAGAGACACATGTTGATTTTTTTTTTTTTTTTGGTTTTACGAGACAGGGTTTCTCTGTATTGTTTTGGAGGCTGTCGGTCCAGCCTGGCCTTGAACTCACAGAGATTCGCCTGCCTCTGCCTCCTGAGTGCTGGGATTAAAGGCGTGCGCCACCACCGCCCGGCCACATGTTGATTTTTTAAAAATCTTTTAAAATTAACTGTCCCAGTCAGGCATTGGTGGTGCATGCACTTGGAGGCAGAGGCAGACAGATCTCTGTGAGTTCCAGAACAGCCTGGTTTACAAGAGCTAGTTCCAGGACAGCCTCCAAAGCCACAGAGAAACCCTGTCTCGAAAAAAACAAAAACAAAAAAATAACCTCAAACAAACAAAAAGAAAATAAAAATTAACTGTCCTTTTATACTAAAAAGATTATAAAATCCAGGTTGAAAAAAAATAACTAGAAGGCTGGGCAGTGGTGGTACACACCTTTAAAGCCTAGCATTCAGGAGCAGTCCAGGGCTACAGAGAAACCCTGTCTTGAAAGGTAAAGACACAAAGAAACAAACTAGAAAAGTAAAGGAGAAAAATACTATAAACAGCTTGAGTAATGCATCAATGCCAGAACTAGGTTACATCTCCCAAAGACAAATACAACTGATGAATCCAAACACCCACTGAAATTTTCAAAGATTTCCAGTAATTTGTGTAAGAACTATATGAAATATAAGAAAAACACTTACTGGATAATGCCAAGGAGGCCAAGCGGCAGATTCCACGGTTAAGAACAGAAGAGTAAGGAAGTGCACACATGGGAATCTGTTTCCTCAGTGTTGGGATTACAAGTAGGTACCACCACATTCGGTTTCTAAATTTAATTATGTATGTGTTTTATATGAGTGCTCTATCTGTATGTACGCCTGCATGCCCGAAGGCGTCAGAACCCATTACAGTGAAAGACCCCGGCCCAGTATACACAGACAGCTGAGGCTTATGGAAAATTCCGTTTCCCCCACAGCTCAGCTGAATAGTCATTTTTTTATCAGAAGGGAGCTCAGCTCAAGGTCCTAATGGCTGAATGGCTGAATAGTCACTACTATCAGAAGCCCAGGGACACAGGTGTCTGCTGTCTGCATAGCCAGCCCAGCAAGATTGGGCAAGCACAGAGACCTATTGTTCCTCAGATAGGGCCAAGGCCGAGACTTGAGTTCCAAGCAAAACCTCAATTGCCCTCGTTCTGAGCCCCAGCCTCATTTAAATTGCCCAATCAGGGTCCTGTAACTAGGCTTCTCGATTCTGTACTGCGCTTTTTGCTATAAAAGAATCCCCGAGTCCCCAGCTCGGCGCGCTCAGCCCCCCCCCCCCCCCAGACTGAGACGCCCGGGTACCCGTGTGTAAATAAAGCCTCTTGCTGTTGCATCCAAGCTCGTGGTCTCGTTGTTCCTTGGGTTCGGGTCTCCCTCCCGTGAAAGTCCCCGACTGGGGGTCTTTCAACAGATGGTTATGAGCTGCCATGTGGTTGCTGGGAATTGAACACAGGACCTCTGGAAGGGCAGCCAGTGTTCTTAACCACTGAGCCACCTCTCCAGCCTCTCTTTGTTATTTTGCCTTTTTTTTTCAGAGAAGAGGACTGAACCCAGGGCCTTGTGCTTGCTAGGCAAGTGCTTGACAACTGAGCTGAAGCCCCAACTCCTCAGCCCTGCACCTCCAAAACAAAACAACGTGGGCTCTGGGGAAGCAATCTCAAGCCCTAATGGTTGCACCCACAGCAAACCTTTTGTCACTTGAACTTGCCCCCCAGGTCAAGAATTGAAGGTTTTGACCCTATAAATCTAAATGTTACTTGATCTGGGAAGGTGTTCATCAGAAAATTGGATCATCAAAGGTGCAGGGTAAAGCCGGGTGGTGGTGGCACACGCCTTTAATCCCAGCACTCGGGAGGCAGAGGCAGGGGGATCTCTGGGAATTCGAGGCCAGCCTGGTCTACAGAGCGAGTTCCAGGACAGCCTCCAAAGCCACAGAGAAACCCTGTCTCGAAAAACCAAAACCAAAACCAGGTGCAGGGTAGTGTACACCTGGTCCTAGTACCTGGGAGGAGGCAGAAGGCAGCCCAAAGGCAATTGATTAGCCAAATGTGTGGTCCAGTGGTGGGGCACCTGCCTAGCAGGCAGAAACCCTGGGTTGGCGTCCCTGGCAGTTAAAAAAAAAGGGGGGAAAGATGATTCACAATTTGCGTCTTACCGGAGGCTATATTAATATTTCCAGCTTCAATGCCTGCTTTGAGTCCTTCTTTTCCCAAAATCCCAGACTCTCCTTTGGCCAGACGTTCCCTCTCTTTCTCTTCCAAGCTTCCATAATAGATGTGGGGTTTCTTCACAACAGGGGCAACTAAATCATCAGGTGCTTTAGTTTTAGCTGCCTGTCAAATCAAAGACCCCGGTTAAGGTCCTAGGAAACCATGCTTCCCAAAAGAACGAAGCTAATGCTTTCCAACGACAAGGTGAGTATCCGTCACGATTCATTTTGTGCGAGTTTAGACTCTCGGCTAAGTTTGGCAGACAAATACGACGGATCAATTCTGTTTGAAGTGTCTGGTTTGTTTTGGGGCCCGTTTACTTTATAGGAAATGCAATCTCCGGTTTTACAAACCGCTCATCACTGGACAAGCGCCAAGAATAACTTAAAGCAATCAGGGTGGTTTTCGGTGCACCACGTTACTGGAATCCACATTTCAAACCCTCCCAGGGCCGACTGGAAGCTGGGAGGCCCGAGTCACACAGTGAAGACTCCACTTGCCAGCACCGCGCTTTGGGGCAGCCGGGAGGAGGCTGCTCCACACCGCGGCCCCTCCGCCGTCCTGCTCCGCCCCGACCCGCGAGGTAACCGCCCTGCCCGCGGGGCCCCGCCCTCTCCGGGGAGCCCGTACCGTGGAGGAGGCCCGTGAGGAGGCCATGCCGGGCTCGGAGCCTCTAGGCCTCAGTCAAGTCCGCACTCTGCTTTCAGACCGTACACCGCGCGCGCGCCCGGCAGGGCGGAAGTGCGTCACCGGCCGGAAACGTATCGGGAGCGTCCTCTGTGCTCTGGAAGTCGCCAGGCATCTTGGGCTTCGCAGTTGCGTCCCCTCTTCACCGGCGGCTGGCGTCGAGGGGCGTGGCCTCGTAGAACGTTCGCCACAAGCTCGTGGGAGAAGAGGCGTGTGGGAAGCGAGGCGCAGAGCAGCCTGGGAAGTGTAGTTCGGGCGGGACAGCCATGGCTTCGTGGTGGGAGTTGAGGTTCCGGGACGCTGCAGAGGCCTGAAAAGAGGTAGGTTCGTGGGTCTCGGCTGTAACCAGGCGCGGACAGAGGGTCTCCTCTGCTCTCCTTCGGGACGCCTTCCGTCATCTCGGAGCCGAGGGCTGTGTTGCCATGGAAGTGTCCCCTAGACTAGTGCAGCCTTGGAGCGGGGAAAGCGGACTGTTGTCCACGGCCGTACGGAAGTCTCCCCGGAGGCCCTGGAAACTGGGCGGCTTTGCGGGGACTTCGGGCTTCAAGAAGACGGTAAACTGGAAGAGTCTCCTGGGGCTTAAATAAAGACGCGGCGGGGGAGCTGCGGCTTGCTTGTCCACCGCGGATCCTTTGTGTGTGCTCTGAGATAAAGGGTCCGGGGAGGGTCAAGGACACTGCACACTAGCGACTCTCGCCCCGCCGATGCTAGGCCACCAGAGATGAGGTTTGCTTTTCATCCTTACAGGAGGAGTGTGGGGATTGACAAAATACTCGTGTTTCCTGAAATGGACAGACTCACTCCCACTCTTAAGCCTCTTCCCCAAGCAAATGCAGTTATGGGGCACATAGGCTTCGAGTGCTCACTAAATGACAAATCATGCGCAAGGAGCTTTTTCTGTTTTAGTCATTCAAGCCACGTGGCAACAGAGTACGTATAGCAAGTTACTGTGAGAAATGAAGCTTATCCGTCGTTCTGGAGCCATAGGGTAGTAGCAGGATTATTAAAGTGGCGGGTGGAGAGCAGTTCTTTTAACCCGCACTCAACATCGCCCTCTAGTGGTGAGGCTTTTAGTGTGTACACAGTAGAAAACTTTTCTTCTAATTATTTCTTCCTTTTTCTTTGGAGCTGGATCCCTCTTCTGTTTCTCTACTTAGGGATCTGGTAGAAGGTAGTAGCCGATAAAGTAGTTTGAAATGTCATGGGCCAGTTCTTTGTAGCGATTGTATCAATGTTTCTTCATTTGTATACATCATAGTCTTTTGTTCCATTCTAGATGCATACAACAGCAATACAAAGAATGGGAATGTGTCATGGTTCAGTGGGTAAAGGAGCCTGTGCCAAGCCCGATGGTAGAAAGGGAGAACTGACTCCCAAAGGTTGTCCTCTGACCCCTATTCAGGGAGCTAAGTTCTCCCACCAACACCCAATAAATAAATAAATAAATAAATAATCCCCCCCAAGCAAAAGTTTTAAAAGTAATTAAAGAGAAAAAAAACAATAATAGCAGAGTCTAAGACTCAGAAAAAAGTTAGTTTCAGTTTCTCTATTTGGATAGCACACAAAACTTGTTGTCTGCTTATTATGGGTGCCATGGAGGACATGAAGATGATACCTTCCACGGGTACTTAGCTCCACTTAGTTTTTTGTTCTGAAACAAACATGGGCTTTGGTAACACAAGCATTCATTTGCCATATGAAACGATTTGAATGTCTGTGGCCTTAGGTCTCCATCTACCTACCCTTCAAATTCACAAACACACCTCTTCCCCCCAGGAGTTGACATCCCTAGCCACGCCCATGCAGCCCAGCCTGGGCTAAGCATTGATGCAGTGCTGTTGAAGGACCCTCGTCTGAGTTCCCTTTTTACACTGCATTGGTCTAGTCTGTTGTCTCATCTGTTTCCCCACAGGGACTTTAAACGTCTCTGGCACAGCACAGGAAGCATCTGATTAATGAATGATTTACCCATTTAAGACCTCGTTAGATCGTGTGGATAGTCCTGTGAACTGGTAAGTTTGGCTTTCATGAGATTTAAGCATGGTTTTAGCATCTAGTCTCTGGTGATGTTTATAGAAAGCAGAATGAATGTATGGCTTGTCCACTTTCCCTAACTATGCTGATTTAGGATGAGACACTTAGCCATTCCCCCTTTTCCTTTGTGTGTATGTGACTGTGAGTGTGGTGTATACACCTTGAGGCCTGAGGATGTTTGCTGGCGTCCTGCTCTGTCCCACTCTGCCTTACTCCTTGAGACGGTATCTCACACTGAATTCGGAGCCAGGCTGATATTTAGCAATCTTCCATTCCTCCATAGCGCAGGTCATAGGCCCCAATGAGATCATGCCCAGTTTTTTTTTTTTTTCTTGAGACAGCGGTTTTGTGTGTGTGTGTGTGTGTGTGTGTGTGTGTGTGTGTCATCTTGACTGTCCAGGAACATGCTGTGTAGACCAGGCTGGCCTCAAACTAAGAGATTCGCCTGCCTCTGTCTCACAAGTGATGGGATGAAAGAGATGTACCCCGATTGCCTGACTGTGTCTGGCTTTTTATATGGGTGTTGGGCTTTGAACTCAGGTCCACATGCTTAGGCAAGAAGTGCTTTTACCTGCTCAATCATCTTCCCAATGTTTTTTCCTTTTGTCTCTTGTCTGTCTGTGTTTTTTTCAGACAGGCTCTCCCTATGTTTCTTTCCTGGCCTCCAGCTCCTAGGCCCCAATGACTTCATGTAGTTGGGAATGTCGTCACATGTCATTGCACTCAGCTGATTTCTCTTAGCTTGCATATTTCTTTGGAGGTGATTGGAACACAAGATTAGGGTAATTGTTGGGGGGGGGTCATGCTTGGGAGCTCACAGCTGGAAGGGTCTGGAGACCTGAGTCTGGGGACCCAAGCTTGGTTTCTGACCTAAAATTCTGGACAGAGAATAAGTTCTGTACTGCTGTATCAGTGGTGTCCCCTAGGTTTAAATAAAGCATCTCAAAAGGTGTTAGAAAGAAAGAGAGAAACAAAGAGAAAGAAAGATTGCTGCTTAGACTCTCTACTGGCAGTTTGCTCAGTTTTGTTTTAAAGATTGTATTTTTAATTCTGTGTATGCATGCTTGCAGGTATCCACGGAGGAGATAGGCATGTGATGCCCTGAAACTGGGCAGTTACAGGCTGGGAACCGAACTTGTGTCCTCTGCAAGAGCAATATATGCTCTTAACTACAGAACCGTCTCTTTAGCCCTCCAGCAATAAAGATGCTTAAAGATTTTGAAGTCTGCATGAAATCTAAATCAATTAATATCCCATTTATTTTATTGTTTGTGTTTATGAATTCATCTGTTTATAGCTGAGACTTGGCACCTGAAGTTTTTTCTTCTCTTGCCGTTTTGATAGACCATAGCTCACTGGGTCTGACTCCTACTGTGGATTTCAATATGCTGCGACGAAAACCAACACGCCTGGAGCTCAAGCTCGATGACATTGAAGAGTTTGAGAGCATTCGCAAGGACTTGGAGGTAAGAATTCACTTTTGGCTTTGTAGGGGATACTTCAGACTGTAATAACCTTCAGAACCTCAGACACTGCCAGCCGCTCATTTGAAATCTATTTGGGTGCTTTACAGGCCTCTCAAAACAAAAGTGAATTTCCTGTCACTGTCATAGCAGAGAACTTGCTGGCCTGAAACAACAGAAAATGATCCTTTGACAGTTCTTGCTTTTGGCTTTTTGAGACAGTAGCTATGGAGGCTATCCTGGAACTCACTCTGTAGACCAGGCTGACCTTGAACTCCCTGAGATCTGCTTGCCTTTGCCTCCTGAGTACTGGGACTAACGACATGCACCACCACCGCCTGGCCAGTACTTTTTTTTTTAACATTACTATTTTATTTATTAACCTTTTTCATATATTTTGATCATGTTTTCCCCAGCCCCAATTCCTCCTGTGTCCTTCCTACCTCCTTTCTTATCCAATTTTATGTTCTTTCTCTCAACAATAAAACAAATCCCCTAAACAAGAAAAATAGTCCACAAAAATACCAAAAGTTCATTTTGTGTTGGCCAAGTGCTCCCGGGCATGGAGTCTGCTCAGGTGTGGCTGATACATCTGGTGACACTGGAGATACTGGAGAAAAGTGGTCCCTTGGGCAGCAGTGTCAGTTGCAGATAGCTTCTTGGTTAGGGGTGGGACCCTGCGTCTGCCTCCTCCCTCAGAGCTGAGGCTCTGTCGGCTCAAGCCTGTGCGGGCCTTGTGCGTCTTGTCAGTCTCTGTGAGTGCATCAGTTCTGTTGCATCTGTTGATGCTGTTTCCTTGGAGTCACCCTTCTTTGCCTCTGGCTCTTCCCAGTCTTTCTGCCTCCTCTTCACATAGATCCCTGAGCCTTGAGGGGAAGGGTTTTAGGAAGACATCCCATTTAGGACTGAGTGCTCCAAAGTCTTTCTCTCTCCACACACTGTCCCATTGTTGGTGTCGGTGCTGATTCCCATCTGTGCAGGAAGAAACTTCCCTGATGGGGCCGAGCAAGACACTGGTCTGCGGGCATAACAGTATGTCACTAGGAACCATGTTATTGCTGTTTTCCTTTACCAGAATAGTATTACGTTTTCACTTAGGTCTGTGGCCTATCTAGTCTCAGAGTAACATCACAGCCATTGACATTGTTATAACTTGGAGTTACCAGTGTCTGTCCCCTCAGTGCTGGACAGTAACCTAAGCCCTTGTGCATGTTAAACAAGTATTCTTACACTCACCCACTTCTTGCAATAATTTGGTTGTTTATTGCAAAATCTTTCACATTAGGAACTTTGATTAAAGAAGTCATATCCATTTTCTTCACCACTGAATTTCTGGAATCTAGCTTGTAGTGGAGTACTGCTTATATATTTTTTTTTGTTTTTGTTTTGTGTAGCCTTGGCTGGCCTGGAATCCATTATGTAGACCAGGCTAGCCTTGTCTCCTGAGTACTGGGGTTAAAGGCGTACAATACCACACCTGGCAGCTGTATATATTTGTAAATCTGGCTTTGCTATACATTAATAAAAAAAATTCTTCCATGCCTTCAGGATGAAGTCCAAATTCTTAAGTGATGGGGAATGTTCTTTTGTATATATTGGTTGATGAGTAAAACACTGATTGGCCAGTAGCCAGGCAGGAAGTATAGGTGGGGCTATGAGACAAGGATAATTCTGGGGGAGAGGAAGGTAGAGAGAAGCAGAGAAGGGAGGGAGGGAGGGAGGGAGGGAGAGGCCATATGGTGGCAGAAGGAGTCACATGCTGGGTTATGGGTAAGCCACAGCCTTGTGGCAATACATAGATTAATAGAATGGGTTAATAATTAAGAGAGAGCTAGCCAATAAGAAGCCTGAGCCATCCGCCAAACAGTTTATAATTAATGTAAGTATCAGTGTGTTTATTTGGGGCTGAAGGGTGGCGGGACCAGGCACAACAAAAACTTCTGACTACACCTAAGAGTGGTACGTGAGGTCCTTTATGACCTGGTCCCTGCTCATGTCTCCCCTTTATCTGCCAAGTTATCTTTTAATCTCAGTGCGGTGCACTCTGTGCCCTTTGCTTAATGTGCAAATTTCTCTCCTTGAGTTGGCCTTGCCAGCCCCCAGCTGGATCAAGTTCACTCACCACTCCATACTGACCTCTTGTGGGCATCGCCACTCTCAGTTTTAACTCTTGGTCTGTTTTCTTCAGCTGGACCAGAGGCTCCTTGAAGGCTCTGGACTCTTCCCAGACCACACAAGGGCTCCCTACAAGCCTATTTGCATTTGCTGCTCTAGGAGTTACTTTATTTACATGGCAGGGGACGCTACATCTTGATGTACTCGGCGTGTTATTGGCTTTATTCATATGAAGACAGACAACTTAGGTTTCTCTCGCCCTTCATTCTAGCAACTGTGGTGTTCATAAAGTGTCATCAGTTCTCTCTCTGTGTGTGTGTGTGTGAGAGAGAGAGAGAGAGAGAGAGAGAGAGAGAGAGAGAGAGAGAGAGAGAGAGAGAGAGAGAGAGAGAGAGAGAGAGAGAGAGTGTCCTCATGCCATGGTCATGTGGCAGCTAGAGCACTCTTTGCAGGAGTTATTTCCCTGTTTTCACCATGTTTATTCCTGGGATTTAACTCAGACTCAGGCTTGGCAAACAAGTACCTTTACTCACAGAGCTGTCTTGCCAGTCCAATTCTTTTTTGCTTTTTAAGAATTCATAATGGGAGCCAGGTGGTGGTGCAGGTGGTGCACACATTTAATCCAAGCACTCTGGAAGCAGAGGCAGGTGAATCTCTGTGAGTTCAAGGCCAGCCTGCACTAAGTAAGTTCCAGAACAGGCTATTGAAAAACCAAAACAAACAAACAAAAAAATAAATAAAAAAGGAAGAAGGAAGGAAGGGAGGAAAAGAAGTGACATTAAGAAGTTCACCCCAAATAGCTTTATGAAAAGTATTTCTTAAGAAGCAAAGGAATCTCTGAGAATACTCAACTGGAATGAAATCATTTTAAGTTTCATGTTATGAACAGTTACAGGCTGTTCCAGAGGTGTAAATAACTTTAGTAAAAAAATGAAATATCAAGGAGTAGAGATGGAAAGATGACCCAGCACTTAAGAAAGAGCACTGGCCTCTCTGTCAGAGGACACAGGTTCAGTTCCCAGCACCTCATGGAGGTCACAACCGTCTCTAACTCCAGTTCCAGGGATCTGATACCCTCTCCTGGCCTCCATGGACACTGCACACACATGGTGAGGCTATATGTAGTCAAAACATTCATAAAGATTTTCTTTAAAAAGACCAGAGCTACACATGATGACACAAACCTTTAATCCAGCACTTAGGAGGCAGAGGCAGGGAATCTTTGTAAGTTCAAGGCTAGCCTAGTCTACACAGTGAGTTTTAGGTCAGCTAGGTCTACATAAACCCTGTCTTGAAAAACCGAGGGGGAAAAAAAAGGACAGACCAGAGCAAGGAAGAAGTGCACAATTACAATGTTAATACTTGAGAGGCAGGGGCAGGAGAAGTTGGGACAGCCACCCCCCCATGTGCTGGGACTAAAGGCGTGCTTTACCACCTGGCTCACGAGTAACAGGAAGTTCAACACACACACAATTTTACTTATTATTATATATATGATTTGGTTAAGTGAGGGTGTTTGTCTTCCACAATGCATGTGCAGAGGTCAGAGGACAGCTTTTTGGAGTTGGTTCTCTCCTTCCACTCTTCTTGTTTCTGTTGTATACTTTGGGCTAGCTTGCCCATGAGCTTCTAGGCTGTCTCTGCCTCTTAGCCTGGTGTTAGGAGTGCTGGGATCACAACTACCCACCAACATATCCAGTTTTGTTTTATTTATTATTTATTTTAAAAAAATCATGGGTTCTTGGGATTGAACTCAGATTGTCAGGTTTGTCCAGTATCTTACTGGCCAAGTTCCTTATATTGCTATTTAAAAGGTAAACATAGGAAATTTCATATTTGTGGGCCTTTTAGGTTTTGGATTTTTAGCTTAGGGATGATTGATCTCTAAGCCAATGCATAATTTTTCCAAAATCTGAAAAAAAAGAAAAACTACACCCAAACATTTTAGAGACGGGATCCTCAACCCAGCCTTATTTGATTTGACTGTAATTCATTGATGCTGGGATTTGAGGAGTCACAGTTCACCAGTAGGTGGTGGAATTACCATCATAATTTCAGTGATCAGAGCAGCTGAGTTGTGCTCCTAGTAAAAAACTGTAGCTAGAGCATCTGTCATTTTTAGAGTTATTATCATCTAATGCCATCTTTATAGTCAGAGAGTGGTGGCTATGGGAATCTGTAGTCACTTGTGACTTAGAGCAGGACCTCTTTTATGAAAGTCCTTAGTCCAGGCTCCAAATGGCTGTAAAGTCAGTCTGGCCTCCTATGACCCAGACTGCACCTATTGCTGCCACCACAGGAGGATTAAGGGCTGTGAATCAGAGGGACCAAAGTCTTGATTGGTTGAACTGTATTGACCTGAGCATTGAAGGTACAGATAGTGTAAGAGAATGTTTGGAAAGTGGGGCTTACTCACAAATTGTCTGATCTTGAGAAAGCCTCAAACAAAATGTTCATGGACCATGGTATTGTTCAGATAGATCAGTTTTTGCTCATCCACGCAAGTTTGACAGGCATAGAGAGAACCGAAGAGCACTTTGTGGAGAGGACACATTGTGTACGTCAGTAGTGAAGAAAATTTTTGTTGGTGATAGTAAAACATATTCAGAAGCATATACTTTAAGAGATTGCTTTGAACACTTCAATAAGATTGAAAGTAGTTGTGAAAGCAGTGGAACAGAGTGGATTTGTCCTCATAACTTGTGCCAATTATCATACAGCTGATTGAGAAATGGCACTATTGATTGCAGCATTTTGACATGGAAAAGGCCCTTTTTGAACAAGAGGGTATCCACTGGATAGGAAGGAGGCCAGGGGCAGGGGTGGGTCTGGTGACTTTTGTAGGTTGTGAAGAAAATGTTGGAAGTACTGGAAGTAGCTTTAGTCATGGCGGCAACTTTGGTAGAAGACAAAGCTACAGTGGCGGTACAAATTTGTAAACAGTCAGGCTGTGGTGGTGGTATAGATTTGTAAACAGTCAGGCTGTGGTGGTATAGATTTGTAAACAGTCAGGCTGTGGTGGCGGTACAGATTTGCAAACAGGTCAGGCAGTGGAATCTAAGGTAGGCATGGTAGTGGTTGACTGTATGGTGGCCACAATGAAGGGAATTTGGCAATGGTATAAAGAATTACAGTGGTGGTGAGAACTATCATGGCTTTGGAAATCAGTCAAATCTAGATCCATGAAGTAAGCAAGCAGTTTTAGTGAAGGGAACTCGGGCACTTGTGGGTGGTAGAAATGTGACATAATTCCTGTTTCACCATGTAGGCCAGGTTGGATTTGAACTTGTAGCAGTCCAACAGCAGAGTTCTAAACACGGCAGAGAAGGGCTTCCATTTTTAGAAAGAATTGTCAGGAAAGCTATAGGTTACTTAGGGACAGTTCAGCCAATGCCTTAAAGAAACTTTTTTAGGAAAGCAGCAACAGAGGGAGTAACATCCATATCAGGCAGGTTTCTGCAAGGGAAATAGGAAACCCTTCTCAATCAGGAGTTCCTCAGCCACAAGTTGAGACAAGTGTTGCAACTGTTGATGCAATGCAGTGCAGCTGGATTGACACAACAGTCATCTGTCTGTTGTAGATTTTCTTTTCATTGCTTGTTGAGTAGTGGCACCAAGAATAAAGAGGAAATTTCCTAAAAAATTCAAAACAAAACAGGCTGGGATATAGTTTGGTTGTCTACCATGCAAGAGGCCTTGGGTTCAATCTCTAGCATCATCAATAAACAAATAATTAGCTTACAGAATTGAGAAGCCAGAAGGAAATCCCCAAACTAAGACCTACCCCAGGTAACATCATCTCTTCTTGTGTTACCATAGTTGTGTACAGCCAGGTAGGCTGTAGGGTTTTTTTTTATTTTTTTATTTTATGAGACAGGGTTTCTCTGTGTAACCATCCTGGCTGTCCTGGAACTTTTTAGATCAGATTGAACTCTAACTCCAGTGATTTACTTGCCTCTGTCTCCTGTACTGCAGGGATTAAAGGCATGCGCCACCATGTCCGGCGAGGCTGTGGGTTTTTGGTGACTACTAGTCATGTCATTTTTCACTGGTTCTCATTAAAAAAGTTTACTTGAAACATCTTTTGTTGCCCCATATCTAGCATCTTCAACTGCAGTTCCTGCTGGGCCTCTGTATTGTGCCCTAAATCCCACCACCTTTTCTTTGTGTCTCTCAGTGTTGTAGACTTCCCCATTGTAACCCTGAACTCTGTATATATATAATAGTCTCCATGCCTGTTGCCTTCTAGATAGTGACATCCTGGAAGACAGCTACATTTTCTAAGGTTGCATGCCTATATCCCTCTTGTAACTATTCTAAACTTGGGATATCAATTTATTGTTTATTAGCCCCCAACTCTGTCCCTTACCCAATACCTAGCACATGGTAAATGCTAGCTAAACATTTGTTAGTTGAAAGAATGTTTTTCCTAATTTTTTCTTTCTAATGTACTTTCAGACCCGTAAGAAACAGAAGGAAGATGTGGAAGGTGTAGGAACCAGTGATGGAGAAGGGGCTGCTGGGCTCAGCAGTGACCCCAAGAGCCGGGAACAAATGATTAATGATCGAATTGGTTATAAACCCCAACCTAAGTCCAACAACCGCACATCTCAGTTTGGAAACTTTGAGTTTTAAAGATGGATTCTCTCGAATGCCAGACCTCTAGAATGGAATAAAATGATGGCAGAAATACAGAACAGATTTAGAGAATTAAGTGTGTATAACCAAGCAGAATGTTTTCTGTCTCCTGCAGGGAGAAATAATGTCTGCATGAGGTTACTGCTGTTCAACTTTTCTGATAAGATAGAAGCCAAATTCTGGCTTGTTTCTGGAAAATTGGACTGCGGAAAGCTTACCTGATTTTTTGTTTTTAAAAATAAATATATTTTTGGGAGAATGTGAGACATCCCTAAAAGTAGTAGCAATGAAGTCCCCAGCTCTGAGAGGTAATTGCCACCAAAGGTGATGCCATTGTCTTTGTCTTTAAAAAATGACCCCAGACCCGGACACTTGCAGTTGACGACACCCTGGATTTTCCCTTCACGTGTGTATTCAGTATTTGGTGACTGCTGAACATCCTGCAAGCAACAGAGATCCCAAATGAGTGTGCTCATGGCTGTAACCCAGCGTGTGGAAGACTGAGGTAGGAGTCTCATGCACTGGAGGCTAGTCTAGGATACAGAGTGAAATCTTGTCTCAAAATGTTGACAAAACAACAACAAAACCAAAACCATAACCATGAAGAACCAAACCAACCAAGACAAAACTTCTACCCTCATGGAGATTGGATTCTAATGAGCAAACTGTCAAATTGACTTACAGAAAGGCTTTTTACAATGAGGGAAACACGAGACTTTCTAACAGTATGAGGCACTCTAATTCTTCCCTTGGGACTCGTCTAAGAGTTCTTGCAGCAGGAACTCATCTGAATTTTGGATACTTTTGCACCACGCCTCATTTTACCATAAAAATCCAGGCAGAACCAGCTGTGGAAGCCAGAACATCTGTAATCAAGTTTCAAAGAGACTCCATAGCTGGATTTTACCCAGGCTTTTGGATAGTTTGTGAGTGATGTATATGGAAAGGTAGAAATAGAGGGAGATGTGTAGTTTCCTTTTTTTCTCCAAGCTTTTTTACAAAACCTTTATTCCAGTTTTATTGATGATCCCTAAGTCCTGTTACCTTACTGTCTTAAGAAAACAATAAAAGCCAGACACATGCTGTAGATAGGGGACTCACGTTATTGCAGCCTGCAGAGGCCTTACAGAAGGGCAAAGAGAAAAAGATTCTGCCTGCACCAGAGCGTCTCCAATGCAACTCCCCAGTAGTTCCCATACTTGTTTTCATGCCTCCTGTATGTCTTGTCTTTTGTACTAACATAGCTGACATGCAGAGGGCTGTGTAAGACAGTGCCGAGGATTCATGCAGGGCACACCTTTCTGAGTTTGCAGAAGTGAACCAGAGTTCAACCATGGACTGGTAGGTAGGAGATTTGAACCCGGGCAGTCTGCTTTCCAAGCCATGTTTCTAAGTGGCCTTTACTAAGTTGCTTTCTTAGTGTTCTTGGCTGGAAGCTGTGTGTGTGTGTGTGTGTGTGTGTGTGTGTGTGTGTGTGTGTGTGTGTGGTTTCCTCTTCGATTAGTTTTGTGCAGATATGGCCATTTGATGAATGAAAACTGGGCGTGTTGGGGGGGGAGGTGGAGAAGTTTCTATTTTTAGGTTTCCTAGAATTTCCATGCTGTCTTATTAACAAAATGAGACAATTATTCATCAGTAGACTAGGACTTATTGCAGCTGCTGATCTTTTTTTGGGCATGACATCGTTATGTTTCAATTCACATCTTAGGACCTATTTAGTTCCAGATTACCAATATCCAGGAGGTTAGTCAGGTGCTGGTAAAGATACTGACCTTATTCAGAAGAGTGACTTTTCATTTTCCTGAAGTCTTCAGGGACAGAATAACTAGTAGATAGAAAAAAACCTAACACGGCTTGAATGTGCCTGTCTTGTGTGGGGTACCTTATCCATATTGCTCTTAATTTAAACAGACGCTATTACTCCTTTGTGTGTGTGAGTGCACACCCTAGGCCTGCTAGGGATTGAACCTAGAGCCTTAGAAAGGCACATGCACTAGGCAAGCACTCAGCCACCGAACTATACCCATAGCCATTTGTTTTTGCAACAGTGTCTCTCTCACTCTTTGAAGCCTAGGCCAGACTCTGCTCAAGTTATGCCCATCTGCAGCCCTCTCTGGCTCCATCTTCATAGCTGGTTCTGAGATCCCTGCTGCTATAGGGAGACTGACATGCTGTGGAGCATCTTTAAACACAATACTTGGGTGCTGGGATTTCCATTCTGTTTTCCAGGTTGCTGGACTCAGGCCATTAAAGGGCTCTTGGTGGGGGCACATCTGCCACCAGCATGTGTCCCTCCTCCTCACTTCCCCTATACCCAGAGTGGTGCACTCCTTTGGAATTCCCTCCGTTCTCCCTGTCATCAAGAATCAGAGCTAACCTGACTGGCACTGAGGCCTGAACTCTCAGACTCTGTCACACTTCTTTCTATATTTTCATGGTGTTAATAACTCTTCGTGAAATTCTTGCCCAAAAGGAAAATCCACCTGTGTTCCCCTGTACCCCCAAACTGAAGACCTTTCATTAGATAGTCCAGGTCTTTCCTCATGACCTTCCTGCCTCAGTCTGCCAAACACTGGAGTGACATGCAAGTGCTACCACACTTGACTATCACCTGCCTTTTATAAACGAGAAAACTAAGGCTTAGAGATGATTAGAATAGTTTTTCCTAAGTGGTGGAGCCCAGATTTGAGCCCACTGTCCCCAAAGACCACGTTTGTCAGAGCATACTGAACGATTGCAGGGGTGATGATGAATGACTAGGTGCTCTACGGGGCCAGCAGGAAGACAAACACCAACAACACTTTGCCACTACCCCAGTGATAGGCAAGGTCCAGCAGAGAACTTCCTAGAAACCAGTGCTCCTGCCTGGTGGCACGAATATAGATTATGAATCATGGATGAAAGAAAGGAGGCAAAAGTTAGCTTCTGAACTCAACAATCCCTCCTATGCTGAAAAACTCCAGCTCTGTGAAGGCTCTGTGTCCCATGCACGAGGCCATGCTGATCTGGCAGGCTCTAGCCCAGCTTTTTAGTAGAGTAAGATGACAGCAAGAAGGCCATGCCATCTAAGAGACTGACACTGTAGAGCCTATGATAATGGCCAGTCTCTGGAGACTCATTTGGAGACTACTTTGCGTAGACAAGACATGCATAGAATCACAAAATCAGGATATTTATTTTGTTCTCTTGCACACAACACTTAAAACATTCCAATTACAGCAATTCTGCTCTCTGGGAGCTTACAGTCTCAAAACAGTCAACAGGAATGTAGACCAGTGATTAAGGCATTACATCAAATGCAGACTTGCCATTTAGACTCATCTTCTGAAGTGGCTGGAAAGGGCAGGTTCAAGATTAAATGACATAATGTACACTTTGCCTCAGTCTCCCAGTTCTAGTAAGGAAACAAAGCCCACAATATGAAAGGGAATCTGGGACAACCCTACCATAGTAGTGAAGAAACTTTGATGAATGCTGAGGAGGTTCCGAATGTGGCAATGGGCTGTTGCGTGTTCTTCCATCTCGGAAAGGAGTTAGTACCTAGGATCTGTAACTCTGGGGGAGGTGATCCTTTACCCAGGTTTCTAGAAATTCTAATGGGGTGTCTGCTTCTTGAAGCAAACTTAAGACCTCATCTTGTTTGTAAATACCAAGTTCTAATTGGTAAGATAATTATAGCCACAGCATTGTAATGTCTACTGTATCAGAAAGCTGAGAGATTTTAAAAACGAAGCTGCTTGGGATAAAAGACAGAAAGGGAAGAGTGGGCAGGGCTAAAGAAATTCAGACATAGTCTTCCCACAGAAGAAAGGAGTTTAGATAAACAAAAGAGCTGGGTATTAAAGTTCAAGAGCATAGGACTAAGCTTACCTCAGAGCGGCACTACCACACCCTCTAGAAAGCTAGTCAAGGGTCTCAAGTGCAGGTTTTGCAGTTACTGCTTCTAACCTGAAACTACCCTGAAGAACCATGTCAAAGTGAGGTTTCTCTTGATTTCAGATGCACAGCACCTTGTCCTAACTGGCCTTGGCTCTTCTCACCTCACCGATAAGGTCCTGTTTCTGATAGTTTTTATGCGTGTTCTCCAGGTGTTGAGGGTTAAATAAGGCCTGGCATACATTAGATAAATGATCCACATCTGAGCTGCACCTCAGCCCCTGGAACGTGTTTTATGGCAGCTCATCTGGAGATCTCTAGAAAGCACCAGGGTCACCACTAAATGTGGTTTCTGTATTCCCCTGGGTTTATTATTCCTTGGGTTCTGAGATAACAGCACAGGCTATTTGCACCTTAATGTTTGGCTCTGTCAGTACCTGTCATTCACTGTGCAGTGCTAAAAGCCAGCAGAATACACTGAAGTAAGAGAAAAGCAAAACTCTGAAGTTAATTTCTTACATTTTTTTTAGCCTCTGCTCTGTAGGCTTATAACCTTTTCTTGGTTCAAAGCCACTAAAGTACACATTCCTTGTTCTCCAATGTTTAATTGGCACCCATAGAGAGAAAGTATAAACTTCAGAACCACAACACCGGGCCAACAAGATAGCAGGTTTGTTTCTTCTGCTCTGAGGCACCATTGAATCTAGCACCAAAGAGACCAGCATAGGAAGAGTCACTTTAAAGAGGTAGTTTGGGAACAAGCCTATATGTAGACTAATGATTGACAGAACATCCAATGGGATTCTTCATTGAGAAAAGGGTTTTGGCCACTGTGATCTGTGTAAATCCCTACAAATAATAAAGTTGGTCAAGCAGAGGATGGGAACCTATATAGTACACACTGAGAAAAATCTAGCTATTATAAGATCATGCCCCACGTATCTCCAAACAGAAAGTTGGGTTTTTGCCTTTCTGGTCTTTGACAGGCTGACTCTGCACTGTAGATCAAAGGTCTCTTGGCCTTCAAACTACTTCCAAGGAACCCCAGATCTTTAAAAGTCAGGACTAGGTACTTTACATATGCTGGTAAGTGTACTTTGGCTATAGTCCCATATAAGTGTGTGTGTGTGTGTGTGTGTGTGTGTGTGTGTGTCTGTGTATATGTGTCTCTGTGAGTGTGTGTGTGTGTGTACAGAAAGCATATTTGGAGCTAAATAATTGTTTGTGGAGTGAATAAGTATTGACCAGCAGCATTTAGATGTGACATGCCATCTACCAACCAGCAACCCAGATTCTTAGGCCTGATACCATATATCCCTACCCTCTGTCCCAACTTTGCTATTTTAATGTTGACTCAGGGTAATCCTCTGGACTGTCAACAGAAACATCACCTAGGAACTTGGAAATGCCAAATTTGGTGGCTCTAGAGTTGAGGTCCACCAAGTAGTGCCTTAACAAGCCCTACGGGTGATTCTGAAACACTCTAAAGTTTGAAAATCATTGGTTTTGAGGAACACACACAAAAACAATAGGAAAAAATACAAACCCTTGCTTTGTTCAATTGGGACAAACTAAAGCACTGAGTCAAAGTAAAATGCCAATGGTTTTATTTAACAATCCCTATTTCTTTGTCTCAAATTGATTGTCTTGTTTTTGTTTTGATTGGTAAATTCATTTCTAATCAAAGTGTTAAGTGGGAACACAAGTGGATGATAGAGCAAGAATACATACTCCACAAACTCTAGGTCTGTATTTAGTCCCTAGCCACTCTCCACACACTACTAGTATTGTGGTGTAACACACCACACCTAGAGAAAGGCACAATATGTTTCCACTCAGTGAGTTAAGACTGGAACTTATTTTCTAGTGTGAAATTTAAGTTCCAGCTTGGGTGTCCCTAATTACCATCAATCCTGTTTGAAGTTAAAATCTCTTTCTATCACTGACCCAGAATCCCATCCACCAAATACACATATTATCTGTTTAAAATAAAAATGCCCCCCCAAAAAACTAGAAAAATAAAAGGAAGCAGATAACCAAGTCATTAACTAGGAAGCTACCTGGATTAGACAAAGCTCAAGATTATGAGGGAGAAGACATCTCACAGGTGGCTTCTCAAGAGAAATGTCAATTTCATCTCAATAGAAAAACCACTCCTCAGACTGTCAACTAAGCCTCTATTCAATAGGTGTGTGCATAAAGAGACAGGAGAGAGAAGGGGTGATTGGAGAGGGAATCATGTCTTCCAGTCCCAAGATGCTTCCTACAGCAAACGATAAGGCCACAGTGGAGTCTGGCGTTAATGGCAATGCTCTGTGATGTCCACTACCACCGCCTTCTTCCAGCTGAAGAGAAAGTACCCTGTCCCTGCGCCTGCTGCTACTGCGATGCACAGGTACCCATTGTAGGTCATGAAGATGAGCATGAGGAAGTAGCTGATGACCACCTGGATGATGTGCAGCACTGTCTGCAGGAGGTGGGGGAAGCTGAGCATCTGCTGTCTGGGGAGTGAGCAGAGACAGGAAAGTCAGACTCCAGAGTCTGCAACATTAGCACAGCCTCCAACTGGCCTGTATTGCAGCTTCTGGGAGCTCGTGCATGTGTGGGTGCGTGAAAAAAAAAAAAAAAGATAGAACCTTTGATTTTCCTTGAGCTGGTCTCAAACTCACTGTGTAGCCAAGGACAGCCTTGAATTCTGATGCTCCCAACCAGTGTTGGGATTTTAGGCACACATCATGCTTGACTAGATCTAGCTTTTGACATAAAGGAATCAAATGCATTCTGTCATTCTTTTATATCTTGACTATACATTCTTAAAATGTCTATTACTATTTAGCAAATATTTAAAAAATTGGATTCCTTTCAACTTCTTTCAAAGTGGCAAACACTTGCAATTTGCATGTATGTACCTTTGCAGACCCCAACTTCCATAACCCACTATTGGGAACTTCTAAAGTTACATAGAATCATTAACTCATGCAGAAAAAATACCTGCTTTGTTACATTATTAAGACAGCTCTCTAGAACTTTCCTTTGGCTATGTTTCATCTTACCCAACAGTTTTGTGTGTCTCCATAAGGATGGTTCCATTTGGTCCTGGCACAGGCATGGAATTGTATCGAATGCTAACTTGAGATTTGCGCAGCAGACCTTCTCGGGCTATCTTGAGTCCTTCATAAAACATTGCTAGTAAAAACACTGCTACGAAAGCTCCAGCCATCTCTAAGGAAAGGAGGAGGTAATGACATAGTCAAAATCATCAGCCAGTGTGCTGCCAGCCACAGCGGCACTGCCTGTGAGCCCAGTGCTTGGGAGGATTATGAGTGCAATCAGCCTGAGCTACACGGCAGGCAGCTATCTCAAAACAAATAAAACGGAAAAAATACCAGTCTCAGTTTGTGAATAATTGGATGGCTGTCTCTTTACTCACTCAGTAGAGATAAGAAGTTATTGAGCCTGATGGTGGCACACGCCTTTAATCCCAGCACTCGGGAGGCAGAGGCAGGCAGATCTCTGTGAGTTTGAGATCAGCCTAGTCTACAAATGCTAGTTCCAGGACAGCCTCCAAAACCACAGAGAAACCCTGTCTCGAAAAACTAAAAAAGAAAAAAAGACTGAAAAAGTAAAAAAAGGAATAGCCAACTGTTGTTCTGTTGTTTAACAGGGCTTTGGTGTGCAGCCCAGGCTGATCTTGACCTCCTGGAGATTCTCCTGCCTCAACCGCCTGAGCACTGGGACTTCAGGTGTGCACCACCACACCCAGCTAAAACAACCTGTTTTCAAAAGTGCTGCCTATATATTTTGATAAGCATTTTAAGAGATTATGTATATATAGTGAAGCACTGATACGATGAATGTATTTATATGATTAATTTAAATTTAACAGACTACTTGAAAGAAACACTTCCCCCTCCTTTTCCAAAATCAAATTTGTTTATTTCAGAAATAAGCTTGACACCTAAAGCAGTTTAAGTGATCATTAAACCCATGCAAATACAATTTAAATGTAAAGCATACCAATGTATTACAGATACGAAAAGATACCTTAAAACTAAGCATGACTCTACGATATGTCAAGCACCAGGGACATGGAAACCACACTCTGAGGCAGAAGAGGAAGCACTGGTTAAGAGAGTTCTAGAAAGTATGGCACTTGTTTTAGCCCTGTCATACTGTGATTTAGGGCAAGCCATTTCATTATAAGGCTTATTTATCTGTAAATAGGCAGTTATGTGATCAAAACCTTTTCTTTTCTCTTTTTTTTGAGGCAATGTCTATGTAGTCTGGCTATCCTCAAACTCTCCATGTAGACGAGGCCTTGAATTCACAAAGATCCTCCTTCCTGTGCCTCAAAAGTGCTGAGATTAAAGGTATTCACTACCATACATGTCAAGATCAACAGTTTTTAATGTAGGGTTATGCTGTGGTATTTGAATATGCAGTAACAACTTAGCAAACAAGAAAAGGATCGCCAAATCTTAATCTGGAATTTTAATTATTTTTCAGTGCTCCAAAACATACACATTAATTAAAGGAAGCTCACTGTAGGATCAAAAAAATTATGTATTTCATCTTCTGACTGGGGAATGGGAATTGTGATGATTATGTAGCAAACTGATCTGGTTATAGGACAGAAAGAGGTGCTGGATTTCCAAATCTATGTCACTGTTTCTCACACGACAAGATCATCTGATGGTTACTCACCTCCAGGTGTGTTGATTACCAAACCGGAAAACAATAGTTCCACATTTTTAAAGCCAAAGTAGAAGGTCATAGGCTGTCAGAAAACCAAAGCAAGTCAGTTAGAGAAGACTGAAGACCCATAACACATCCAGACATCCAGACAGGAAGGAACACTTGAAGTAGTGGGAGGCAATGTATTGGGCACTAAGAATCTCCTCTACCACCACCCCATTTATCTTTTCTACATGAAACAGTACTTAACTCAGGAAAGGGTGAATTTCAAAAGAAAGGATTAACGAGAGAATTCTAGAGAGTCTTGTTTCTGGTGTTGCCACATGAATACAGGAAGATCACCTGACTTGTGGGGAGGTGCAGTCTGCTTTGGTTTCTCTCTTTGACCTTCCAGTGCTAAAACACCATCTTCTATTAAGCAAGTGTGTGGGCAAGGGCCATCCTCTGGGACACGTACCATCATCATCATGCTGTCTCCTCCACCATGGGAGTGTGAGGCCGAGGTGGTTTGGTGATGGTGAGGGGGCATGGTACTGTTGTGGTCCATGTGGTCCATCCCCATATGGTTCATGCCCATATGGTTCATCCCCATGTGCTCGGAAGTATCCAGTTTTCCAGAAAAAGATGAGAGTCAGCAGAAAAGTCTTTCAAGAAAAACAATTATATATTAAGGACATAAAAATATTTTCTTGATACTTTGTCTACACAGAACTTTGCCCAGTGAACAAACACTTTCCTAGATACAGAAGTAACTTGGACTACTAAGGATCACCTTTGAGACAAAGGACAAAGGGCTTATACTTAAGGCTTGAGATTACTCCTTACTCTGCAGAACTCCTCTAAGAAACAGATTTAATGTGTGCTCAAAATAAATACAAATAAATGGAGGAAAGAAGCCTGTTCAAATTGTAGGAAATAGATCTTTTGAAACAATTATCTATTAACATTAACAAAATGTAATTGCTCTTAGGCTCTCCAAGCATAATCATCAGTAGATAAAAAAGCCAGGACTTCAGATAACTCTCCTAATTGGGATGGCCTGTGCTTAACCAGGATGTTCAGATTCCACAATCAGCTTTGGGCTGTTTTAAATCTGAAGAAAGGTCTGCTGCAGCCTCAGGCAAGGAGTGTGCCCAGCCTTCAGACAATTTCAGTGCGACTAGGACATCAGAGTTAAGAACATGAAAAACAAGGTATAAATTGAATATTCTATATTAAGTTAAGCTCAGACACTACAAATTCAGCCTTGTGTCTTTGTTCCATGTTAATACTTTACTGCAGAAGTCAACATGAGTTAGGGAGCAGTGACTCCCACAGCTGCTGTGTGGACAGGGGACTGGGAAGTTGGGATATAATGTGCAGGGGGAGATGTTCATAAAAGCTGTTTTTGTTTGTTTGTTTGTTTGAAACAGGGTTTAGCGTGTCTGTATAGCCTTGGTTGTTTGGGAGCTCACTATATAGACCAGGCTGGCCCTGAACACAGAGATCTACCTTCTGAGTGCTGGGATTAAAGGCATACACCCCCTATTCTCGGAAAAAACCCACCTTTTCTCTAAGGTGTATTTTTATTTGTATGAGTGTTTTGCCTGCGAAGCAGGGAAGTAAGTAAAATAATCTCATGATGTAATCAGGTAGCACGATGTCACTGAGATGCGGAGAAGAGATGCACCTGGACCAGGAAGTACATGTCTAACTCAAGAACACGAAGTTTGCAGCCACCTTCCCTCAACTCCTACCCCACGAGTCTATGACAGCAGGGTTACATAATTCTACTGCACAGGCATAATCAAAGTGCCCACTTTCAGCTTCAGTGACTGCCATTCCAGAGTTGAGAGTCTACCGAGTCCTCAACATCATTGTTACGGTGCTAAAATGTTGGTCAGAGGTTTTGCTCATGAAATTTTATAATAAATACCAATTAGCAGAATATGTAAAATAGTGAGCCCACAAGTGTCAATGATGAGACAATGGGCCAGCAGTTAGCAGTTTTCCTTTAAAAAAGGAAATTATGATGTAATGGTGGGATTATTGGTTATAATTTAGAATTATGAACCAAACAAATAAAATGGCATCAGAATAAAAGGAGCCAGAATGACTAATAAAGACACACAAACAAAAGTTAGCAATTTTTTTTGAGCCTTTTAATTGTTTTACTTTTTCATTAACTGAACTGAATTTTGGTTACATGATGTGGATAATGTTTAGATAAACAACTATCAAATCTGGCATTTCACATTATTTTTTATTAAATTTATTTTTGTTTTAAATTTTATTTAACATTCCAACCAAAGTCTCCCTCCCCACCCTACCCTCCCATTTACGCCTCCCAACAGGTAAGAGTCCAATGAGGAGGGGACAAAGTCTGGTACATTAAGTTGGGGCAGGACCAAGCCCCTTCATTATTTGTAACAGCCAGAACCTGGAAACAACCTAGATGTCCCTCAACTGAAGAATGGATAAGGAAAATGTGGTACATTTACACAATGGAGTGTTATTCAGCTGTAAAACAAGAACAAAAACAAAAACAACCCCCCCCCAAACCAATGTAATCATGAAATTTTCAGGCAAATTGGTGGAACTAGGAAAAAACTATCCTGAGTGAGGTAACCCAAATTCAGAAAGACATATACTGGCATGTCCTCACTCATAAGTGTGTATTAGACATAAAGCAAAGGATAGCCAGACTACAATCCACAGCTCCAGAGAAGCTAGGTAACAAGAAGTTATCAATTTTATTTTCTTCCTATGCAAGGCTGGAAAATGTAACATTAGAAAAGCATAAAACATAGTTTCATTCTGTATTATCGACAGAAATCCAGGCCATGGGGAGGCAGTGAACATTTTATTGGACCTTCATTTCTAAGAGACAGAGGGAGATAAAGAAATGAAGCAGACACAGTCTTTCCTTAGAGACTCAGAGTGGAAGGGAAGCTGAGCAGTCACTCTTCATGACACACACTCATTAAAAAGCAGGAACACAGCACCACAAACTACTTGAGCCTCACACCCTTGATTTCTCTGAACTCTGATAACACTGTTTTCAGTAACAATATTTGAAGACCTGGCAGTTTCCTTTTGTTCAAGTGGTATGTACCAATTAGAGAAATCTGTGTAATGGCAAATATTATCAAAAACTCTTGAGACAACTCAGTGACCCAGTGATTCATCTGTTCAAAGCTCAAGAAAAGCTCTAACCTATGCAGCTGCTGTGCAGTGTCATGTGTGTAGACTACATTCCATTCAACCACAGCAGGGAAGAGAGCAGGATGAGAACAGTTTGTTTTTCTTATAGTGCACAATGGACTTCTGTAATGGGAACCTTCTGCAAGGCTTACCCAGGACTATGCCAAAACAAATTTACACACACACACACACACACACACACACACACACACACACACACACACACACACACACACACACACACACGTAGATAATATGTTTCAGGAAGAACTTAAAGAGTTTAATTATGAAAACATAATAAATAATGGCCAGTATTAATAGCTCAGTGGCAGAGCACTTGTGTAGGCAAACTGAGGCCCTAGGATCAATCACCAGCATGGAAAAAACAATGGTTCTATTTTATTTATTTTTAAAAATATTCTTATTTACTTTTACTGTATGAATGCTTGCCCTGCATGTACATATGCTCACCACATGTGTGCCTGGCCCCTGTGGAGGTCATAGAGTGCATCAGATCACCTGGAACAGGACATAATAGGTGGCTGTGAGCCACTTGTGGGTGCTGGGAATTGAACTTGGGTCCTCTGCAAGAGCAATCCGTGCTTTTAACCACTGAGCCAGCTCTCCAGTCCCCTGAAACTTTAAATAATAATAAGCAAATGCCCATTCCCTCTAGAACAGAAATTCTATTCATAGGCAGCAAAATGGTATTTGTTGGTTTTCCTTTGATCCAAGCTCATGTATTTTAGAGCAGAAATGGATATTGATGGAAGAAAGAGTAAGTCAGAACCCAGAGGCACACAGGCTGTCTGCCTTATTCATGCTTCCCAAACTTCACAGTAACTTGCTCTCTAAGAACTGTTTTCTGTAATTTGGCCCCACCCTCACCACCTCTTTATAAGAACCGGTTCAAGGTCCACAAAGCAACTGGTGTACATTTTATAGAACCAAGTTCTCCATTCTAAAGCAATTAGTGGAACCTGAGGGAGGGCAATGACAGTAAGAGGTTGAACTTAAAATCTCTGCGATAAAGCATTGATTCAATGGGTTTCTGTTTGGACATGGTAATTCCATGCTAAAAATCAACTTTCTCTTTGTTCCTTATCCTCTATCATTTCATCAGGGTCACACATCATTAACTAAGAAGAAATAACCAAACATAGAAAGAACAGAAAAAAACAAAAACAAAAAAATCCTTGATTCTTAACTGGTAAAATCTACTTGCAATATTGTCATGTTACTGGACTTCTTAAAAGATGGTAGAAAGACCAGAGATACTGTACTTTTATTTATATTGTTGCCATTCAGATTAAGCCAGTTTTCTTGAATAGAATTCAAGTGGGACCCATATTAGAAAACCAGCTTTGTATCAGAAAATGTAGTGAGACCACTTAACAGCTGGCTGTGGGACTTCCTAGGCTTAGTATGGACACATAGATTGTTAAGGAAATACAAGTCAGTTTAGAACTGCCTTCAAAACAGAACAACATATGGCACAGATTTTAAGGAACCTAGTCCACATAACCGCTAAGAAGGTTTCTTCTACTCAGCTTCTCAGGAGTGTCTGAATTTGGTCCTGCTGCCCTGGTGATGGGTAAATGGCGCTCTCTGCCTGTAGAGTCCATGTGCATGATGGGCAGTCCCACTGTTCCTTCTGTGCCCTCCTTCCTTGCATCTAAGCATAGGTGTTTCTGGTGGAATATTTAGCTGGCGGGACAGAGAAATACTCGCTACAGGTATTTATACAAATACCTTTCTTTCTATTACAATTCAGTCAGTCTACCCATAGGAACTATAAGAAAAGGCAGTTTCCCCTATCTTCTCTAACAAAGATTCACCTAAAAGATTAGCTTGAGGCAGGTTGCAGCACAGACCTGTAATCCCAGCATTTGGGAGGCAGATTGAAAGTTTCAGGCCAGCCTGAGCTACTTAAGGAGACCCAGTCTCAAAAAGTCAAACCATAAGTAAAACAAAATGCTTAAAATGCCAAACTGCAAATCCTAGAATCTCTAGCAAAATAAAAATGAATTTGTGGACAGAAGCTAGAGTGTAATAGGAAAGTTAAATACTGATGGCACTCTGAGCCAAAGCACTCACGGTATTTCTAATAGGCGAGCTCTGAACTTCACATTCCTTTACTGTCCTGGCATTACATGATGGAGGAGAAACGTCCCTTGGACTATGGAGTAGACCCACAAAAGGCAATAAGGAAGTGCTGAAGGCCTTCTTTCTTCCCCAGGCAGATGTAATCTAGAGTCTTGGACAGTTCTGGAGGCTGCCTAGGCCTTTCCCGACTTGCATGTTAAGAAGGATAAAGAAGGCTTTTATTCTTAAAACGATTAGATTTATGTTTCATTTTAGACTGGTACAAACAAAGCAGACACTCGGCTTTCCTACTTTTGGCAAAAAAAGATATGAGAAACTCAAGGTCAAACATATTAAACCACAATAAATAGGGATTCAAATGTTCATGGACTATGTCCACATGATCAAGTAACCAGTTTAGCTGCACGAATACTCTTTTGATAACCTGCACAGGGTGAGTATATACCCTGAGAATTGGCCTGACTTTGTTTCAAGTGCCTTTCAAAAACTCCCACGTATGAAGGATCTTTGAGGACAGACTAGAAGGGAACTTTCAGGAAGCTAAACTTTAAACTCTCTTGATGGCTTTATGAAAATCAACACACTAGATCAGTGTTTACCATGGCGTATGAATGAACTTTGGGAGCCCATTCCACAATAAGGGATGCTCTCTCAGCCTGGACAGATGGGAGAGGGCCAAGGCCCTGCCCCGGATGAAATGACAGACTCTGGAGATCCCCCGTGGAGGGCCTCACCCTCCCTGGGGAATGGTGTGAGGATTGGTTGGGGGGCTGGGGGGCTGGTGAAGGGGCAAGGAAAGGGGGGTGGGAGAGGGAGCTGGGATTGACATGTGAAGCAAGCATGTTTCTAATTTAAATAAAAATATATTGAAAAAAATCAACACACACATTCTCTCTCCCTCCCCTTCCACACACACACACACACACACACACACACACACACACACACACACACACACACTTCTTTCTTAGCCTTTCATATTTTCATATTTTAAAAAGTTTCCTGATGAGCTGGTCCTGGTGGCTTATGCCTTTAATCCCAGCACTTGGTAGGTAAACTGGAAGCTAGCCTGGTCTACAGCAAGTTCCATGCTAGCCAGAGCTATACAGTGAGACCCCTGTTGTAAAACATAAAAAATGAAAAACCCAAGTGAAACAGTGATTAGTTTCACTCTAATTTTTCATGGTTGATAAAAAAGGCCAAGGGATCACCTATAAATTCTCACCTGCTTCTCCACTGTACTGGCTGGGTTGAGAAAGATGCAGAATGGGTTAAGGATGAATTTAGTGATTCTTTGTAGACCTCCAATGATCACCATCACTGTGTTATTTATTTCTCTTTCTTCACTGCATGTCACAGGAAGCATTACTTCAGGTCACCTGTGGCATCCCTGAAAGCACTTTTCATGGAGGAAAACCAGGCTGTGTCACTGTTCACATTCAGGTAACAGTAGAATGCACGTGGCTGCATTACTCACACATTAGACTCCCAGGGTGCATCAAAAGTAACCAACCACCAGACACATAAAGGAGAAAACTACTTCAAACAATTAGACTCAAGAGCTTTCCTTTGTAAAAGTGGCCAATAATCTAGGCAAACAAGAAATGCTGCATGGATTGACAAGTTTTTTAAATCATAAAACAGCAGCTATCAATTAGTAGCTCTCCTACCTGGAGGCTATTGGCTAGAAATATCTATTCAGAAAGGATAGTAACTCAGCTGCCCTGAGACTCCAAATCTAATTCTGTCTGTGGAGAGCAAAGCTGTGATATGATTCTAATCAGAAAGAGACAAAAAAAAAAAAATCCCGTTTCCAGCTATTAGCTGAAGGTCACCTGGTGTCATAAATTTCATAACCACTATCACCCCATTGTATTAAGCTGCTCAGACTGGACACGCCAGATAGGAAACCTGTTGGGGCAAGACAGATGATGAGGAGCTGCATGAGGAATTGCACTTTTGGGAGAACTAATGTCAAATGTACTAATGTCAAACAGTATTTACAACCCTTCTTGCCCAGCTCCTCCATTACCTATGAGCTCTGGGCAACAGGGATGGATGGCAAAAGTACCATGTAAACAACAAGCACAGGAGAGGGGAAACCAAAGCCAGTCTAACCCGAGACACGGTAATGAGTTTACCGTGAGAACTGCTTTGTACTTCAGAGCCTCATTTCCCTAACTGTAAAAACAAGACAGTACATTATTAGTGGGGCCCTACCCAAAGCCAAAGCCTTGTTGCACATTCCTACTTGTATCTAGTAGAACAGACTGCCTCCTCACTACTCTGCCTTATTTACCTTTGGACTGTCTACATTTTAACACCCTGAATATAGTAATACATTATAATAAAAATCTGCATAAGTAAATTGCTTTTCTAGCTGCCCTTGAACTCAGAGATCAACCTTTGTCTGCCTTGCATGCGCTGAGATTAAAGGTGTGTGACACCACACCTGGCTACCTTACTATTTAAGGGTACACTAGGACACTCTTAATTTCCTTTTAACTACTTTAGTGAGTATGCTATACAGTATCTGATATGCTTCAAAACTATTCAATAGTTTTATCCTAAGAAGCAGCAAACTGCAATTGGTGTAGAAGTAACATTGGCAAGTTTGTTAGCCTTCCGCCAGGCACACATAAAATCTAGGAAAGGGGTCTTGCAGGTGGGACTATTCATTATTGTTTGTGATGGTGGGACTGAACCCAGAGCCCTGTAGCTTGACAAACAACACATACACGTACACAGAAGAAATGAGAGATCTGTCAGATTAGATCAACTTAAAGTACATTTACTCAGTACATTTACTAAATAAATAATTGCATAGTATCTGAACAATGTTTTTTTTTTGTTGTTGTTTTGTTTAATCCTTTCTTGGAGCTGGAGAGATGGCTCAGAGGCTAAGAATACTGACTGCTCTTCCAGAGGACCCAGGTTCAATTTCAGCACCCACAAGGCAGCTCACACCTGTTTGTAACTACAAGATCTGATACCCTCACACAGACATACACGCAGGCAAAACACCAATACACATTAAAAAACATCCTTTCTGAAAATTCAACATAATATCTTTTCAAAACGGAGGACCCAAGGCACAGAGAGCCTCACTGGGCTGTTCAGGGCTATCCTAGAAAGCTGAGGTCCCTTTGCTAGAGCCTGAACATCTGTAGAGCTAGCCCATTCTGTGGGGCTTCACCACCAACAGCTCTGTTCCGTCTTGGTGCCTGCAGTACTCTTGTGCTCCACACAATCATCTCTTCAGCATCAAATGCCCACCTGTACAGTCTCTTGGGCAACACCTCCAAACCAGTTTCCAGGGTCTACTGGTAAGATCGCTACACACCTGTAAAAATTTACATTCTCTGGTAGTCTAACTAGGACCAGGTGGTAACAAATCCTTAAACTGTTTTCACGACCCTTTCAATCTGTGCTTATTTCTGTCAACATGCTAACACAATGGTGTGGAATGGAGGCATGTCTCCAAAATTCCTTCTCTTCAACCACAAGCATTTCAAACCTCTTCTGTAGACTTATTATTTTTGACATGCTAAGGAAAGAAGGCTGGTTTCAAGCAATCAGGATCCCCCGCCCCAAACAAATGAGCTGGAAAAACCACAGAAGTCTCAGCATGGATCCTTCTGTAAATATGGGTATTTTCAATAAGTGCTCCAACACCTGTGGGGACATGTCAGGAAGGGTATTGCTCCATTCCAGAGGCATGAGTGAACTCTTCCAGGCAAGTCAAATGCAGAAGCTCCACCGTGATCTGAATCATGCTACTTGATGGTGATGGTGTTGGTCTGAGAACCAGCAGTCCAGGTTAGACTAGTATCTCTGCTAGATGTTTACTGCTTCTCAAGCTGTAAATTGCGTTTTAGGATGCAATAGAAGGAACTATCTTCCCCTCAACTGGCACACTAATTTATTACCGGACTTTTATGTCTGTGGTCTGACACCTCTTATCTCATTCTTTTTTTAAAATAAATTTTTATTTAAATTAGAAGCAATCTTATTTTACATATCAATCCCAGTTACCCCTCTCTCTCATCCTCCCATGCCCCCCACCAATGCCCCATACCACCCCCATCCACTCCCTAGGGAGGGTGAGACCTTCCATGGGAGAATCATCAAAGTCTGTCATCGTTTGGGGCAGGGCCTAGGGCCCTGTGTATCTAGGCTGAGAGACTATCTCTCCATGGGGAATGGGCTCCCAAAGTCCATTCGTACACTAGGGATAAATACTGATCCACTGCCAGAGGCCCCAGACTTCCCAGGCCTCCTAACTGACACCCACATTCAGGGGGCCTGGTTTGGTCCTATTCTGGTTCCCCAGCAGTCAGACTGGAGTCTGTGAGCTCCCCCTTGTTCAGGTCAGCTGTTTCTGTGGGTTTCTCCAGCATGGTCTTGACCACTTTACTTTGCTCATCACTCCTCCCTCTCTACAACTAGATCCCAGGAGTATGGGCTCAATGCTTAGCTGTGGGTGTCTGCTTCTTCTTCCATCAGTTACTGGCTGAAGGCTCTAGGATGTTATTTAAGGTAGTCATCAATCTCATTATCTGGGAAGGCATTTAAGGCTCTTATTCTAATTATCTTCACATGGATGTGTTTCATTAAGACAAATCTTAGCTTTTCTAAATGAATTTAGCACTTTGAAACGTACTTATTTATTTGTTTGTTTTACTATGTCCTCTTGGAACTCTTTTTCTCCCATTATCGGCATAGGTCTAAATCCTGTCACTATTCACATTCATTGTGTAGTATGCATATAGCACTCAAACTAAGGATAAATCAAAATCTGTAACTCTTGTGAGTGTATACCCTGTGTCTTAAGGGTCTCTATTAGGTTACCTGTTAAGGTCTCTATTGCTTGTCTTCTAAATGCACTTGGAGTAATAGTTGATGTGCTTTAGACATTCTGACTTTTCAGGGTCTTTAACATTTACTTATGAAATGTACTTAGATTACCTAGTACTTTCCAGTGCACTCTTTTAAATAATCAGCCCCTCTGGGAAGCACTTTGCCGAAGTCGAGACAGCAAGAGCCTTGTGGCTTCTGGAGTCCGGCTTGTGACCGGTGTACAGCTCTGTCTCCACTGGAGCTCAGAACAAGTTATTAAAACTTTGTGAGAAAAATATGAACATATAAAACGGGGATAATAACATCGCAACATTATAAAATCAAATGCAAATGAATATATGAAAGCAACTGCTACTCTAATTACACACACAGTAAATAATAAATGCTGATTACTTTCTTCCTAACTCAGATACTTCTCAAAGACTGCTGAAAATAAACCCAGGAAGCTAAGGAGACAGGATTACGAGGTTCAGACCAGTTTGAGTTACAAGATAAGTTCAAGACCAGCCTGGCCTACCAAGTGAAACTTTGTCTCAAAAAAAAAACAAAGAAAAGAAAGGAAGAAAAGAGACAGCGATCAAGATAAAGGGATGGCTCAATGGTTAGAGCACCGGCTGCTCTTTCTAGTACCCGCATGGCAGCTCACAGCCATCAGTAACTAGTCCCAGGGGACTCCCACATCGTCTTTGAGCCTCCATGGGTACCAGGCACCCACATGATACATTGACATTCAAGCACCAGAACACCCATACATATGAAATTGTTTAAAAAACGAAAAAAAGAAAAAGAAATAAAATATCACCTCCCCCCCCCCCCAGTCTGTGTTCTGTGGTTTTTGAGGCAAGTATAATACATTAAGATATTCTTTGGAAGGGCCAGTGAGATGGCTTAGTAGGCAGAGGAACATTTCTTCATTTCTCTGGAATATACGAAGAGATGAGACATTGAAAAATGTGGCCAAGTTGTGCAGAGAAAAAGGACCACACTAACCTGCAAGGGTAGCAGAGGCTAGATTACTTGACTTACTACCCTCTGCCCCAGGGGCCACAGAAAACCCACACAAAAGGACAGGGGCTCTGGCTTAAAGCTGCAAGGACACACAGCAAATTTCAGAAATGCCCTGGGCAGCTAAAAGCAGTGTTTCAGCTTATGCTTAAGTGTGCAGGAAACTGGATGTGCTGACATGCACGCCTCTGATCCCGAGACTCCAGAGGTAGAAGCAGGACGGTCAAAAGGTCAAAGTTCCTCAGCCACATAGTAGCTGGCCACAGCCACACTGACTCAAAAGAAAGTTAGCAGCTGGCAATTTTGACCTGCTTTATGGTCTCTAACCTCAAAAAGACACATTTGTGAAGGTGCCACACACTTCAGAAAGTTACCATGCATACCCCATAATTATAACACCTGAGAGGAGGGTAAGACACAGTACTTACTCCCTTTAATCTCAACCCCTCTGTGGATTGTTGTAAAAAGGGACTCTCTTGACTCCTATGTGTAAGTAAGGCAAGTATGTCTGGGACATGGTCCCTTTTTCTAAGTTTATAATATATTCACCTTGTAAATCAGTTCTTAAAACAATGCCACATTGAAAGGATTAGAAAATATCTAAGACTGTGACACAGGTAACTTCAGTGAAGTCTGTAATTCCCAGCAGAAACCCATTTCCAGGAAAAGGATATGTGCTAGCTAAACAACCCCCTTGTGCAATACTAGTGGTGACTACTTCTACCTTATCAGCTCACAATTCTATCCAAGGCATCTCCAGAGCTACCATACTTACCAAGTGAGAAAAGAAAAATGGTTCTTAGCAATCATTTAAAGATGTCACCAAAATGAGATGTGGCAAATCTAGACAATTAGCTACACACTCTCTTGTAGAAGCCCATGCCAGTACTTGGGAAGCTTAAGTACATCTGTCTGTGCTTCTTTCTCTTAATCTTCAAACTCAAGCCTATGTTAAAATACACTTAGTGTTCCTAAAAGTTTCAGAGAATTCCTCAGGCCACTGATTCTGTCTCCTCACACCTGACAAAGTTACCTATACAAGGTCTCCACTAAGATTTCGTCTCTAAGTAATAGAAGTTCAGATGTTTCAAAACCATTTTTCCTTTCTTTCACTATGCATTGGCAATTACCACCCTGCTAATCATGTCAGTCTTCAGTTATCAGTCTGATGCATACATTCCCTAATGCCTTGAAACAGCTTCAAAGTATTTATCCTAAGAGCAAATATCTGAACTGTTATATGTACAAAGCTATGCACTACAAGACTATCTGTAACACCAAAACATTGAAAATACAACCCAAGTATTAATTACCATATTTCCAGAAAACAGAATACCTTGTAGCCATTTAAGAGTGAGAAATATCTATCCACTTTTATAGGATGATTTCCCAGCTATATTATGAAATTGGTGTGGGGAACAGAGTACACTGTATGATATAATTCATAAAAAATTAAAAGGGCAAAAGGATATACACATAGTTTACAATTTTAACAATTAAATGATCAGGTCCAGTCCCTTTTATTTTTCCAGTGGGGAAACAATGCACATGTTATTGGAGAATGACATTAACTTTCTGGCCGCCTTTACATTTGCTTTTGCAATGGGATTCTGTAAGACAGCCCTCCCATTTCTCCAGATGGTTTGCTGGGAAGTGTAAGCAGGGGGGTTTCTGAGTCCCACACATCCTGGTTTGGCAGCAAATAGTCCAGAAGCTCTTTTCTTTAGTGCACTCTCGCCTTTCCACACAAAGAAGATCAAGTGTAAAGCTACATTCTTCACCAAGGCCTTTAGAACGCTTTTATTTACTTGCTCCCCATGGCACAACTAAATTTGATATGACAAACAGACTGAAAAGGCCTTTAGTTATGCAATGGTGGAAGGGCCCAAGTCCACTGAGAAGTGGACTTCCTGGACACCGTACTCCACTTCTCTCCTACTCTTCATTGCTGGCTAAGCCACATCCTGGAATCAGGAAAGCACGAGACACACTTTTTCTTTCTGCCCTGTTGTAGTCTGGGTGCAAAACTATTTCAAGTATAATTTACGTAAAGATTTCAGAGTACTTTATGTGTAGCACTCAGAGTGGAGCCAAGTACTGCTTTATTCTTCACAGACTGTGAAGTTTGTCACATATTAGCTATGTGACATTAAGAAAGGCACCAGTGAGTCGGGTGGTGGTGGCACCTGCCTTTAATCCCAGCACTCGGGAGGCAGAGGCAGGTGGATCTCTGTGAGTTCAGGGCCAGCCTGGTCTACAGAGTGAGTTCCAGGACAGGCTCCAAAAGCTACTGAGAAACCCTGTCTCAAATAAACAAACAAGTAAATAAGAAAGAAATCACCAGTGAGATGGCTCCATGGGTAAAGGCACTTGCTGAGCGAACCTGGAGACATGAATTCAATTCCCAGAAGCCAAGGGAAGGTGGAAAGAAAGCTGACTCCGAAAATACATGTACCCACACCTGTATACAAAAATAAACAAACAGTTCAGCTGGCCTTGAACTTACTATGTAGCCGAGGACAACCCTGAATTCTTCATCTTCCTGCCTCCACTTCCCCAAGTATATAGCTTTTTGTCACTTGATTGAAACATCCTAGCTACTCAGACACACACGGGAAAAGCATTTCTTTGGCAATTTGCTTGTTGTAGTCAAAGATAGACTGTATTTGCTACAAAATTAAATTTTTCTTTAGTTACAGAGGATTTCCAACTGGCCAGGCTATAATGTTGATGTGCCCAGAGTATGATATGAAACAGAAATTACAAAACAGTTGAGTTGTTCTTTTTATTCAATAGGAAACTGCAATTAAATATATCATGTAATAGGAACTTATGTCCCATTAAACCACTAACTAACAAAGGATGACTTTATCAAAGTGTAGTAAGAATACAACTGAAAACAAGAAAATTGCTCTTGGGTGTGATGGTTCAGACCTTTAATCCCAACACTTGGGAGACAAAGGCAGGTGGATCTCTGTGAGTTCAAGACCAGCCTGGTCTATACAGTAAGGGGCTGTCTCAAAACCAATAAACAACAAACCCTCAAAAAACTAAGTTGTCTGAAACCCAGATAGAAGCTTCATGGTCTAGTCCAACAAATACTAAGCTAGGACCAGGAGAGTGGTCCTCTAGACCTGACCCCAGACACCCGGAGAGTGGTCCTCTAGACCTGACCCCAGACACCCGGAGAGTGGTCCTGTAGACCTGACCCCAGGCACCAGGAGAGTGGTCCTGTAGACCTGACCCCAGGCACCAGGAGAGTGGTCCTCTAGACCTGACCCCAGGCACCAGGAGAGTGGTCCTCTAGACCTGACCCCAGGCACCAGGAGAGTGGTCCTCTAGACCTGACCCCAGGCACCAGGAGAGTGGTCCTGTGGACCTGACTGCAGGCACCAGGAGAGTGGTCCTGTAGACCTTACCCCAGGCACCTGTCAGCTGTGTGAGCCTGAGGAACTTGTTCATTCATTCAATATTTCTAAAGAGATTTATGTGTATTTTATATATGTGAGTGTTTTGCCTGCATGTATGTAAATGAGCCATGTGCATACAGTGCCCAGAGGTCAGAACAGGAGATCGGATCTCCTGGAACAATGGTTCTCAAGACTCCCGGGGTGTTTGTGTGTGTGTGTGTGTGTGTGTGTGTGTGTGTGTGTGAGTGCATGTGTGAGTGCATGTGTGTGTGTGTGTGTGTGTGTGTGTGTGTGTGTGATGACCCTTTTACAGGGGTTGCTTATCCTACATATCAGATATTTACATTATGATCCATAACAGTAGCGAAATTAGTTATGAAGCAGCAATGAAAATCATTTTACAGGTGAGGTCAGTACAACATATGGAACTGTATTAAAGGGTCGCAGCGTTAGGGAGGGTGAGAACAACTACCCTAGAACTAGAGTTATAGACAGTTGTGTACAGGGGAGCAAATCCAGGTCTCCCCAAGAGCAGCCAGTGCTCTTAATCATGGAGCCATCTCTCTAGGCACAGAACTTTTAGCTTTTTAGATTCATTTATTTTATGGGCATGAATGTATTTCATATGTATATTACCATGTTCCTACCTGATGCCCATGTAAGTCAGAGAGGGCATCAGATCACCTGGAACTGGAGTTACAGGTGGTTGTAGCCTCCATGTGGGTGCTGCAAACTGAATCTGGGTCCCCTGCAGGAGTAACCAGTACCTTTAAGCACTGAGCCACCTCTCCAGAACCCAGTCAATACTGTTTGCTCATGCACTGAATGAAGGTACCATGATGAAGCCCTATCCCATGATGGAGTAAACATGTAATTAACCACAACACAGGTATGAGTTATAGATAAAGACTGTATGGGAACTGATAAAAAGCTAACAAAGGCTGGGCATAGTAGCATACAACTTTAATCCTAGTACTTGTGAGATAGTGGTAGACCCTTCTCTGAGCTCCAGGCCAGCCTGGTCTACAGGGTGAGACTTTGTCGTTTTTTTTTTTTTTTGGTTTTTCGAGACAGGGTTTCTCTGTATTGTTTTCGAGGTTGTCGGTCCAGCCTGGCCTCGAACTCACAGAGATCCGCCTGCCTCTGCCTCCCGAGTGCTGGGATTAAAGGCGTGCGCCACCACCGCCCGGCTGAGACTTTGTCTTAAAAAAGAAAAAGATAAAATAAAAGAAAAAGCTAGGTGACAATGGAATAGAGACTATGTGTCCATTGTTAACAGCATTCCCCTTTTGTTTTATAAACCAAATAACTACACTCTAGTACTCTGAACTACTTGAAAATTATATCGATACTTACTGTAGTTCTTTAACATATGTACTGTCTATTTATGGAAGGACTCAACAAGGCTAAAATGGTTCATTAATGTGTCACTGGTTGCTAAAGTTTTACTGTCAAACCATTTTTCTGAATTCACTTTTGAGAGGCAGACTTTATGTTATGCTGTATTGCATAATGTCCTCAGCCTACAAAAGCAGGTTGTATACAAACCCCTAGGGTCATTGTGTAAAGGAAAAGAGTTAGGGTGGACCCTTCTCGTCCCCTTCCTTCTCCACAGGGTTTGCATTCCTAAGGATGGGCCCCTCCTCTGCTTGGGGATGTTACCTAAATCTTAAAATGATACAACTCAAAGCTACGGAACTTCAAAAGCATTTTCTTCCCTCTACCTGCTGTAAATTGTGTGTGTGTGTGTGTGTGTGTATGTGATAAACAGCAGACTGTGATGTATTAAGTATAAGACTTTTGATAACTTGTTACTTTCCTAGTTACAACGTACATGAGACCGGTTTTAAAGACAGCTTTGTTGTGCTAAGAGCTGAATATGGGAGTACAGGCATGAGCAACTTCCTACTGCCTCCACTCCCTGCCCCCAGTCATGCCTCTCTGGCAAACTTTAAAAGGCAGAGCTTTCTGAGTGATTTATCTGACATCAATTGAACTCTTGTCACTATAAACATTTCATTTTTCTGTGATAATTGTATCTTTTCCCTCTTGGAGCACTGGGACAAAGACAATAATAGAGCCAAGTTAGAAACAAGAAGGAAAGGAATGACCTAAAGAGCAGAAACATTTAACACACACACACACACACACACACACACACACACACACACACACACACACACACACACACACACACACACACAGGTCTCAACTATTTGCCTCCTCTGATCTTGAACTCCTCCCTCCCACCTCTACCTCCCAGTGCTGGGATTGCAGGCCACCATTCCAGCTAAGGAATGTAACTAAGAGACTTCTAGTATTTAATATTACCTTCACAACAATCATTTCATTTTATCTACAACCTGGAACCTTTGTTTTCAACTTGATATTTAGATTACAATCCAAAGGGAAACTGGTTTCAAGTTTTTAAGATTAATACCAGTGCCCTAAGTAGTATTTACCATATTTTAACTCAGCTAATCTGCATAACTCCACGTTCTAGGGTTAGCCTTTTCCTTTTTAGACTCCTGAACTAACTGGAATTGGCCATGTCATGCCGTGGTGGTACATGCATGGCAGAGACAGAGGGATGTGGTTGGTCTCTATGACTTGGAGGCCTGCCTGGTCTGTACAGCTCCAGAATAGCTGGGAATACACAGTGAGATCCCATCTAAAAACCAAACAAATCAATGGAGAATATTAGCCATGTCATTTAGAGTATAAATCATCACATGTTGATCTAATTGGAAACTTGTCATGTTGGTCTGTAATAAATACGGCTTTGGGCTCCTTTTACACATTATTTTTCAATTCTCTATGTATATTATTATCTTGAAATCTCAGGAAAGAATCCTAAAGAACTCCCAAACAATTTAACTGACAAAGGAGAGATTTATCCAATGTGGCCACACTGGGAAGAGGGAAAAACACGCAGTGACCCTTCCCCCATAGTCCACCTTCAGGATGCTGAAGGTACAGTTTCAGTAGGTGGTATATCTAACAGTCTTAGTCAAGGTGTGGTTCCAACCATCACCGAGTCTTCTCTAAGGCAGTCTAACGGGCTTAAATCTCTTTCCAGGAGAAAGGATTCTCCTCAGGATGGCCCAAGCTTTAGACTTGTTTTTCTTGTAGCATGATACCCAGGGACCACTGCTTCAATAGTCCAGAAGCCAAGCTGTGGGACACAGGCATCGCCCTGCTAGGTTGGATACACTAACCCTGACTGAGTACTTATTGCCTGCAGGCATTGTTCTAGCACTTTATGCCTGATGTAAATTAACTTGTTTGACCCCCACAAGAACTCCAGAAAATGGGTACTATTGTTATCCCTATTTTACAAAGAAAAAAACCTAGCAACTTGCCCAAAGCTAATGTTATAATATTGCATGAGCCTGACCTCGGTGGGGGACAAACTTGCTGGGCAGACATAGTTTAAGTGAGAATTTTTATTAGAAAGGGAAGTGGGAGAGGGAGGGATGAAGGGAGAGGGAAAGAAGAAGAGAGAGAAAAGGGGGTGGGGTAACAGAACAGACCATGATCTGTCTGTCTCCTCAGGGAAGAAAAGGGAAGATTGAAGCTTGGGTGGAGTTTTCCTCTTAAAGGGCCAGGGTACATACACCTGTCACTCACAGGTAGGTGAGAGGAGGGACCACATTTGCCTAGATCACAACAATAAGTAGAAAAGAAATTTGATCCCAAAACTGAAGTATATGACTTCTAGTCTACATAGCCATTCTAGTGGTCGCATCTATGAAAATCAAGTTGAATGCTTTTTGGCTAGACTAGGTAAGAGGAAGTCACATAGATGCCCACAATCTGCTGTTGGATGCAGAGATCAGCTCTAAATGTTGGCAGAAAATGTCATATACATCTAGGAAAAGTTCATAGTCAGGCTGCTTTGTGAGTGACTTTTAAGTAGTTATTGTATGTTGAAGAAAGCAACCATACATGATTCAGGTCAGGGTTGATAAGCTTTCTATAAAGGACCAATTACTAAACACTTAGGCACTGTGGACCATATCGCTGCAGCTTCAGATAGTCAACCTTGTAGGATGAAAGTAGCCATAGATAATATGTAAATAAATGAGCATGGCTGTGTTCCAATAAAACTGTAGGATAGGCCACTGAGATAAGATTTGCCTGTAGTCTGTTGATCTCTGAGAATCATACTTCAAGAAAAAGTTGAGGCTTTAGTTTAAAACAACAAAACCCAGAGGATATTTGTGTTTTAAGCTGTAATAAACTGTGTAAACTGTGTATGATTCCCTACTTTAACAAACTTTAGTTTTCCAAGCCATAGTCCTAAGTACAGCAGGTAAAAGGGCAACTCTTGTCTTGGAAAATTTTGCAAAGCTCCATTAGGCTGGTGATACACAGCTCAGTGGTAGCATGCTTGCCCAGCTTGTGCAAAACCCTGGCTTTAATCCCCCTGTGCCATGGAAACATACATCTGCCTATATCTGCCAAAGTTGTTCCTTCAATCCAGAAAAAAAAAAAAAAGCCTTACCTCCCTGAGTTCTTTTGGAATCCTCGTCATCTTCAAAACCCTCTATGTAACCCTACAATTCCAGTAGTTCAGCAGTCTAAAAAGGAACAGGTTAATCCCTAGAACATGGGGTTATGCAGACTGGCTGAGGCAAAGCACAGTAAACACTGTTTAGGGCACTGGTATTAATCTTAAAAACTTCAACCCAGTTTCCCTTTGGATTATGATTGAGGTTATGATGAAAAGATATTATCTCTTCCTACTTTGATATTCTACAATTATTTCCTCGAGGCTTCATTTCCTTCCAATCTACACAAAGTCTAGCTATACACACAGTAGACTCTGAGGCGATATTTTTCAAAATGTATTATAATATTCTTCTGCTTTTATCAACTTGAATGAATATAATACTATAGACATATTTTTAATCTACATTCAATCCATATCTCCATACCACTGGAGGATATTAATATGGGTTTGCCTGAATAAGAGTTGTCATCTTTTTGCAAATTTGATTTGAAAGAAATTATTAAGCTTGCGGCTTTCAAGGTAATCTTCAGGGAATGTATGTATGTATGTATGTATTATGATTTTGTTTTGTTTTTAAAGACAGTTCTCACTGTGTAGCCCTGGCTGGCCTGGAACTCACTGTGTGGACTAGTCTGGCCTCTAGTTCTCCAGATCCACCTCGCTCTGCTTTCCAAGGGTTAGGGTTAAACAGGTGTGTCACCATACTTGATGAGCAATCCACCTTCTACACATTTCAGAGATGCATGGTTAGGAAAACCTGGAACTTGAGCTCAGGGTTGTATTACTTATCTTTGCACTCCCAGTTCTCAGTAGATATGTCTACAATCTGATCTGCCCCCTTTTTAGGTAAACACCTTAAAGAGAACAGGGAACCTGGCCCAAACTCTGAGCACGTTATAAAGGCTGGGGCAGGAATTCAGGTTTCCTGACTCCAACTCTAATAGTACCAAGCTGGATATCCTAATCCAGGAAGACTGGCTTTTCAGATGTACCAGACCCCATGTTTCCAATTCTAAACCAGAAAGACCAAGGAGGATTCATTTCCACCTTTCTCTTCCACATGTTGAAAATTAAACTCAACATCAGATATGCCTGCCTACAGTATTCCAATCACCAAACAGGCCAGTTTTAGGGTTACTGAATACCTAAAAAGGTCATTCAGAACACCCATGAGAAAAACACCTCCACCCAAGAATGCCAGAAAAGAGCTCAGACATTCTCTTAGGTTTTTGTTTTCTGTTAGAAAAAAAAAAAAGTATTACTAGCTCAGTGTAGTGACACAGAGGCAGAGGCAGGTAGATCTCAGTGAGAGTTTGAGGCCAGCCTGGTCTACCAGGGCTACATAAATAGACCATTTCAAACAACAAAAACAAAATTACAAAAGCAACTACCCCAACAAACAGCAACAACAACAAAAACCCAAGTTGGGTAGTGGTGGCCCACACCCTGTACCCAGAGGCAGGCAAATCTCTGAGTTTGAGGTCAGCCTGGTCTACAGAATGAGTTCCAGGGCATCCAGGACTACATAGAGAAACCCTGTCTCAAACAAAACAACAACAAAAAAACAAAACTAAAAAAGAAAGCAAGCATTACTGAAATGTTTTGGTGCTGGAGTAATCAGGCCTAGGGCAGGACTAGAACTATAGCCACTTACATCCCTGACCTACCCACTCACTCAAGTTCACAGTTTAAACTGGGCCACTGCTCCAGGCTCCAGTTTATCATTGCAGATTTCGCTGCTGTAACCATCTTAATCTGTAAAATAAACACAGGAAGCAGACCAACAGCCTTATCCGCAGGTAAACAGGAATAATTTACTTACAAAAATGATAAGTAATGTATAATATTTCTAGCTACAGTATTTCCCCTTCCCCCTCCCCTGGAGTGTTAGACAATAGTACAGTCACCTTCAATGAACAAAAGAGATGAAGCAACCCAGATAGTTCACAGCCAGTACAGCATTTTTATCTTTCTGGAAGCACCTATAAAACGACAAGAGCCATCGCTGGCTCTTTGGGTCACACGGGAGGAAAAAAATGAGAGTAAATTAAGGAACAAGGGAACAAGGATAAATTCTATTATTCAATCTAATAAAAAAGTTAATGAGAACCCACTGTGGGCAAGAAGACTTAGTAGTTCAAAAACTATAATAAAGAGCCCCACAGGGGAAGTGCCAAGAGGTACAAAGTTCTCTGGGAGAGAGCTACCCATCCCTTCAATATCATCCTAAGAGACTAGAGCATTCCGGTAAGGGGCACTTACAGGACCAACCTGACTGAGAAGAAAAACTGAGAGAAAAAACTCCAGTGACATCTGTGGAAATGGACACTACACTGGGACACACTAGCTGCTTATTCACAGTGTGGCTAACCAGGAACACAGAAGGCACAGGCACACGCGCGCACACACACACACGGTGAAAACTGGAGGCGAAGTCAGCAACAACTAATGTTGACTTAAAACCTTGGCAGCAAAACTCAGTCCAGCAAAGAGTGGGCTGAGGATTTTCTACCTTCAAAGTCCCCTCCATCATCCAGCCTCCCGAATATGCCAGCTCCTCTGGATTTTAGAAACGGGGTCCTTTCCCAAGCCGTACGCCACACAGTCTAGTTAAGGCTCTCCTTCACCCCTCAGCTCCACAAAGGACCAGCTGCGCCCTTTACTCTGCGTGACCTCGGACTAGTCACCCCGGTGGTTAGTTCTCGGGTTTTCTGGTCTGCAAACTCATTGACTACTAAGAGACCCGATCGCCGAGATTTAAAATCTTGGTACGCCCTACATGGAGACCCTGGACACACGATCCTCTGCATAGAAGGGGAAACTGAGGCACCGAGCACTCTGCCTAAGGTCATAATAGCAATAACTCTGGATGGGCCAGGCCCCCGCACGGCTTGGATCCCCAGACTTCCAGTGGCCTTCTCTTTCTCCTACCTCCCCGCCGAGAGGAGCTGCGGGGGGTCCCGGTTCGGGAGCGCGAAGGGCAGCGAACGCGCTGGCCCTGGGAAAGGAAGCGGAGAGGCCTTACCTTCCCAGGTCAAGCTCCGCCGCCCGTCCGCGCCTTCCTCTCGGAACTGGACGCCCTCGCCCGGCCTGCACTCTCCCGAGCCCCCGCCACCACAGCCCGGCTCGACGTGTCCCACGACCGCAGCAGAGGCCGCCGATTCCCGCCCTGGGCCCGCCCCCTCACCTGCCTGACCAATCCCTCCCTCGGAGCCCGGGAGCCCCGCCCCCTTGGAGGGCGGGCTTGGTAGCGTCATCGGGAGCTCGCCTTCTCCTTTGCCTTTGGCCCGCCTTCTCCCCCGCCGGGTCTCCGCGGCGCCCGCTGCCCGGAGACAGCTTTGCTGCCGGAAAGCAGCTCCCTCCCGCGGCAGTTTACGACGTCGGCTGTGACAGGCCCTGGGAACCTCCGCCTTGCTCTCTGCAGCCTAGCTAAAGCCGACGGGATGTTCGGGGCCGGAGACGAGGAGGACGCCGACTTCCTCTCGCCCAGCGGCGGGTGAGTGGTTGGGAGGCCGGCGGGTGGCCGCAGGGGTCGGCGTCTTCTTAGGCCTCTTCTCCGCTTCCGGGTCTAGAGCCCGGCAGCTCCCAGCGCAGCTCGCCCCGTGGGAGATCGCTCGGTTTGCACTCAGGACCTGGCGTCTCCTCTTTTGCTTTATGAATCACGGTGTCTGCAGTGAAGTGGAGATGATTGCTGAGGACACTGCCTGCCTCGGGGTTTCTTAAGGAGTTAGCTCCTGTAAACATATGAGCTCTAAATCCAAGAGACTTTCTCTTCCCCGGGAACCGGGCGGAGGGTCAGCTTCCTCCAGAGCCTGACCCTCCCTTTTCGGTGATTCTCTGCCTTCACAGCCCCAGGCAGAGTAGACTGCTTCATCTTCCTTATTCCCACGGGTCTTTGCACATGGAAGCTCCTAAAATCCGAGTCCTGACGGAACGGCTTATGTTGCTCCTCTCCGTCAACACGGGAACTCAGGAAGTGCCTGCGAAATCACGCTTTGTAAGGCCCAAGGCTTAACAGACTGCATCTGCTTTCTCCTACTGTCAGACATCGCAGATGCTCTCTGAGACAGAAGTCTTCAAAGGGAGGCAGGATTTCCCCCTCTTTTGAACATTAACTTAGTGTTTTCCCTCCCATTGTCTCAGTGGACAAGTCTTGTTACCTGCAGAGCTCCCATCTTTGCAGAGCTCTACACGTTTTGAGCATCAAGAACCTACTTGAGAAATGACAAACACACCAACATGCCCATCTTCTATCAGACGCCGAGAGGTAGCAATAGTGATTAATCTTCTAGTGTACTGGGAATTCAGTAAGGGCATGGCATTAGAATGACTGGCTTTCTTTGGGTCTTATTTTGTTTGCGTGCGTGCATGTGTACACACGTGCGTGCGCGTGTGTGAGTGTGCGCATGTGTGTGAGTGTGCGCATGCATGTGTATACACACGTGTGAGCGCGTGTGTGCATGCGTTGCCGTGCAAACACGTGTGCATATGTGTGAGTGCGCGCGTGTGCATGTGTACACACATGTGTACATGTATGTGAGAGTGTGCACGTGCACATGTATGTGTACACACGTGTGCATGCGTGTATGTGTGTGAGTGTGTGTGCGTGTGCACATGAGAGTGTGTGGTGTATGCAGGCTGTGAACATCTTTGTAGAAGGACAGAGGTTCAGTATCAGGTGACTTTCTCTGTAGCCTTCCACTTTAGTTTTTGAGGCATGTTCTCTCGAAGAATCTGAGTTTACCATTTTGACTAGACAAATGTTTCCATTCTTTCCTATTTCACTCCAAACATTTACAGCTCTTTCAGCCAAAACCTGTTTTGTGTGTGTCTTCATATGGGGCCTTTTGAATATCTTCAAGGTTTGTTTGTTTATTTGAGACAGGGTTTCACTATGAAGCCCTGGCTGACCTAGACTTCTTTATATAGACCAAGTTGGCCTCTATAAAGGGTCTACCTGTCTGCCTCCTGAATTCTGGGATTAAAGGCATGCGCCATTACATCCAGCTTTGAGGTGTATTTTAATTTCATAATCTTCACTATGTGAGAGTACTTGAGGGAAGTCTATAAAGGAATTTTAAGACTCTCAACTTTCATATATCAAGGGATCTGCTGCTGACTAAGCAGACAGTGACAGTCATGTGCTCTTTTCCTGATTCCCGACCCAAGATAAGTTCTTCCTGACTCCACTAGTATGCTTTCCTGAGCAGGCTTAACTAAGGATTTGAGATTCACTACGTTTATGACTGTGGGTCCTAGGCATAGCAACAGACAATTTGATGATAAAAGACTCAACAACAAAAAAAGCTATATAGATCAATTTCTGTCCCCAGTAGTAGCTAGGAAAACAGAATCAGACTTAAGATTAAGAACAGGAAAAGTGAGCTGGGGAGACACTGGCTTCTCTTCCAGAGGACCTGGGTTTGATTACCACATGGTGGCTCACAATCATCCACAACTCCAGTCCCTGGGAATCCAACACCATCGTCTGGCCTCCTTGGGCACCAGGCATGCACATGGTGCCTAGGACACACATGCAGACAAAACACACACACATAAAAACGAGGAAAAAGACTAGAGGAAGTTTTGTGAGCAGTCTCTGATTTGGCTGTTCCCTCACTGATTTTGTCAAGGAAACAGAATATCTGACAGTGAACACTGGCACTGCTTTCCAGTTCCTCTTTACACTGCAGTTTGCTTTTAAAATGCTTCCTGAAGTTTGGCTTGATTTTGTGACTTTCTTGATCCTATCAAGGATATTGAAGGCTGACCAGAGCAGGAGTACTAATGTCTAGGATGGTTGTTAAGTGACTGACAGTCTGCTTTACAAATTCCGGGTCCTCTTTTTTGTTTGTTTGCTTGCTTGTTTTTGAGACATAATCTTATTGTCTCTTGGTTGGTCTTGTACTCACAGTTTATGCCAGACTAGCCTCCAACTCAGAGATCTACCTGCTTCTGCCTCCCGAGTGCTGAGATTAACCAGACTGACCAAGCCTGGGCAAGTTCCCCAAACTTAAGGGTTAACCTAAAAGTGGTAATCAAAAGGCACGTCTTCTTCTGATGGGGGATGCCCTTCTGTATGCTGTGAATTATGATTCTTTTATTGGCTGATGAATAAAGCTGTTTTTGGCAAATAGACAGGCAGGAAATTCGAAGAGAGATAGGAAAAGGGAATAGGCAGAATCAGGGAGATGCCGTGTAGCTGCTGGGAAAGTTGGACAAGAGGGCATTCTCCAGTAAGATAAGGCCATGTGGAGATACACAGATTAGTAGTTGTGGGTTAATAATTAATAGAGAGCTAGCCAGTAAGACGCCTAAGCCAATGGCCAACAATTATAGATAGATATCAAGTCTCAGAGTGGTTATTTCATAGAGGCTGTGGGGACCTGATTGGGTAGAGAGAAACTGGTTCAGTGGGACTGAGACTAGATGGAGAAAATCTCAACATTCTGCTTCTTTCTGTCTTAGCTCTTTCCCCACCATTATGACTTTAAAATGAACAAATAGGCAAATGTCTGCTAAGTACATCATACTTAACTTCTGCTGATACAGAGAGGAATAAGGCATAGTACCTACCCCTTAAGCAGTAGAATAAAATCAATCCAGCAATAATAAACATAATCACAAAGCTTTGTAAAATTTTAGATGTATTTATTTACTGTTAATGTGTAAGAGTATGTATGTGTACATGGTGTCAGGTTCTCTGGAGCTGGGCTTACAGATTGTTGTGAACCACCATCTGGGTTCTGGGAACTGAACCCAAGTCTTCTGCAATACCAAAAAGTGCTCTTAACATCTGAGCCATCTTTCCAGTGCCCACAAGGCTTTATTTGAGATTGCCCTGTAAATTCTTAAATTCCTGGACTCAAATATTCCAGCAATGAGCTTCAGAGCAGTATCCTCATCTGACCTTCCTTTTATTGTCAATTATTTGTGTGTAAGCAATGATGCCTTATCTAGATTTAAGCTTTGGGTCAGCAAAATGGCTCAGTGGGTAAAGCCTTGATAGCCTAAGTTCAACCCCATAAACCACATAAAGATAGGAGAAGAGAACCAATTCCACAAAGTTGTCCTCGAGTCCTGCATGCAGACTGTGGCACATCCCCTCTTACACAGGCAAACACATATACATCATACAGATAGAGTGGTAATAAATAGTTTTTAAAAATTTAAAATACATAGAAGATTTGACTGGTTTTCACTATTGTTAAAGGTATTTTTCAACTCTTCCAGGATTTTACTCCTTTGAGGAACCTCAGCCAGATGTAGTGGCACATGCATTTAATCCCAGCACTCAGAGGAAGGTAGATTTCTATGAGTTCAAGTCCAGTCTGATCTGCATAGGGAGTTCCAGGGCAGCTAGGGCCTCATAGTCAAACACTGTCTTAAAAAAGAAAGAAAGGAGAGGGAGTCTTTAGGTCCCTCTGGCTAAAAGGAAAAAAAAAATCTCAGTTTCTCCTGTGGTTTTCTTTCTTTCTTTTTTCTTTCTTTTTTCTTTCTTTCTTTTTTTTAATGTATTGTTTTGGAGGCTGTCGGACCAGCCTGGCCTCGAACTCACAGAGGTCCGCCTGCCTCTGCCTCCCGAGTGCTGGGATTAAAGGCATGCGCCACCACCGCCCGGCCTCTCCTGTGTTCTTTTAGTGTTTGCTGATATCTTACTTAAGTCAGCATTACTCTCACTCAAGTATTACATTTGCATTTTCAACTAAACATTTTTGTCTTTAAACATTTGTTTGCAGGACACTTAAAGGAAGCATTCTAGATTTTTTTAAATTTATTTATTATGAATACAACACCCTGCCTCCATGTACACATCAGAAGAGGGCACTAGATCTCATTACAGATGGTTGTGAGCCACCATGTGGTTGCTGGGAATTGAACTCATGACCTCTGGAAGAGCAGTCAGTGCTCTTAACCTCTGAGCCATCTCTCCAGCCCATTTTTTTTTTTTGTTGTTTTGTTTTGGTTTTTTTTGGTTTTTACGAGACAGGGTTTCTCTGTATTGTTTTGGAGGCTATCGGTCCAGCCTGGCCTCGAACTCACAGAGATCTGCCTGCCTCTGCCTCCCGAGTGCTGGGATTAAAGGCGTGCGCCACCACCGCCCGGCTGCATTCTAGATTCTATAAGAAAAGGAAATAATAGTGCCAAA